CCTTAACCGGTCGGTGTCTATACAGATTGCAGGATTTGTGTATGGAATGCTGCTGATGGTAGCTTAGTGCATTGTTTAACTGGTCACAGTGAATCGGTAACAATCACCTAAATTTCTACTCCTTACCTTGATATCTTAGTTGGGGCATTGTATTTTTTGGTTTTAATTTTGCATGCTTCATTGTTGTAGCTCTCATTTGATGTCGATCTTCTCCCGAATGTCCCATAATTTCCATATTGCATTTATCTTCAAATTTTGTGGTTCAGCCCAACTTGCTTTGGAACTACTAATATATGTATATGGTTTGTTTCATTTATGCCCTCTTGGTAGTCCTATGTCTTGGATGTCCACCCTTTCAATCCTCGGATTGCTATGAGCGCCGGCTATGATGGGAAAACAATCATCTGGGATGTGAGTTTCATTTTTTTGGATAAGAATACTCCTTGATCTTATCAATAGCATCCCTTACCTCCTTTGATATCTTTTTCTAGATATGGGAGGGTGTCCCAATTAAAGTATTCGAAATCGGGAGATTTAAGTTGGTTGATGGAAAGTTTTCACAGTAAGTGACCGATGAAACATCGAGGATAAGATCTTCTATTTGTTTCAAATGATTTCAGTAACACATGCATATTGCTCTTGAGTCTGAAACTAGAATAATAGTCATGTTATACATATCAAGTTGAGTATACAATTTTCATATTTCATTCAGCAAAGACTTCTAAAGCATTTATTTAGTCACATGAAAGTTACGGAATCAATTGCTTATCATAATTTTTTTTTTCTTTGGGACTGTGTAGAGATGGGACATCTATTGTGCTGTCAGATGAAGTTGGCCAGATATATTTTCTAAACACGGGTCAAGGAGAGTCTCAAAAAGATGCTAAATACGACCAGGTATGGTGGATTTTGCATCTTAAATGCATGATGATTTTCTAATATATGGCTGTAGTTTCTAGTGATCATCTATTGCTTTCTGATGTTTTGTCTTGTATTGTTTGTTTAAGTTCTTCCTTGGTGATTATCGTCCTCTTATTCGAGATACCAATGGACATGTTCTTGATCAGGTTGGTTTCAAATACTTGTATCTTCTTTTTTGTTTCTAGTTCCTCTTGCATTCTTTGTCAGAGACCTCACCGAAATATGCACACTTTGATGCATTATTCGCTAACAGTTCTAGTTTACAAATCGGAGATGTATGATCAATATCCTTGCACTTGCTTTATTGTTGACTATATTTAAAGCTTTATAATTTCCATGGTGCAGGAGACTCAGCTTCTTCCCCATCGGAGAAACCTTCAGGATCTTCTTTGTGATTCAAGTTCGTTTCTAAAAGCTTATCTTTATGTCAGTTATGCAATGTTGGTCATTCATGGAACGTATTCCTGGTGTTTTATTTTTAATTTTCCAGGTATGATTCCGTATCCAGAACCTGACCAGACAATGTTTCAGCAACGCAGACTTGGTGCATTAGGGGTTGAATGGCGTCCTTCCTCGATAAAGTTTTCTGTTGGCCCTGATTTTAGTTTAGGTCAAGATTATATTATGCCTCCTTTGGCAGATCTGGATAGGTTGATCGAGCCACTGCCTGAGTTTATAGATGCTATGTACTGGGAACCAGAACATGAAATTCTGAGTGACGACAATGATTCCGAGTACAATGCCGAAGTTTCCTCTGATGGAGCTAGGGCGAGTCCATGTTCCAATTCTTCAAATGAACTTGAGTGCAGTTCCGAGGACAGTGACGTTGATAATATTCACGAAAATAGCTATCATCGGAAAAGAAGAAGAAAACATCCTAGAGTATGTTTTTTTCAACTCATGCGATTTTGCTTGTCGTTATCTATTGACTAACTCTTGTTTTCTCAGGCTGAGATCGCTACTTCATCTGGAAGGCGTGATAAGAGGATTTTGGATGAGGTTGATAGCTCGAAATTCGGAAATAAGAGAACCAAGAACCGAAGAATTGGCGTGAAGGCTTCAAAAAGAAAATATTCTGATGTCAAGGCATCACGGCCGCAACGAGCAGCGGCCCAAAATGCTCGATCCTTGCTTTCAAAACTTTCTGGAAGCTCTTCGGATGAAGTTGACGATTCATCCAACAGTGAATCTGATAGAAGCGCACCCCCTTTGCAACAACTGGAAAACCCATCTCAGATGCTGGAATCTCTTTCAAATGACAAACAGAAGAAAAGATTGATTGTAAAGATCTCGGTTAAGAAGCCAACAGAATCTATGGAAAGCAAGAGAGATGTAATGAATGAAGCTGATTCGGAGCACCTTTCTTCTAAATCTTTGGAAGACAACGACAAAGTGATTGGTATATACTCCAGAGAACCTGGGTCAAGTTCTGTAGATGCAAAGGTAGATGCCAAGGGTGCTTCATGGTGTCATGATATACCCCATTCTATGAATACTCCACAGAGAGAAAAGGCCAGAAATCAATTGATAAAAGCTTCAGATCAGGACCAGAATATGTGCAAGTGGCGGGAAGAGTTTCCTCTTTGTGAATCCACCGAATTAACTACGTCTGAGAACATTGAGGAAACCCAAACATTTGATGGGTACGGGAAATCTGATTATGAATACCAAGAAAAACTATGTTCGTATTAAATTTCCACAATATCTAATTCCTTGTATTCTCTTGCAGGGATGAAGATTTGTCAAGAGTTGAACCATTGTCTGGTCAGTTAAGACATTGTGATATAAATACTTCCATGGAAACTGAGGAGATTCTTCCAAAGAAAGTTCGACGACTGAGATTGAAGCTTCGGCATCCCAGCAGTCCTCAAAAACTAGAGCCTGATGAGGTAGCAAATGATTTGGCAGATGGTGGAGATGGTTTTGCATCCATAGCTCCCTCTTTTGTGAATCCAATTATGGATTCTGAACCTGAGATAGATAATGTTAGATGCTCTCCTGCACATGACTTTGAGTTTGGAGAAGCTACAGCCGATGTGATACGTAGGAAGAGATCCATGAGACTGAAGGCCACTTCAAGTGAATCTGGTGCAAGAAATTGTGTATTACGTGTGAGGTCGGGCTCTGGATCCGTAGATAAAGTAAAGAAACAAGGAATTCCTTCCACAGGCGTGTATGGTTGTGTCGCACTCGAAGAATGGCCTTCTACTTCAAAAGCTGGGTCCCGGTCAAGATCTGCAAGCGCCAGCACCAGCAAACAAAGTCTCAATACTGGGATTAGGTTGAATGATGTGTCAAGGAAAATCTCATGGTTAATGCTGTCAGAACACGAGGAAGGCTGCCGTTATATACCCCAGCTAGGGGATGAAGTTGTTTACTTCAAGCAGGTAGGTCCTTTTGGCTAGTAGTTTTGTCATTTCCATGTATGAATTTGGTAGATCTGGAAGTAATCAAATTTCATTGGGTGTCGTTTTCAGGGTCATCAAGAGTTCCTTGCAACTAGAGAATTAGATGACAGTGACCGATCGAGGTACCTTCCTCGAAACCTAGGAGCGGTAGAGATTTGCAAAGTGGAGAAACTCAACTACGATACATATCCTGGTTCTGGTGAAAGCTGCTGCAAAATGACCCTCAGGGTTCTGGATTCTGTTTCATCACAGGGGTCCCGCAAAGAGTTCCAACTAACACTTCCGGACCTCATTAATTTCCCGGATTTTATTGTGGAGAAGACTCGATACGATGCTGCAGTCAAAACAAACTGGGAAATCGGTGATGAATGCCGTGTGTGGTGGAGAGATGAATCCGGTGAAGGCGGTGCTTGGTGGGAAGGTAGGATTGAGTCTTCACAAGTTAAGTCCACTGACTACCCAGACAGTCCATGGGAGAGATACAGGGTTGTCTATGATACTGGGGACATAAGTCTTCACAGCCCCTGGGAGTTTGACAATCCCCAGTTTCCTTGGGAAAACTCTACCATAGACGAAAAGACAAGAGAGAAACTACTTTCTTTATTTGCTGGACTAGTGAAGTCAGTCAGCAAGCATCAGGTTTGTCTTCTCTCCCAAAAAGCTACCACTTCTCATCTTTCTGTTACCCTGGCTTGCCTGATGACCGTTATTTGCTTCTGTCATTATGTATTCTTCTTCAGGATAACTATGGAATCGAAAAGCTTAACGAAGCTGCTCAAAAGATGGATTTCTGCAATAGGTACACTTCGATCCTTGCAGTTGATTCTTTCAAAACCTCACTTAGCCCCCGTAAACGTGAAGACAATGCTGGTTTTGGTATCTGGTTTTGGTATCTCATATGATAGAACCTGTGGATGTTTTGGTAACTCAGCTTCCGCACTTAAAATTGCAGGTTCCCAGTTCCTTTATACCCGGAGCTGATTCACCAGAGAGTAGAGAATCAGTACTACAGAAGTATTGGATCGTTTAAACACGACGTGGATGCAATGCTCTCAAACGCTGAATCGTATTTTGCTACGAACGCAACGATGCGTTCTAAGATAAAGCGACTCCGAGAGAAATTCACAAAAACGTTAAGAAAGGCGTTACAAAGCTCTGGATGATGATATGTTTCTTTTGATCCTTGCTGATCAATGGTCGGTCTTTGTAAACTCCTTAGGCTGTGTCAATTTTTTCTTATAAAATTTATATAGCGAAAGAAAATTACAAACAAATGTTCGCTCTAGAAAAGAAAGTCGGTTGTATTTTTTTGTTTGTAGGGTCACCCGACACAGGTTCATGTATAGATCGGGTCGCTTTAGTTCCATAAAACTAACATACCTGCACTGTAACAGAAATTTTCTCTTTTGTCACAAGAATCGAATGACATCAAGAGTCTGATTTACAAAGACACGATGTATACATTTACAAAAATTGTTCTTTTTATTAGAAAGTAATCATATGTTAAAAACGCACACTATTTAAACATCAATGAGCCCAAATGTCCTCGCACAAAAAAACAGAGTAAATGAGCCCATTTAAAAAAAAAAATAAAAAAAAAATGGTACCGAAGAAGAAATATTAAATAATGCGTGTGTGTTAAAAGTTAAAACCTAAAACAGAGACGTGAGCTGATACCTAAAACCCTAATCGTCGCATTCAGAGATAAACAACAATGGCGGGAGGAAAGATGAGGAAGGAGAAGCCCAAGGCGTCGAATCGAGCACCGTCGAGCCAGTACCAAGGTGGAATCTCCTTCCATAAATCGAAAGGGCAGCATATTCTGAAGAACCCTCTGCTTGTGGATTCAATCGTTCAGAAAGCAGGGATTAAGAGCACCGATGTTATTCTCGAGATCGGTCCTGGTACTGGAAATCTCACCAAGAAGCTTCTCGAAGCTGGTAAGGAAGTTATCGCTGTCGAACTCGATTCTCGTATGGTTCTCGAGCTTCAGCGCCGTTTTCAAGGAACTCCCTTTTCCAACCGCCTCAGGGTAAGAAAGGATTGATTTTTGGATTCTGCTTTTTCATTCTTGCTAACATAATTAAGAACCAAATCTACTATCTTTAGAACCAATCTGCTAGTGTTTTTTTTTGTAATGTCAGAAGTAATCCAGTAATGGTGGCTGTTGTCTTTAGGTAATCCAAGGTGATGTGCTAAAGACGGAGCTTCCACGGTTCGACATATGTGTGGCCAATATTCCGTATCAGATATCATCTCCTCTGACGTTCAAGCTTCTGTTCCACCCAACAAGCTTCAGGTGCGCTGTGATAATGTACCAAAGAGAGTTCGCCATGAGACTCGTTGCCCAACCAGGAGACAACCTCTACTGCCGTCTTTCTGTCAACACTCAGCTCTATGCGAGAGTCTCCCACCTTCTCAAAGTCGGCAAGAACAATTTCCGCCCTCCTCCAAAGGTTGATTCTTCTGTCGTTCGCATCGAGCCTAGGAAGCCTCAGCCTCAGGTCAACAAGAAGGAGTGGGATGGCTTCCTCAGAGTCTGCTTCATCAGGAAGAACAAAACCCTCGGGTCCATTTTCAGGCAAAAATCTGTTCTTTCCATGCTTGAGAAGAACTACAAGACTCTTCAGGCCGTTCTTGCTTCCTTGCAGAACAATGGCCAAGCTGCTCCCAACACCGCCATGGATCTTGGTGACCAGAGCATGGGAATCGAAGATGACGACAACGCATTGGATGATGACGATGATGATATGGAGATGGATGAAGGAGACGGAGGAGAAGCATCTGAGTTCAAGGAGAAAGTTATGAATGTCTTGAAGGAAGGTGCTTTCGAGGAGAAGAGATCTTCAAAGCTATCACAGCAAGAGTTTTTGTATCTTCTTTCGTTATTCAACAAGTCGGGTATTCATTTCTCATAATTATATTATATGGGTGGAAAAGTTTTGTTCTTTTTTTTTTATATTGATTTTGATTCTCTCATCATCGTAGGAGAAAGTGTACCCTGTTTTTTTTTTATATTATTGAAGGTTAACATTTGGATGTGAAAATCAGTTATTCAGTTATTGACGCTACTACTGTATTTCTTTTGCTCACAATCTCTTGTGCCAAAAGAAGAAATGAGAAAATTGTCTAGAGTTTTTGGGCTAAAAACAGATATGAGAGTTGAGAAGAATCCCCAAAAATAGATGCATGAAACCTGATTGTGTCTCCAGGGCTGTGCATATTAAATAACCTTTTTTTTTTTGTTTAATCTTCTGGTTTTGATAACCTTTCCTTGGTATCATGACTTTTGTTTGGATTTCTGCTGAAATAGCTCATATAGGCTAAGTCTATCTTCAGGGATGTTTTTAACTTGGAGAGTCTCTGTAACCTCTCCACTTCTTCTTACTCCCAGGCCCTTGATTTTTTCATCCTTCATTTTTTCTCTTCAAAGATAACTATACGAAGTCTCAGAAAGGTAGGCATCTTGCGTCATAATGCAGTATGCCCATCAAAGGAGCACCATTTACTGACGCAGAAAAAAAGTTTCTTGGGTAAAACTATGGCTGTTTGTATCTTTGTTACACAGCTATTTTTGATAGTTCTGGTAGATATGCTATCAGCGGTTCAGATGCTATATGTAAATCCTTGATCGCTATAATGTTAGAAGAAAACTAGAAGGGAACCGCTATAATATTATCTTGTTTTTAACCTTTCTATATGCATGGAAAATGAGAATAGAAAAACCCAAATATGTCGGCAAAAAGCTGCCTCCTATCTACTTACAATACTACTTTGGAGTTGCATCTACCGTCCTCTTGCTTTCGATTTCTCTAATGATGTTCACAAGTTGGCCCTGATTCAGGTTTTTCTCTAAGAAGGCGTCCATTCCAGCTTGTATGGTTTCTCTTGCTTCCCTGGAACCAGGATCATGACCAGATACAGCTATTATTGGTATATGCACACCATATTTTCTCTCCACTTTCCTAATCTCTCTAGTTGCTTCATATCCATCCATTTCTGGCATCTGTGCATAAAGATAGACATGTATCAGCCATTTGCGATTGTGTTATGGAAGACTATATCAAATAATTGATTTTACCTGGCAGTCCATGAATATGTAGTCAAACGGAAGCATATCTCCTTGTTGCTCTCTTTGCGTAAGCCATTCACTGACTAGACTCACAGCTTCTTTTCCACTGTGGCATTGCTTGGCCGCAGACACTCCCATCTTCTTCAGCTTTCTTGTTGCAACTGAAGATGTTATACGATTATCATCAACCACCAGAACTCTCTTCCCTCTTAATAATTCATCGTCGCTCGCTCTGGAAGTTCCTTGCTCGTCCTCTCGGGGCTTTCGACCAGTACGCACTGACTTGACCCAAGTCTCCTTCTTCTCTGAAGGTATTGGTGCCATTAATATTGTCTTGCCTAGCTTTTTGTTGTACCTTGAACCCGGTCCCTCTTCTTGGATTTCACAAGGTGATGTCTCTGCAACATTTAGAGAATGCCTCAGTAGCGATTCCCTTTGCAGCTCAGTAGTAGGTGCTCCTTTCGGATCGATTCCTCCGAATTCAGGCAACATCTTCAGCACTCGGTTAAGATGAGATCCGTGCAAGGGTTTCAAACAAGTGATGTCCCCTCTCTCACTTGCGCGGCCGCTCGGTTCGTTGAGCCAAACAACTTTACAGGAGATGCCATGGTGCAAACCTCTACGAAACTGTTCGACAATGTCGTACAGCTCGGAAAATGGCCCGGCTTTTGCATCAATCACGAGGAGGACAAGTGCAGAGAAACTGTTGCTTCTCCTTTTAGGAACTTGGCTTCTGGAATCAATACCGTCCATGCCAATCAAAGGCAACTCCCTCGAGCTCGGACTTGATAGTTCGTTTCTCAAGCTAGACTCTGCTCGTCCCACGGAGCTCTGAGGTGAAAACCTAAAAAGTCTCTCCAAGGCAGGACTCAGTTGCTCCCATTTTTCCACCACTGTGACTTTGATTCCCAGAAGCTTTATGTTTTTCTCTGTAACTCTTCTGCGTTCTTCATCTTTCAGGAGGAGAACCACTCGAGAAGCTTCCTGCTTGGGACTCGAGCTGAGACAGTTGTTGAACCTAGGGCTCAGGTTGCGTATGTTCATGCTACCTCCCAAAGAAGTGTTTACAGTGAGGCCGAGGTTGGGCGTTGATATGTAATCTCCTCCTGCTTCCATGTCCGGTCTCACTTTCATGTCACTCACCGGAGACTCTGAGGTTGTCAGTAAAACATTGAATTGGAAACAGGTTCCCTTCTCTCCCATCGCCTTGTCAGTGATTCTTATCTCTCCTCCCATTAATCGTACCTAATGCATGTATTACAGAAAATAGTGTGATTAGAAGAAGATGCATTCGAGAATCAACGGTTTACTTAAGGCCAGCTTTTTGTTTAAAAGTTGCTTACGAGAGACTGCACAATCCCGAGTCCAAGTCCAGATCCTTGTTGTCCTTGAGCTGTTTCTCTTACCTGAACATAGTTTTCAAACACCGATTCACGCATCTCCGCAGGTATCCCTTTGCCTGTATCGTCCACTTCAAACACAAACTCCATCGTGTTGGCATTGTTTCTTATGGAATTCGAGATCTCCACCTCATAGGTTGATGACTGGTTGTCTTCGTTGTTCCTACACCACATACACTTTGAAAACGTGCCTTTAGGCTCCGATGCCAAGACCACTGCAGAGCTCTTGGAACCGGGCCTCTGAGCCCAAGCTCGGATCGAAACGTGGCCCTCGGCTGTGAACTTGACAGCGTTGCTGACAAGATTGTTCAGAATCTGCTTTAGTTTGCCACTGTCTCCTCTCACACTCGAGTATTTGAAAAGGGAGCCATCGTGCAGATCCAAAACCACATCAACGTCTTTCTTCATCGCGGCAGGATGGAAAAAATCGACCACGTCTTCAAGAAGCTTGGCCAGGTTGAACTCTTCTTCCTCTAGATGCATCTTCCCGCTTTCGATTTTGCTCATGTCCAACACTGAGTTAAGCAGAGCTGTTTCAACATTAACATGGCAAAGAATCAGGGACAAAGGCATAATTTAAAAGATATTAATGAAGCACAAGAATCATAGGCTTACCAAGAAGATCCTCGGTGCATACATTCACTTGCTTAAGATTGGTGTCTAGGTCGGAGCCAGGTCTAACTTCTTGGCGGCAGAGATCAATCAGACCGGTGATCCCAGCAAGGGATCCTCTAATGTCGTGGCTAGCACTTGCAAACGCTTGAGTCTTGTTCATGCTCTTCCTCTCGGCCTGTTGTGTTGCTTCCATTTGGTTTTTCAGCCTCGAAAGCATATGCATCTCTCTTCTCGCTGCTCTCACCATAAACACCACAAACCCTGGAGGCCAGCACAATGCATAAAACGTCGTCACAATCAGCAGATATATCGTCGCATTACTGATGCTTGTTCCTCCTCCTTTTTTTGGAAACATGAGTGTGTATCTCTGACCATTAGAAAAACAAAGTAATTAAATGATGATTCTATCTATTTCCATCAAGTGAAAAAAAGCTTGGATTTTTTATAACATTTTACCAGAGGCATGCCGGAAATTTCAAGAACAGAGCAAAAAGCTTGGAACTTGGAGCTTTCGATCTCCAACCCGTAGCCACGGGAACTGCAATTTCCGGGGAGGCATTGAGGCCGCATGGATTTCGGTTCTCTACCGAAGCAAAACGAGCCATTGGAGATGAAGAAAGAAGCATTTAGTGAACCTTGACGAACAAGCACCGTCCCGTCCTTAGTCCACATGTAAAGCTCTCCGCCATAAAGATTCAATCGGTTCAAGACACCGGTTAGAGACTTAACCGGAAATCCTAACAGAACAACTCCTTTCTTGCTGCTCAAGCTAACCACGCTCTGAAACAGAGTCTGGTTATCTTCTCCTCCCAAACCAGTTCCCACAAAGGAGGTGCTAGTGTGGTTTCTCTGTGCTGCTTGGAACCAATCAGTATGGGTTACATCTAACGGCTGAGATCTCGTTGCATTACCGCTGAGACGACCGGTTTTCTGATCAACGGTTTGAGTGTACCAAACGCCACTTGAATTGGCAAAAACTGCGAGACTAGTGTTTAATTTCGTCAAGTAAGAAAACAAGAGACCGTCCGTACTACTAATGTACGAAACTTGTGAGACTCGAGGGATCGTTGAATAAGCTTGAAACAACACTGGTGCGATCTGAAAAAAAAAAACAATATATCATCATCGTTATGTAATGAGTAAAGTTATCCACAAATCAATGGTAATATATGAAAATAACAACCTGTGATTGAATCTCTGTGAAATTGGTATTGTTATTGGTGAGATAAGAATCTACAACTCTGGCTAAACTGATTGTAGATGAATTTGTCTTTGGATAGATGAGTTTTCCAATGTTTTCGATTTCGGAAACTAGACTTGACCGGAGATCCTCAGTGAGTAAAGCAGAGTCGTTTCTGGTGTCATCCTTCGTTGCTGTGCACCACCAAATCACGATCGGTATGCACCCGAAAACAACCTAAATACACATGAGTAGATATATCACATTAATCGAACATTTGTAGGTTGACAGTTTTCATATATTTTGTTTGTCTGTGAGAATGAACGAAGACACCGCAAAGGAACAAAAGACAAATTAACAACCTAACAATTCATTGACGAAAAACATTTTTTCTTTGTTTTTTTTTTTTTTTTGATAATACATTTCTTCTAAGGCTTTTTTTAGCCATAAAGTCTGCCAAATAAACTTGTTCAGAAAAAAAAAAGGTCTGCTTAATAATTAGCTTGTCGAAGAAACCAGAGTCGGAAATGATCTCCGATAACACGCCATGATTGAAGAACAAAAAAAAAGTTAATCCTAAAATCCAGAAGGCACGGCTAAAACAAAACAAAACAAAGACGAAGGATTTTAATCAATGAATAAACAGCAACAATCCCTTGACTGAAAAAAAAATAAAGACATAAAAAAATAAACATCCTAAAACCCTAGAGGCACGGAAATATAATTAAAGACATGCATAGATTATCATCTAATAATAGCCAGACAAGATTCAGAACAAAAAATAAAGCGACATCATCGTATGAACACAAAACCCTACTGAGTAACCTATTTCTTCTTCTTTTTTTGTAAGGCATCCAACGATCATTAAAATAATTTAGACCGAACGAAAACAAAAGTTACCAGGACGACGAAGACGAATAGTGGACGAATAGCCAGAAACTTTGTAACTTTCACCATCACTTCTGTAAATTTCAAGATCCAAAACCCAAAAACAAGAAAGATCAAACTAATTAATAAGTGTATCTCTTTATCCCTTCATAACTTTTGATTCTCGAGATCCCTTTCCATATATAGTTTTTTTTTCTTCAAATTTTGCCAAAACGATATCAAACTTTCTCATTAAAAAGTTAAATATCTAACTTTAAATTTAATTTCCAAAAAAAAGTATAATGCATTTTTTCGTATAACCGGGTTACAAAGACATTAAAATATTGAGGTTTTCAGATCAAAATCACTCGATTTCTGAAGTGCTATATCCATTCATAGTCGATCTATCCCGCCATCACTCCTCAAAAAGTATAGGGATGTTACATATTGATTTTTTTGTAGTATAGTGTGGAATACATAAGCTAAAAGTGACTAGATATTCTATTATTGGTGTAAACCAGATGAGTAATCGAGTTTTTTTTTTTTAAATTAAAAACTAAGCTTGATGAAACTTGTTGTTTAACAAGACGCTAGATTTCATAAATTGTTATTTTGTCAAGAAGTATTCGTGGCACACAACTAGTGTGAATATAAGATGTTCAAAGAAAAAGGGGAAAAAAGTAGTGTAAAAATACAGCATATATACATCCACATGTAAAACACTATTTATGAAGACAAACAAAATGTAAAATACTATAGATTATTATTATATAGATCTTCCAACAAAGAAAGTCTTAAATTCAAGTGCAATATTAGTATGAATATATATTATGTTTCACAGAGGGGGGAAAGGAAGGTTAATACAAACAATTCATGGTAATAAATAAAAACAATCCTCTCATTTTAGGAAAGGGAAAGGGAACAATCTCAGGCATTAGGATTTAAGTTTCAACTTACATATCTATAATATTTCATTCATTGAAAACAAAAAATCTATAATATTTCATTCAATCGAAATTCATGTAAATGATATGCATAAAAATGAAGGATTAAAATCTCAGATAACACGAAATTGTTTTTAAATTTCAGCCGAAACAAAAAAAACGGAAAAGATAAACAAGTTCCTCAAGTAATTCGAGAGAAAGGGACGAATTAAAACGATATTAACCTTTATTAAATTGAGTGAAGCATGTGAAATTTAGTGAACCATGAACAAAATTTTGGTCCGTTCTTCGTTATTTTCTTAAAACACATCTATTTGGCACAGTAGCTTTAAATTTGACATTTTCAATTTTTCATTGCCATCACCAACTAACACTGAAGCCCACTCCACATATATAGATCGTAGGGGAATATTTTATTTTTCTCGTAAACTATGTATATATATTATATATAGGGATCATTCATAGGCCCAAATGATTTGAAGGGGTCAATGTGTCAATTAGAGATTAGTGGTATATCTATTATCTAATCTTGTTTACGCTACGTTTATTTTTAATGAGGTTAGTGTGTGCAATTAGGGTGAAGTCTAATCATGTCCGAACCTAAGTAAAACAGGTTTAGTGTTATAAAATGTTGCACCTAGAGAATTCAGGATTTTAGCAAAAGTAAAATCGGATTTTGAATAATTTTATTCGCACAACCGAAATATTTTAACAAATTTCATGAATTACTACTTTGGAATTCCATTCAGGTCATACTCGAGCCAAAAACAAAATTTTAGTCCCAATCATTTTCTAGACACTTTTAAGTGGGGTTAAGGAATGAGTGGACCATGTGAAATGAGTCTTCTTGACATAGTCACAAATGTCCTACAAACAACACATTAAGGACCGTCCGTCCACTTAAGTGATATACATGTGGGTGTCTATATTGTTTTTATCAGTGTCCCACTCTCAATAAAACACACTTAGAAGTCTAATTCTTAAACGCTAATCGTAACCGCCAAACACAGTGCATATTAGCGGCAGCAACTATTAAGATAAGATTCTGTCCTGTGAGAGAGAAAGTCCATGAGCTTATATTATCAAAATCTGTGAGCTTCAGACTTTCGCTCACATGTTTTCCCAATTATTGCCATTCCCTTTTTATTTTACCTTTCAAGTCCAGAGTACACCTTTGGATCGATTCTTGTCTCCATAACTAAAAGTCTAAAGTTAAACCATTTTCGATATTCCGATCGAATTTCACTAATACTTAGGTATTTCCTTATTTTCGCTGAGTTTTTATTGCATTATTCACAACACTTTTCAGCAAAGCATTGCCAAGCTGGTACCTGGCCCTCTTTTTCCGATGGTTTCTTTTATTTCTTTTCTTTAAAATATACATTATATCTGTAATATACTAATCTACTCTCGATAGACTTATATAACTATCTTTTAATGACGTCAACACAAAAACTAGATTTTAAGAAATATATAATTTTTTCCTCTGATAGAATTCTAGTATCTAGCGATCTCGTTTTCATAAGCAGCTATCTATTTCAGAAATAAACGAATAAAACAAGGCATATATTGCTTAACGTACAGATCAAAAAGCTTTAATACCAGATTAAAAAGAGAATTTGGAAATTTAATATTGTTAGTTTTTTGAAAAAAAATAGGGCTTTTTGTGGAACTGCACATGGATAACTCAGTCATTCCCCCGTGAAATCTAATCCGAGAACACGTGCCTTTCCACATAGGTCTCTCTGACTTTTTTTTGATTAGTTTCAGTTTCAGCAGACAGGAAAAAGAAAAGAAAAAACACACACAGACACAAAAATTTCAAAATCCAAAGAGGTCTAAATTGTGTGAATTTGTGCGTAACTAGATTCAAATAAATAGTCATTTAATCATTCGGACACTTATTTTTGTTCTATCTAAATCCCACGTCTTGGGATAAGATTCCATTTGCCAAGCATTTTGTAATCGATTAGCACCCAAAATAAGATAATATATATTTTGTACGCCCACTCGAACAAATATACTAGTGTGATTTCAATGAAATGTAACGGATAATGGTATCACCATATATAGTATTAGGCCTGAATTTTTCGGGAATTGGACGGAAATTGACGGGTATAGGATGGGAATGGGAATTTTCGGAATCTGAATATATTACCCAAAGTATTCTCATAAAATAACGGGAGAGGAATTTACGGGTATGGGACAGGAACGAGAAATTCGGGAATACCCATTCAAATATTATTTTAATACCTATTCAAATATTATTTTCAATCCCGAATGGGAAATTATAATTTCCTTTTCCCAAAAAATTCGGGAATTTCGGGACGGATACAAAACGGGACGGGTTACCCTTCTCAAAAAATTCAGGCCTAACTATACGTTGATGATTATGAGATAATTAGATATTTACCAATTTTTTCGTTAGAGCTTACTATATTTATCTTTATGGTATCTTAGTCTATCCGTATTTGTGGACCAAAAGTCGTATTTATTCTTTTAGTAAAAAAATTCGTATTTATTAGAAATACACATTAATTTTTCTCGTTATGTTTCATTATATAATATGTCTAGCGAATATTTCTTGTTTAAAAAAAATCTATGCAAATATTATATATGTGTATTATACATACTGTTTTATGATTAGGTTATTTTTAATTGAATTTCTAAAATTTGTTGCAAAAAAAAAAATAAGTATTGAATGATGTGTTTATGTAGAAAAAAATACATTCTTTTAATATGCATGCATATTTTACACCATAAAAAAAACTTATATAAAATTAGAGAAAGTATGAACTATGCAACGACTGAATCATGTATAGAGTGAAATATGAAATGTATTACGAATATTTGAAGACTTTTCAATACAAATTTAGTCTAAATTCGGTTCTGAGTGATATGGTTTTAGATTTAGTATTAAACTATTAACATATTTCTCTACTAATTTTAAACCAATTCACTTTGCTTTTATAAATTACGGATAGTTTTAATTAAATTAACCAAAAAAATAATATCGTTATTATTTCAATGAAGCTCAAAGTGGAGATATTCATTACAAATACAACTAGTTAGAAACTACTTGAACCTTGCTAAAATTAGAGATGCATTAAGTGGTTTAACTTGTTTGTCGATTTTGATAAGGATATGGACATACAAAATTATGACATCCGATTATTTTTTTACCTTGAATATTTATTTATTTATCTTTTGGTCTTTTCCCAGAAGGAATATCGTTTAAATTGATTTTCCATTTTGATTCGATTTTTAATTAGTTGTTTGGGCACAGGTTACGGCTTATGAATCGATTTAGAAGTAATCATCATATTTAAATTATAGCATACTGTAAGTGTTGATTTCGTGGTAGCTTAGTATATGAGCATATCTTATTACTATAATTTTAATGAGATTTTGCTATGGCAATGCGTCTATACGATTACGTCATTGAGTGCCCTCTAGGATGCAAACATGTTTAAAGAATGGGGACCATTGCGTTTAATCAAACCTCATCTTTAAGTACTGAGTATTTTAAAACTTTACAACTACTGAGATAAAATAAAATTACTAGTATATTAAAATATCTTCTCTTGATGTCATTATAATAACAGATAGATTCCCAGTGCTTTGAATTTACTCGAACCATCCTGGCAAAATCTGTGACCACTAGCTTTAAACCTAACGTCTTCATCCATGACAGTGCCTCGTATATATATATATATATATATATATCTCTTTTTTCTTTCTCAATGTGGTTATATGTACTTAGGTCACAGTTTTTATATTAATACATTGAAATTTTGAAAATATCACTTAAATGTTTGGTGGATTCGACTTGTTTCTATCTAACAGTCATCCAAGTTTTACATTTTATTGGCAAACAGATCATTTGGAGAAAACACATGTTTTCCCTATATATTTTTCATTGTGCCACTGCAAGGATAGATGGAGAAACAAAAATAACTACGTGATTAGAGGATAATAATAAAATGTCTTTTTAGTAGAATATTATATGGTGAATGAAATTTGAAAAGTATTTATCAAAACTCATATAATATGTATATATATATATACGCACATATATATCTGGATTCACCTGTCTTGACATTAAGGGGAAAAAAATCTATAGATCGAGATAACGATATAGTTCTCGCTATAAATTAATTTTAAAATAAGATTGATTTTAAATTAATTTTAACTGCGAGAATGTTTTACATTCTGTTTTCGTTTTTTCTACTAAAGTAAAGATTCCATGCCAACGTCAAAGAATATAGTGCTCATTTTTTCTACATACAATAATTTATAGGTGCAAATAAATGCGGGAAGAAGTCGCACAAATAAAATAATCAATTAATCATTTTTTTCTTGGTGTTGGATTATAGTGATACAAGAAAATAGAATTCCCAATTATAAGGGCTAACTGTCCCTTCACAGCTGAAAAAAAAATAACATATGAAAAGAAATGGAATAACATTGCATTTGCATATAATCGTGTAATAAATTATTTGATATTATTCAGAGGAAGTCGGGCACAACATGTGTTTTTTCCACTTCTGCATTTATTTATTTATGATGAGCCTGTCTTTTATTTTTAAGAAATGTTTTTGCCCTCTTCCTTTTTAATGTACCTCAAGTCCATCAAGTATAACAGGGTACTTGCTTCTATTTTTTTATAACCGTTTTGTAATAATTTTTCTTTTTGCATGACACTATGGTGGAAAATTGACGAATACTTAAGAGTACGGAAATACTATTGTAACTAGCATTATAAGAAAATAGATTTCATAGTTTAGCAATTTGTATAATATGTGATTAAGATAAACACCATTTTTATAATATTTTTAATATAAATTTTAATGTGTCTTTGTCTTAATTTATTTTATGTTTGTACCAATAAGGTTTTCAAATACAGGTTTATAATGTAAACAAATTGAAACGAATCTATCTTACTTATTATTATTATTTTTTTAAAACGTTAAATTTGGCGACACATAGCTGTAAACCTGTAACAATGATATGTAGCTATGGACCCAATTTTCTTTTCCATACAGAACATAATTCGCACCACTTAAATTAAGTCAGACTCTAATGGAATCTTCCGCCATTATTGCGATGCCCCCAGCTCCAATCAGATGAAAATCTACTGCTTCAGCTTTCACCTATTTTCTCATTATTGTGATTGCAGTTTGATTTTATGCATAAAAGTAATAAAAATTTAAACAAATCAATTATATATTTTTGGATTCAGACGCAATTCTATGTCATGCTTATTCATTCCTTACAAATATATAGCTTGGATGGTATATATATATGGTGTACAAAAATATAATTAGACAATTAGAGATTTATTATACTGAATACATATTAATATAAGTAAAGATGGTATACATACGTGGAAGCATAAGTGTTGTATAAATTTATAATTAACAAAAATTATGTACAAACCACGATGATGATATATGTAAATACAAATATCATATGTGTCGAATGCCTTTTAACCAACAAAAAAAAGTTATATACAGTATACTGTATATATATATATATCTGTGGCAATGCACACCGCTGATCTGTACATGTACCAGTCCTTTCGTTCATTGGTTAACCTAGTTGAACGTGACACATGTCGGAAAATAAACTGGACTATTTCTGACGTGGAAAAGCATTTTAATTATGTGATTTGACAAGTTTAGGCATCGTTGTCAGAAAATTAGAGTAATTAAGTAGAGCCACAAAAAACAGATTGAAGCCCCGTATCATATTTGCTCACACGGTACGTAATTCTATATTAAGTTTAAAACCAATAGGCATACTATTGTCCAATTTAATTATATTACTCGATGTCTTGACATAAAGGAAAAAAAAAATTAAACCAAATAAAAACTTTGTAAATAGTTGATTAAAAATTGAAAATCACGATTCTTGTCTTGCTCCTTACAGCTTACTAGATAGTTAAGCGCACCAAACCAACTTTTTCGTTAAAACAAATCATAATGTATTAATGTTAGATGCTTAGAGCTACTTTCAAATGTTACCACTTACCCTCTAATAATCTACTTAATTACAGTAATACCATACTTTGTTTGTGCCTATTGAGTCACTGACCCACACCTTGCGCACCACGAATAATTCCACAGCGGGTTGGTTCAAATCTTGTCATAACATGTATATACACGTCTATCAACCGAGTAGCATGTTGGGTTACATTTAATCTTGATCTGGTAAACGCAGGAGACACCTAAATTAAGATCATGAAACAGATCTAATAAAGGTATCCATTGTTTATTGGTGATTATGAAATCCAATGAGTTCGATATTCATCATTGAACATATAACATGCAAAATATAATGTATCCACTATCTAAGCATTATAAAGTGCCACTATATGCAAATATCCACATGGCCAAGAGTCCAAGACTCAAACGTCGCATTATCAACATTACAGGCTCGATTTTTTTATTTGTAAATAATATATATATATATATATATATGGAAGAGGAGAAATAGAGTTGAATAGTTGATAAGGATGATAATCGTTATGGGTTTCTAAATATTGCAATCATTTCGTTAGCCAAGGTCACAGTACTGTCAGTACTAGATATGTTTATTCTAACACGAATATAACGTAAAATAATTACGGAACTAATGAACGGATCATAGCATGCATCATGCATATTAGCAACTATTTCGGAACGAGTATAATTATGAATGATATATACATATTAGTTTTGAGTACTAGCTACATATTTTTTTAAAAAAATTCAACTATAATATTTAAAATATAAAAAAAAATGTAAATTGTTATGTTCTGGCTGTATTTAGTTTTTTTCCCCGTATTTTGGTTTCGTGTATCTTCAATTTCAAATTTATGCATACAAATGTGTGGTAACTAATACTATATTATATTGTTAATAAGACATTATTTGATTAGTAATCGAAAACTGAGGAATGACAGTGTGAAACCTAAAATATGGCTATGTAGAAAATAGGGGAGATTTTCATATTGGAGAGAGAGAAAGAGAGAATATGTAAAAGAGAAAGAAATGGTGTGCCAGCTATGAATTTGAAGGATCAAAGCTTTCTCTTAAGGCCAAAGCTGTCATCTCTCCCTCTAACTCTTTCTCTCTCTTCCTTATAGTGCTCTGTTTCTTCCCCCCCCACAATCACACACTCTCCTCTCTCTCTCTCTCTCTCTCTCTATCTTCCTTTACATTCACTTCTCTATCTTTTTTATATCTTGGAGGTGAAGAAGCAAAGAATTTTGGGGCAGCAGATTATAAAAGTTTCCTCGCGTTGAAAGATTTGACTGTTAATCTTGATGATTTAATCGATTGATTAGATCCACAAGCTCTTTCTTCCTCCCAAAAAAAAGAAAGAAAGAGAAAATCAATGGCGGTTTATCCTAATGTTAATGGCGATAAGAAGCACTGGTGGTTCACTCAAAGAAAGGTATTTAAAAAAATTCTCAAACCCCTCAGAAAATGTTATATTATTGAGAAGGGATTAATATTGGATTTCAAAGATTTTAAATTTTTCGTCCTTGAATCTTGTTTTGTCTCTCAGCTTGTTGATAAGTACATTAAAGATGCAAGGACTTTGATGGCAAGTGAGGAGCTAAACGACGTCACTTCAGCTGTTCATTTGCTTGACGCAGCGTTGTCCATATCGCCGCGTTTGGAGACGGCGTTAGAGCTTAAGGCTAGATCTCTGCTTTTCCTCCGTCGTTTCAAAGAAGTCGCCGATATGCTTCACGATTACATTCCCAGTCTTAAGCTGGCCGTTAACGACGAAGAAGCCTCCTCTCTATCGGAAGGCTCTTCCTCCTCCTCCTCCTCCTCGCGCGACGGAGTTAAGCTTCTCTCCGACGCGTCTTCACCCGGACATGATTCGTCGTTCAAATGCTTCTCTGTTTCTGATTTGAAGAAGAAAGTGATGGCAGGGATCTGTAAGAAATGCGACAAGGAGGGGCAATGGAGGTATTTCACTCGTTTACTTCGAGTAAACGCACCGCATAAAACGCAACCGCTAATTTTTGACGTTTTTTTTTTCCCATTCTTCCTTTCAGGTATGTTGTGTTGGGGCAAGCTTGTTGCCATCTAGGACTAATGGAGGATGCGATGGTTCTACTTCAAACCGGGAAACGTCTCGCCTCCGCCGAGTTTCGTCGCCGGAGTATTTGCTGGTCCGACGATAGCTTCATACTCCTCTCCGAATCCTCCTCCGCGTCTCCACCACGCAACCTCACGGAGAGCGAGAATTTCACTCACCTCCTCGCTCACATAAAGCTCCTTCTCCGTCGTCGCGCCGCTGCAATCGCCGCACTCGATGCCGGGCTTTTCTCTGAGTCAATCCGTCACTTCTCGAAGATCGTCGATGGTCGTCGTCCTGCGCCGCAAGGATTCCTCGCCGAATGCTATATGCACCGGGCCGTCGCGTATAGATCGGCCGGTAGAATCGCGGAGGCGATCGCCGATTGCAACAAAACCCTAGCTCTTGAACCGTCATGTATCCAAGCGCTGGAGACCAGAGCCGCGCTTCTGGAAACAGTACGGTGTTTTCCAGATTCGCTTCACGATTTGGAACACTTGAAGCTTCTCTACAACACAATTTTACGAGATCGGAAACTTCCAGGCCCGATCTGGAAGCGGCACAATGTCAAGTACAGAGAAATCCCTGGGAGATTGTGCGTGCTGACAACCAAAACGCAGAAGCTGAAGCAGAAAATCGCAAACGGAGAAACTGGGAATGTCGACTATTACGGTTTGATCGGAGTCAGACGCGGATGCACCAGATCAGAGCTGGACCGAGCTCATCTATTGCTGTGTTTGAGATACAAACCCGATCGAGCCTCGTCTTTCATCGAACGGTGCGAGTTCACCGAGCAAAACGACGTCGATTCGGTCAGAGATCGAGCGAAGATGTCTTCGCTGTTGCTTTACCGCTTGATTCAGAAGGGATATTCCGCCGTGACGGCGATCATAGCCGAGGAGGCGACTGAGAAGCTGAGAAAGAACACTGCGGCGGCTCAGGCTCAGGCTCAGGCTCAAGCTCCAACGCCAGTACAGAAGACTGAAGAACGCAAACCGGTTGAAAAATCCGGTTCGATTAAGATAACCGGAAACATTGATCCGAAACCGGTAAATTCCAATGCTTACCAAGGAGTTTTCTGTAGAGATCTCGCTGCTGTCGGGAATCTACTAACTCGGGCTGGTTTTAACCATCCGATCCCGGTTAAATACGAAGCTCTCACCTGCTAAACATTGGACCGGCATTTTTCTACCAAATCAGCGAACGCAAACGCCAATCATTTTTGAATACTTGTCCCGTACAGAAAGAAAAGAAAAAGCAGAAGATAATAATAAGAATATATAATGTATGAATACAAATGAAATGTTGTAGATTATGGAAAATTTTGTCACTTTATTATCTCCGATGTTCGTCTATTTCTATCTATTTTTCTTTTAATGTGCATATAAGTATATAACAAAGTCACAGATCGAAGTTCAAATTACTCACGTAAATTAAAAATAGTTTTATATCAGATTTAAATGTTCTTCTATTCATTCCTTAGTTATAATTTTTTGTGCAACAATTTTTTTTGTTTGTGTGCGCAACATTCTGTAGCTATTAGAATTGTGCTAATGGTAGTTTGTTTTCCCTTTATCATAGGGTTGTCGAGAATTTGCATAAAAATGAGTCGAGGAGTCTGACACACGTCAGTAATATTTTGAGTAAATCCTCTACTAATGGTATAGGGATGATTCATTAGGGGCACATAAAATTAAGATGGCAAAAATGAAATAAATTCAGTTCAAAAAAAAAAATGAAATAAATTTAAAATGATACACTAGCTATATAATAATAAGATCAATGTCGCGATTCACGAGGCTTTTATTGGTAATGGGTCACTGGTATTTAATTTGACTTATGGCGGTTACAATTTTAAATACTTAGTGATGTAAAGGTTAAGCTTCTATATTATTATGAATGGAGATTACAGCATACATACAAGACTACAAGAGAGATTACAAGAGCATAATTGTAGAGATTGAAGAACTAATTGTATAGAGTAATTACATGAATGATATGAGGGATTTGAGAGAATATGATTACAGTTCCTTAACACGTTCCTTCAAGATGTAGGGTTGGTGACTTCAATCTTGGAGCATAGATCTTGAAATGAAGAGCAAGAGAGTGGCTTTGTAAGAGCATCCACCAATTGATATTTAGTTGAAATATGTGCCATTCGAAGAATACCCGCTTGAACTTGATCCTAAATAAAATGACAATCCAAACAAGGTGTTTCATACGAGAGTGGCACAAAATGATCTCGTTCTCGATCTCCAATAGTTTATTCACTGCACTTTCTCCCCATGTCAAGTAACAGCCCCTTTCACCATATTTTATGAGTTGCATGAAAAGCCTATACCAGTGGTGGTTAATTCTTATATGTATATATTTCTCTGTTTTAGAGATCGTGTTTCAAAATGTAAACCTTATAAATAAACTATGTCGAGACCACCCTGTCCAAAATTGAGAAATTTCGCGTGGACTTTAATTAGAATTATTCCAAAATTGATCATTTGATATGCCAGGTGTGTTTTGCTTGGTTCAATAGTTTGCTTCAATTTAGAAAAAGAAACGATAAGAAGAATCACCAAACATAGTACTTCGATAGTTAAGAAGCGTCTTCCCCACGCAACCATATGTCACGTTGGGGTTGGCTCGGCTCAACTCCTTTGAAACATATATTTACACGTGTACGGGTCAGGTCACAGATTGCAGGGATGGCATTTGTCATCGGTTGAGTTCCATGACCAGTTCCACTTTCTCGATGATGTTTTGTTACTATGAGTATGGACAAAGGAACGATCATCCACATTTTACCAAAAAAGAAAAAAGAACGATCATCCAACTCAACCATGGCTTCCTTTCTGGTAACCCTAACTACGCTAGTCTCCTGCGATGTTTCGGGAGAAATTTGGTTGAGAAATCACTCTTCTAATTCAAATCTTTTCCCGATAATTTGTATCGATTCTCAATTATCAAGGTATAAAACAATGATCTACATTTGGTAGCTCAAATATCTTTTCAATATGCCATCATTAATTATATATTGATAAATTATTATTAACCTATATAAACCTAAGATGATGATGATGTACGGCAAGGACCAGAAGTGGAAACATGACATAGGGGTCAATTTAGAGAATTTAACTAGTTTACCACAACTAGTTACAAATTAATAAAATGTTACAATGGAAAAATGATCTTATATGGTCATTATTTAAAATTCTTGAAGCTTAGATAAAGAGGTTTGGCGAATGGGGAAGAAAGACCTATATGTTCATATGAGATATGAATTGTCGGGATCAATTGCTATGACCTATATTTGATAATTCACTGCTCGGTGATGGTTTAATATACTGAAACTGAAAGTAATCAACAGTACATATTTTCGGTAGATTTGATTCTGGGAGGAGACAGGTTTATTTTTGCCTAAAAAGACATGGGCCGAAGTCCGAAATTTCTCAGTTATTACTTATTACTTAATAGATAAAGGTCATATTATACAGGGTTACATATTTCAGATTTTGTATGAAATGTAGTATTAATAGTAGTATTACACCAAAAAATTGACCATTTTTTTTTTCTTTCTTTTAAGATCGAGCGAAGCTCAGCTTAAGTTTTAAAACGAAAAGAATATTTAAAAACAATTTATGTCTTCTCTTTGCGGATTATATCGTATGCGCGTACTAACAGAAAGGCTCGTTTGACAATAATAAGTGTGCCTCTAAAAGCATGTTCGTTGGGAAGTCTTCCCATTTTTAGGCTCAGAGTACATATGCAAATGTGATTAAAAATAAATAAAAAAGTCCAAGATGGAAAATTCGGGTCTTTAAGATAACCCTGAAAACTCCAGGTTCGTCCAGGTTCGTCTAAGTGGCAAAATATCAGCGAATTTTTTTTTTTAATTTTTGAATTTAAAAAAAAAGAAAAAAAAGAAATTAATATCTGATCAACTACTGCATTGCATAACAATCAGACATTTATATGATTTGAACATTAATTTTCGTATAAGTTGGGTATTTTAATAGGTTAAAATCAATTTCAAAATTTTTTATAGCAAAATAATTATAATCGCAATGCTTATCATCCAAATTTTATTTTTGTCAGTACATGTTTTGTATAAGTAGCTAGCTATCTGTATATTACTAGGATTGAGTTTTCACAGTGGTAATACTGTCGATCAGACCATAATAAATTGATCATAATAATAATAACAAAAAAATGAGAAGTTTATGTTTTTGACCTAACAAAAATGAGAAGTTGGTCTTTTAGAGTACTAGTTTCGATGACTTTTCTATATAAGAAAATGATTTATTCCCCTAAATATTATAATTGTATTTATATACTCATCACAAGTACTTTGTATGAATGAAATGGTCAACTCATCTTATGGTGATCTATTGGTAAAAATAAAAATAAAAAATCCCTCTTGAGAATTAGTTTGGGTTTTAGTGTTGCTCTAATATTTAACAAAATAGTTGCTGTTCGGAAAATTGAATAGTACCATGTACGTACTAAGGTCTTTAATTTCTCCATTAGTTAGTCCAATATAACTACGAACGGAAGTGCAAATAATGACATGTGGGGAACACGTAGTTAGATGAGTAGTAAATGGGAAACATATTTGGTTGGTTGTCCTCATATTTTCGTGTATTGAGTTAGATATGGAAACTTGTCAAATTTATTTTTCCAGAGATTCCATAAGATTCCGTCGAATATAATTGGTATATATGGCGGGCGATACAACTTTAGGTACGTTGTTGCGCAGTGTGTAGATATATATTAATTAACCAATTTAACTCGTTTGTTTGATTAGGACCAAAAGCAGCGACTACATTTCATTACTTTCATTATCTTAATTTTGATTTTCTTGTCCACTTTGTGCAGATATACATGTAGTATAAGCTAACGGGTTATGGTTCTTCTACATAAGGAAGATAGATCTATGAGAATAAAGTGTGAGAAAAGAAACAGATGTCTAGAAATTTTGTGAGTGTGTTTTACAAAGGTATTTGGTAGAAATTTTGTACTAGTTGGAAGTGTTGCACGAAGTAAATAATGTAAGAAGCAGAGTGGAACGATGGCTGACGTTGTGAATATTGTTAAAGCTAGTTTTAGTTATTTTTATGACGGTGAAGGAAACAAAAGTTCGATAGGGAAAAAGAAATCATACGTTGGCAAAATAATATGTTAGATTGTTAGGAAAGTAATTAGCTAGAAAATTGTTAGGGTTGAGAAGATGATTCTATGTATTTTTTTTTTTGGTCGACTAAACACTGATTGCTTAGGAATTTTAATGCATCGAGATCGTGTTAATAGAAAACGTGTGAAATAGGGAGTTAATTTAGTGGCAATTAAATCCGATTAAGATGAATTTGTAAATTACCCAACACATCTAAAACTATTTTCTTGTGTCAAGCTATTTCCATTTTCTAAATCTCTGAGTTATTGCCTTTTCAAACTTCATTTGTTCTCGAAGTTGAAATGGTATATCATCATATCGCTGAACGCACACGTGTTTTGTAGTGGGAGCAAAGAGTCAATAAACCATCTGATCTGGTCAACGGACCAAGATCCGGATATTTTATATGTTATTCAAGATATGCGATTACCATCTAATCTACGTAATTCACGTGACCATCAATAACTACATTTCATCTAATTTAAAATATTTGATAAACAAATTAAGCAAAATAAGAAGAAGAGAAAAAAGTAATGTCAATAAATCAATAATGATCTCAGGCACACACTAGAATAAATTAGCGTCTAAAAGAACCACGACGAGCCTGCACGGACCGATCGCGAGTCTCTCGACGGTGAATAAGCCACGACTTCAGTCTCGTTCTCAACCAACGTGGCGCTTCACACACCACACACGTGTCATCATCTCGTTCCCCCTTGAATGCGCGAGCTAGTTAACCCTCTTTTAATTAATTGTCCATCTTCCGCTATAAATACCAAATCAGTCACTTTTCCTTCCGTTGTCTGTCACTCAGTAACTTCTTTTTCTCCTTCACTTAAACACACACACACACTCTCTCTCTCTCCTTCGCTTGACTTTTGTGGTCAGTGAGAGAATCATAAATACATATAGCCGCCGGAGAAAATGGGAAGAGCGCCGTGTTGCGAGAAGGTGGGGATAAAGAGAGGGCGGTGGACGGCGGAGGAAGATCAGATTCTCTCCAGCTACATTCAGTCCAACGGTGAAGGCTCTTGGAGATCTCTCCCCAAAAATGCAGGTATTTAATATTTACACATCCTTTTTGTTTTCTAAAATGATAATTACACATACAACAATGTCATGTAACACAAACTTCAAGCTACTACAATATCTGAGAGATCAGAAAAATAATCGTGGCTCTTGTCGTAAATTCCGTGAATCATGGATTGTTGGTTAGTTTTATTTCATGATATGTTTGGAAGCAAATTTAATTAAGTTTTTTTTTTTACATGTGAAACGTTATATTTGTAACCCTAATTAATCTCGTGTCAGTTTAATTTCAGTGCTTTGTTTATTTGTCAGTGTCACGGTCACGGTGGGTTGTGAATGTACGTACGTATACCAAGTGTATGACTTTAAAGAGTTGGTTATATACTTATAGTACACGGACAAATGTTAAAAAAGAAATTCGAATAGATGTGCGTACTTATATATCTTGTCCGTTGTTTATCATTTCACGAATAAGATAAAAAAATCATATGACTAATTTTGATTTGATTTCCAACTCCGTTTTTAACAAAGGATTAATTAATGCAGTAGTTGAGATATTTTTGTATCCATACGATATACATGTAAAAAAATTCTGATCAGAACGCTATAATCTCGTGAGCAGTTATATTATATCAGACCCCCATAAAATACATATTTGTTTGCCCGGTCAAAAATGTATACATTCTTCGAAAAAATAAACGTGTATTAAAAACAAATAAACAGATGTTGAGTTACTAAATTTGGCATGTATTATTACTTTCTTAATTTTTTATCTTTATATTTTTTTTTTGTGTAAAAAGGCTTAAAAAGGTGTGGAAAGAGTTGTAGATTGAGATGGATAAATTATCTTAGATCTGACCTCAAGCGTGGGAACATTACTCCTGAAGAAGAAGAAATCGTTGTTAAATTGCATTCCACTTTCGGAAACAGGTACTCTTTTAATTTAATTGTTTCCCCTTTTTCCAATTTGTTAACGGACAATTGACGGTCAATGACTTATATGCATCGTATCATATAACAATGATGATTACATGTCGATCAAATAAGCAAGGCTTGATGTTATTGTGATCCTCTCTTTTCGTTTAGCGATTTTTTTTTTTTTTTTGTGGTGGACATTTTTGCTATGGTCGGGAATATTAATTTACATCAGAAGATTACAAAACTTACAGTAGTAAAAGAGACTTTTTAATTTCGTCGAACAAAAAAATAAAAACAACCTTTTGTTCGTTGTGGCCCTTGTGGGTCACCTCTTGATGCTTTTATGTTGTCAGACTTTTTCTCTTTTAGTTGAGACAAACTAATTGTACTCTCTAATAAATGTACACTTCATATATAACGCAAGCAGTAATTGGAACACACACATATATATATATATGTGATTTCTATATATAAAGTTAACATGCTAAAAGGCTAAAAGCTCTTAAACATAGATATGAGGCACCGTCACTCATTGCTCGAGTAGTTTTTGGTATATGTTTGTATTGTAATTAATAATTATAAAAAGTTTAGAAGCATGGTTAGGTCAGCAGTCGTAATAACGTGGCAAAATCAAATTTAAAACAGTACTGGCCACTAGTCTATTGATTCCAGTCGGGCCACGAAATTCTCTTAATCCCCGGAAGGATATATTTATTTATTTATAAGGTTGGTCAAAATTGTTGTTATAAGAGTGTTAATCAATGATATAATGTTTTTTTGATGTAATAATGATGTAGGTGGTCACTAATTGCGAGTCATCTACCAGGGAGAACAGACAACGAAATAAAAAATTATTGGAACTCTCATCTCAGCCGTAAACTCCACAACTTCATCAGAAAGCCGTCGTCGATCTCTCACGACGTCGCCGTCGTAATCATGAGCGCTCCTCCAGCGTCTCCGCCGGCAAAACGCAGACCAGGGAGAACCAGCAGATCCGCCATGAAACCCAAAACTCACTACCCCAAAACTCGAAAGTCAAAGAAAACGTCTGCACCGCCGACGGAGACAAACGCAGACGTAGCGGTTAAAGCGGTGGCGGGAGAAGAAGCATTAATGATGGAGTTAAGTGGAGCCGAGATCGACGACTACTATGGAGCCTGTCATGAAAGAGGAGAGTGTTGCAATAATAATAATAATGATAAGAATAATCTTATGATCAGCATTGATGGGGACAATGGAGTTTTATCCTTTGATGAAGACATCGCTGATCTTTTGTTGGACGAGTCAGATCCAGGCCACGTGTTCACATCATTTGGTGGTGATCATGCAAAGTCAAATCATTTAGGAGACTCTGATGGAGCCAGAGGGTTCTCGGAGAATCTCGACTGTCTTCAGTCTTGTCCGTCGGTGGAGTCGTTTCTCAACTGCGAGCACCAAGTCAACGATGCGTTGACGGATGAGTTTATTGATTGGGATTGTGTTTGGCAACAAGGTCATCATAATAAAAACCTTTGGGATGAGAATGAGGGTTCTGATTCAATGGTCTCGTGGCTTCTTGACGGTGATGATGAGGCCACCATCGGGAAAAGTAACTGCGAGAACTTTGGAGAACCGTTGGATCATGACGAGGAAAATGCTTTGGTCGCTTGGCTTCTGTCTTGATGAAGATGTTAATCATCTCTGTTAATTAAAGTTTCTAGTGTCTTTTTGTAGTTTCAGTTTGAATCCATTCCATGTGGTATGTGGTGTCAATGTGTCATCGACTTATGCTTTCTCTAATTGTTGTATGGTTTCTTCTTTTTAGGTTTAATATTTTGATATTGTGAGTAATAATACGAGAAAATAGTAAAAAAAAAAATATGAACTTTCAAAATTTTGACCATTTAAAACATTAACTATGATGTAGGTATTTAAATCATCAATTTTTATTGATTTTAAATTTCAATCACTAATTATTAATTGACTGAGTCAAATTCGACATAACTTTAAATTGATTAATGGAATGGATAAAACGAGATTAAACCGCTAAAATCACATTAAATTAAGTAAGTAAAACAAACGAAGTTGTTTCGTCCATCTTTTACAATTTCAACCAAGTTACTTTACTTAAATGTCTTTTTCTATCAGAACCAAAATTAATTTGTGAAATTATACATAGCAGCTAATTAAATCCTTAATATTCGTATGAACAATATATACATACAATAGCTTCAAACAATTCGAGTTGTTTCTCTAAAACTTGTTGATAATAAAATCACATAGCCGCCAAATTATCCTGAATTCTTGACGTTCATACCCAAAAATAAGTTGTAATTTGTCAAGCGAGAAACTCTTTCACAGTTACAAGATATAAGACCAAAGCAGATAGCATCCCATTATTGGATTTCCAAAGAGACATAATTATTCAAATCCTCACGCCTAAGAAAAAATATACCAAACTCTGGCTTTTACGAAAAATTCGATTACAATATGAGACTCATAAACGTTCAACACTTCACTCAGTTGCTAGCTAGACTGGCGCAGCTCAGGTCGAACAAAAGAATGAAATCCAATAATGGGATCGATATATGCTCTCTGCTTTGGTCTTATAAACATACCACGTGTTCACATCGTTTGGTGGTGATGCGGAGTTGAATCATTTAGGAGACTCTGATGGAATCATTTATCTGGATTCCAGAGCTAGCATTCAAATATCAATACAGAATAAGATATAATCACGTACGTCTATGTAATTCCTAAAAATATAGCAGTATCTCCTTTAGTTCATATAATCGTCAGACAATTATAACTGGAGTAACGAAGAATTATATTGTCTTTTCTTTACAGCCAAATAATAAAAGAATACAACGTATAATCTCTAGTTTGAAGCTAAAAGGTTTATTTGTATGGCTATCGACTTGGAAAGCCTTGAATCCAATGCCTCCTTCAGTCAACTGGTTCAAGGCTATCTGGTTCTCTGGTAGAATCCCTAAGCACTCTTTCATCTGTTGGTTAGCGGCGAGGAACAGATTGAATACCAGAGACAGACTTCAATCATGGGGCCTCAACATTCCATCGACCTGTCTCCTCTGTGATGTGCACGATGAATCGAGGCAGCATCTGTTTTTTGACTGCTCCTTCAGCCAAGATGTTTGGTCGTATTTCCACTCTGCTGCAAACATTGCTCCGCCTAGCAACTTTGATCAGCTACTGATTTGGATTAAAAACGCCTACAGTGACAGTAATACTTCAACAATTATGAAGCTCTGTTTCCAGGCATCTCTCTACGGAATCTGGAAAGAACGAAACTCGAGACTGCACAATGCCACCTCCCGTCCGTCATCGGTCATCATCTCAGAGATAAAGCGAACGATCAGAGCCAAACTTGATCCCATGTCTCGCGCTCAAACATCCACATCTCTCTCTTATCTCGGCACATGGTTTTCCTTCTTCTCTAACTGAAGCTTTGGCTTCCTTTTGGATTGCAGATCAATATTCTTTTTTGTAAATGATCTGTTGCATTGGCGCTATAACCCTGAGGGGCACAGTTGTAACACGTTTTATAATTTGAATGAAAACGTTTATGCTAAAAAAAAAAAAAAAAAAAAGAAAAGGTTTATTTGTGCTTACGAGTAAAATGATAGCTATTTCTCTAAAACCAGCATACAGCTGCAACACATATGCACGTGGCGAAATCAAATCTTAATGAAGGGTGTTCTCAGTTCTAACTTCTTTGTACGAAACTACGAACAAGTAGGTATTTAATTATTATGGACGTTGGAACAATAACACAGTATTGTCCTTTCTTTTTTTGTTGGGTTAAAATGTCTTGCCCTTCTTATTATAGAGACATGAAATTAATTATGTTTCTGTAAACTTGTAGTAAGTAGATCTATACATGTGACCTAACTTTAATGTTAATTAGTGAAAACATAGTTGAAGTTCTCGTTGAAGAATTTTCACTTAGATAAATGTGCTAAATATAATTAATGCTCAGGCGTATTATACTGTTGTTTCGGACTGTAAATGATGTACGATCTTAGTACTCTTGAACCCACAACTTTTATATAAAAAAAAACAATTTAGACCAACAAGCAATTAGAGATGATGACCTCTAGCAATTAGCATGCATTAACGAATTTCAAAAACACTATAACAAAAAAGGGACGTAGAGATATTTTTGGGGCAACGACCCACGCATTAAATTTATGTTTGGAAGATGGAATGAAATACTAGTTGGCAACACGGCATGTACAAAAATATGAAGAATTTTTTTTTCAAGTGGGATGTTATTTCTTATTTTCTCAATTTCTTAATTTACTCATATTTTAGTATACCCATAATACATAAAAGAAAGGGAAGTAAAACAGTCGCTTTCTTATACGTCCGACTTGGTTCCATAGTCTTTGGAATACCCACGTGATGCCATGTACTTTTCTCGTCTATTTTTTTTTTTCTTTTTTAATTTTATGTTCTACTATGAGAAAAATATTTTTGAAAATATACGAAACTTAGAGCATATACATCAAATGATCAAGAGGGGTTCATGGCACAGTTTTTGAGACAAAAGAGCTTAATTTTGAAGAGACAGTATTATCCCGACAAACCTGAAGAGACGGTATCATCCTGAAATGGAGCATTTTGATAATTTTCGAATTAAATAAAAAAATAAAACTAAAACCAAAAAATAATATATTATTATATTCTGGTGAACCCCTCTCTTAGAAATTCACTAATGTACATACTCTTAGTAGTATGGCTCAGAATAAATTCTCAACACACCTATTAATTGTTAGAAAAAAAAAAACTGAACTTTTGTAGCATATTATATATACACACACGGCTTCTTTTAACCATCATTGTTTACACTTGGCTAATTAAGAAATTTATTTCGCCTTTTCACATTGTTATTTCTAAGAGCTTCGGATTGTCTAATATTTTTAGTAAAATTCGAAATTTTAACTCGTTCAGCTTGTTTATAAAACCTGTTTTCGATTAACTTTTTGCCAGAGAAAGCCCATCCAGGCCCAAATAAATCACATTTGTTTTATCGGTCGATGACTGGGTAATATGAAGCCCATCTGCCAATTCTCTAAAGAGAGTGCCGTTTGTGGGGTTACATTACATATTTTAAAAGTAAGGGCGTTTAACGAAATTGTAGGAAAGTTCAGAGCTTTCCTCTCTATTTTGGAAAGACTTTTTCTCTTCTCTTCTCCGTGAAAGATGTGGAAGGCCAAAACCATTCATAATCCGACATGTAACCCAGCCACGTAGTAAGTACACTCGATCACCGTTCGTAATTAATCTGTGATTAAATCGACGATCCACATCAAGCCATGTCATTAAATAATTTATTCACGTTCCCATTTTTCTGTATCTTCTTCTCGACGGGAAAAATTATGGACATTTTATAACACAGAGTACTTCTGAGAAAGATCAAAGCTCCAAGTGAAAGAAGAAAAAGATGGCGAAATCTCAGATCTGGTTTGGTTTTGCCTTTCTAGCGTTGCTTCTTGTGTCAGCCATAGCGGACGATGTGGTTGTTTTGACGGACGATAGCTTCGAGAAGGAGGTCGGTAAAGATAAAGGAGCTCTGGTCGAGTTTTACGCTCCCTGGTATGGTTCAGTTCCTTCAGTCTTTTTTGGCGTTTTTGAATTAAGCAGCTGTAGATTCGAGGATTCGGATTCCGATGAGATCCTTTTTGTTAGATTCGTGGGTTTGATCTGTAAATCTTCTGTTCGATTTGTCATGGAGGATATGTTTTGATTAGTGATTGCGGTCTTCCGGATTGTTAGGCATGAGTATGTTGATTTTAAATCGATGAACATGGTTTTATTGAGCAACTAGAGTTACTGAATACTGATGTCGCTGGTGAATTTTACAATGCGAAGCTTGAGAGGGGACTTCTAATCTTTAACGATAGAGAATTAAGTTGTTGAGAATCCGCTTTTGGACTTCTTTTCTCTTTCTTTCTTCAAGTTTTAAATATTCTGTGTCATTTATAGGTGTGGCCACTGCAAGAAACTTGCTCCAGAGTATGAAAAGCTTGGGGCAAGCTTCAAGAAAGCTAAGTCAGTGTTAATTGCAAAGGTCAGTGTTATTCTTGATTTGTATGTAGCTCCAATATTAGATAGATGTGATCGATTCTTTCGTCAACCTGTGTATTGTGGTTGTCGGAGAGATGATCAATCCTTTCATTAATTTGTGTATTGTGGTGAAGGTGGATTGTGATGAGCATAAGACTGTCTGTACTAAATACGGTGTTAGTGGATATCCAACCATTCAATGGTTTCCTAAAGGATCCCTTGAACCCCAAAAGTAAGCCTTTACAGATTCTGTAAGCAGATAATTTACTGGATTTTTTTTTATATAGATAGTGAATGATGCTTTTTTTTTTTTTATCATGTTATCTTATTAACAGGTATGAGGGTCCACGCAATGCGGAAGCATTGGCTGAATACGTGAACAAGGAAGGAGGTAGTCTCGTTGATGATAGTAGCTAAACTAGTCCTATTTTTGGGATTTTATACACATTACATTCCGTCTTTTCAAATCTACTTTTTGGAGAAATTTGTTTAGGCATGGTTTATGAGTTAGATTCAATTGGCTACATGTTCCGTCATTTGTTTCTGAAGAATTTTATTCTCTGAGATGCAATTGTGTAGCTGGAAATACATTGGTTGGCACCATTTTCTCAATATTGCATAGGTTATATGGTCGAAAAATCATTTTTCTCAAAGTTTTTTTTTTAAAGTCATTTTCCTGTTGTAAAAGTCTTGTCTTTAAAACTAATAACTCTTCTTCAATAAGTTTTTTGTTGCGACTTGCCTTTTTTTTGTACTTACCTATGTTCAAGACAACTTGTTTATTCTTGAAACAAATATGTTTTCAGGTACCAACGTGAAATTAGCTGCAGTTCCACAAAACGTTGTTGTGTTAACCCCTGATAATTTCGATGAGATTGTTTTGAACGAGAACAAAGATGTCTTGGTCGAGTTTTATGCGCCATGGTAATATCTCTTTCATCTTTACCATCGTTTTGCTCTCACGCTATTTTCTAATTTCAAGTTTTCGTTTTCCAGGTGTGGCCACTGCAAGTCCCTGGCTCCTGTAAGTTCAACTAGTTGTCTACTTTAGATATAACAATAGTCCACTTTCATTTTGTTATTAACGCTGCTTTTTTTGTTTGTATCATCAGACATACGAAAAGGTAGCCACGGTGTTTAAGCAGGAAGAAGGTGTAGTAATCGCGAACTTGGATGCTGATGCACACAAAAGCCTTGGCGAGAAGTAAGTTGGACAAGGATTTTTGACTTACCGACTTTACTATATATAAATAAAATCATGTATATTTCGTAAATCCGAAGGATGATAACAACAACCTATTTTGTCCAACAGGTATGGAGTAAGTGGATTCCCAACATTAAAATTCTTCCCAAAGGACAACAAAGCCGGTCAAGATTATGACGGTGGCAGAGACTTAGATGACTTTGTAAGCTTCATCAATGAGAAAGTTGGGACCAGCAGAGACAGTAAAGGGCAGCTTACTTCAGAGGTTAGGAAAAAAAAAACATCTCTCTTTTAGAATCACGGTTTCTTTCCAAAGTTTAGAGCTTTCGTTGACTTATCTCTTTTTGATAGGCTGGTATAGTAAAAAGCTTAGATGCGTTGGTAAAGGAGCTAGTTGCAGCCAGTGAAGATGAGAAGAAGGCAATCTTGTCTCGCATCGAAGAGGAAGCTGGTAACCTTAAGGGCTCCACAGCAAGGTATGGTAGCAGTAGCGTGATTAAGATTTTAAAGGGTTTCATTTGTTGTTGCTTAAATTACTGAGCTTTCATGATGTCTCCATAGGTATGGAAAGCTTTACTCGAAACTCGCAAAGAACTACATAGAAAAAGGTTCAGGCTATGCTAACAAAGAAGTCGAGCGGCTTGGACGCGTCCTTGGCAAGGTTTAAAAATCATTTCTTCTCTCTCTCACTCACTCTCTCTCTATATTTGTATATATATAGATATACACTAGTATTAGCTTATTGCTAATTTAATGTTATTATCCCGATTCTTCACTGCAGTCAATAAGTCCGGTGAAAGCTGATGAATTCACTCTCAAGAGAAATATCCTTAACACGTTCGTTGCTTCTTCTTAGAAGCCAAAGTTTGAATGAAATAGGCGCAGCCTGAGAGAATAGGAGTCGCTATAACTAATACGATTTGTACTATCGGTGTTTTGGAGATTTTATGCCTGTCGAGATTTGTGGTTAGTTCTGAAACTCTTTTGAATCAAGTTTCTTTGTCTCTTTTTTTTTTTTTTTTGGTAAACCACCGGCGATAATCATGAATTTTTTTCTCTTTTCGGTTGGATACCACCGTACCAAAATTACATGAACAAGTGAGAGAGATGAGAACATCTCTGATTTAAGAAATTATACGACACATCACTTGTCTTACTGCAATGTGATTGGTTGTCTGTCCCCTAAACCGTAAACCTTCACTTTGATAAATCCGAAAGAAGAAAATCATTTTGCATATATAAGCATTCCTATATGATTCCTATCTCCAAAATTAAACAAAATCACATTTCCCTAGTCGTATTGTTTTTTTTTTTCTAGCACGATGGGCCAGGCTCAGATACATAATACATGGGCAAGCATGCACCCGTAAGTAAGTCCGTAATGGGGCATTTCTTTTTCCACCGAACAACTGTAGTTTCAAAGTCTGAATGAAACGACATCGTTTGTGATTGTGCACATCAAATTAAAATATTAAACATTATTCGACTGCAATATGTTAAATGATATTTGATGCGATACACATTTTTTTGGCTTGAAACATAGCTCAGTATAGGAAAATGACTTCCAAAAAAAATAAAAACAGTGATGAGTCAGTATGTTACATGATCCCCTTAATCAAACAAAAAAAAGTAAAGTCCGATTACAACGTAAATCACAGCAAAAGGTTCATCACATTCTGAAGAAGAAAAAAAAACCACATTTCTATGTCATTTAATTCTTTGATTGTGACAAACATTTCGGATAGTTTATAAAGTACTTTTTAAATATTTTTCCTGGCGTAAACAGCAGGCGACCAGGATGCACCGCCGAGACTGTCATGAACAAAACTCGCCGGAAAAATAAAAAAGAAAGTCAAAATCCATGAACAATCTGAGAACACTTATTCCTAATCCACCGGAGTCCATTCTTCAAAGTCGATTTAACTTTTCCTTCCACCGTATAAGCTTTATACCTCGCGATTCTCTTCTTCCTCTTCATCTCCGCATCGTTAAAACCCCAAGACGGCTTCCCCGACGACGCGTTGCTCCTACGCGCCGTTACTCGCCCCGGCGGTGACGGAGGCAAATCCCAAGCCCCGTAGTTCTGATTGCTTCCTCCCACGCCGTAACCCTTACTACCGCTCACGAGTTCTGTCCTCCGATCAACGGTGTAAGTTCTCTGACCCGACCCGTACCCAAAACCATCCTGCCCGTCCATTTCCCCTTACGCCCGATTTATGATTGGGTAGTTAATTAGACTTACAGAACTCAGCAGGTGAGAACCAAACTCTTATTTGGCCCCGTCTTTTTCTTCTCCTTATAGATTATGAAATGAAAGCTTTTCCTTTTTGCGTAATTAACATCAAATTTAATGTTTTTATTTGTATTGTATTAGTAGTAATTGTGATGAACAATTCAACATACATTTGATAGTAAAGAAGTATCAGGAAATAACAGCTTACCACCTTAGTAGACCTCATATTTAGGCTTGAACCACCTGTCACATGGAATCTACTTGTGGATTCACTGAATTTGCTTGTTTTTAGTTTTTTTTTGTAATACAACTATTCCCTTGAGTTGCTTGTTTAGAAATGGCAGCTGTTAATCTGCATATACAGATCAAATCTATTCTTTCTACAAGAAAGTTCTACAAGAAAGAAATTAAGACATAATAAAATTTCATTTTTTTTTTTGGTTTAGTTTGGATTCAGTTTAAGCTTGCAAAGAAAGAAAGATATCATAGCTAAAGGTAGTTTATCTTAAAGTAAAGATTTCAGAAAACCAATTAGGACATATGTTCAAGGGATCTCTCCAAGTTTAATACTAAAGTCTTTAGGGCAATCAATCAATATAATGGGCCATAAACAAGATTTAGGCATTTTCCAGATAAAATGTGGGCTAACTTTCATTAAGGCCCATAGACACAGTGGAGACATCACAGAAATGACGTGAGAAGGAGGAGTTGGTTCGCCGGTCGTCGTCACTCTTTGTACTTTAAAAAATAAAAAATAAGTGCACAAGAAGCAGCATGAAACATTGAAATTTGGTTGGTCCATGAGTCCATCATTATTTCTTATCAGAGAGTCTCCGCATCGATGCAGTTCTTAATTTTTGTTTAATCTTTTAACTGATTTAAAAGTCACGAGATCCAACGGTCAGGATTTATTCAGAGGAGGTTGAGGATATTACAAATACAAAAACACACATGTGGCCATTAATTGCAACAGCAATCATCTCGCTGTAAACGCGCATCTGATTGCGTTTTTATGAATTTGTTTCCCCGAAAAGGCAAAAGTTGAAATTAACGAAATCTCTGTTTGATTCACATAACTGAGTATTGACTATTCCCCATTCTGGATCATTTTGTTGTTGTCAGATGAGACATTCATAGCTTATTTAATGATTTTTCCTCTTTCCCTGCATGAAATATTAATTGTAGGGTACCTGAATAAAAAATACTGGTAGTAGTATCGAATATTACGTTATCGAATGCATATCGATCCATCCCGTGCTCTCTTTATAAACAAACCAAAATTCTCCGTCTCTCTCATCACTACTACAATTCTCCACTGGCTACTCTCTCCCTCTCTATCTCTCTAGATATATAGATCTATAGATTATATATATACACTGTCTACAACATATACGTACGTGTACATATATATAGTGAGAGAGAGAGAAAGTGATGGAGATAAGGTATTGGCGGAGGTCGAGAGGATACGAAAGGCTAGATGGGTCGGCGAAGAAGGCGAAATCGGGTCGGGAAAATGTGAAGCGGGTCAAATTGGATCGGACCCGGAAGAGAAGGTTTTGGAGGATCAAGATAGTGCCGAAGCTGAGGATCTTGAAAAAGAAGGCGTCTCCTAAGAAGCTTTTGACTCGGCTTCGAGATGCTTACGTCAACATGATGCTCCGCCTCGCCAATTCTCGGGTCATCGGGTCGTCGTACGGGTACGGCGAATACGGGCCGTACGGGTCGGGTTTGGCGTCCAGAGAGTACGATGAGAAGAAGCTGGTCGAGATTTACAAATCGATTTTGATTGCGCAGGGGACTCTCGTGCACCCCGATGTTCCCAAACTTTCCTCCGATTCTGTAATTAAACTCTCTCACCCCCCACTTGGGTAATTAATTAAATCCATTTACAAACACACAAACCAAATTGGAGATTATCGATGTTCAAAGTTGTGGTTGTGATCACTGATCACTGATCTGTATTAATGTTACTAATCATAAACCAAAGGTAATAAATTAATAATTCTTCCCATGTTCTTAAATGAATGTTTTTTTAAAATGTCTGCTCATAAACTCAAATATTATCATTTTTTTTCAAAAGTAAATTAAACGCTTAAAAATATGGATATACTTTTTAAACAAGTATTGGTTACCAATTTAACATTTTGATAAAAGAATCATCAATATTTGGCATTTACGTCGTAACATACTAGTAACATCTAACAACCTTTTTCTGTTTTCATTTATTAGTTCACCGGTACGTGTTGGCATTCTCATTATTTTAATGTATTTATCCAAATAGTATATACTTTGGTTGACTTTTTGTTTGCTTGACCAACTACGCTTTAAATTCGTATCTTTACGTATGGCTATGAGTTGTAAATCGTGAGTAACGACCAATTTTGAAACATTGGTACAGTTACGAGTACTTGACGATGAAGAAACCGTCATTGCTTACATCATATGCGATTCAATGATTTGTCTTCTGTTTTTTACCTTTATCTGAGATTCTGTTGTAATTAAACCTTAAGTATGGTTGTCTTGTCTCCTGTACCAAACAAATAATCATCAACTAGATTATACTCATCGATTGTCTGAGAAAGAACCAAAAAAGAAGAAGAAGAAGCGAATAATATATGTAATGTACTTACTGCTCGACCCATAACAAACAAACAAAAAACACCTAGTACACTGTTTCACTATAGCTGGTGGGAAAAAGAAAAGGAAAAAGAGACTATCGAAGGTGAAAAATAATACTAACTCGAATCAAAGTGTACGTAGGTTTCATAAGTAAACAGCTAGTATCAATTTAGCATTCATGTGTGCAAGCAAGGCTTAAACATTATAAAGCAATTATTATGGGTTGAAGCCCAAATGAATCTACACATCATTTGGCCTGAATAAAATTCGATGTTTGTAATTTTATCCTTTGCCCATTTCATAGAGAAGAATCATCATCTTTAGGATCCTCCTCAGTAATCAACCTCCAATATTTTCTAACAACGGGTTTATGGTTCGTTACTTTCTAAAATTATTCATAAAACAATGTTATATCAAATAATTTAATTGAATTTAACTGTTTGGAAATAACATGCATAGATTTGAAATTATAATTGATAATATCGATATCGTTACAAAATAAATATTAATAGTATATGAACCATCTACATAAACTTATAAAAGTGATATAGTATATGTTAATAAGTTTATACTGACAGTATACATAGAGTTTGACAGTTTCTGATATAAGGTTTTTGCAAAAATTGGTGGGTTGTTTTTTTGTATATTTTTCCTATAGTTATTATCTATAACATTTACATAACAAGTACTCTTATATTATAATTAGTTTTTTTTTTTTATGATGCTATACATAATAACTTGTTTGTAGTAATGCTTAATGGCAATTACGGCATGCGGATGGGACCAGAGTTTGGTGTTTGGTTGGTCTGATTCGTCTGGCTGCGAACGAAAGTATAATATTTTAACTAATTATATACTATATTAAATAAAACAAGAGCCAAGTAAAAAATATTCAATTTTCTCATCGTCTCCCTCTCGTTGAATAATCTCATCGAGTTAACAAAACGATTTCTTCAATGTTCTTCGTCGTAATTTTCAGATTCATTTTAATAGCATCGTGAATTGGACTCGGAGTCGGATCCCTGTCGGCAATGCGACGCTGGTTCGCCGCGAAACCCCTCTCGAGAGAGGAAACAACCTTTTTGTCAGTCTCGCAAGTCTTCTTCTTCCCGCGTTTCCGTAAGGCTCTTCCTCTTCGTCCTCTCCGTTCAGATCCAAGAGATGTCCGCTAATTCTCACCCTCCTAATTCCAGAAATGTCCTCTGTAATGCAGCCGCCGGTGCCGCCGCCGGTAATTCTCTGATCTGCTTGAATTCGCGTAGAGACTCATCTTGATCGTGGGGAGAAACACACGCACGGCTTCTCTTTTAATGGTTGTAGGTTTTTGATTTCGAAGCTGATTAATTTTTTGAAAATATTCGGATTTGTAGGGGTTTTTGCGGCTACGTTTGTGTGTCCTCTTGATGTTATAAAAACGAGGTTTCAGGTTCATGGGCTGCCTAAGCTTGGTGATGCAAACATCAAAGGTTCGTCCTTTTTTATAAAAAATCTTCTTACCCACCATCAAAGATGCTTCAAAACTCGAAAAAGCTTTCCATTGCTAATGTCTTTGTCATCTCCAATTGTTTATTTATTTTTGTTTGGTTTTCCTTTGATCAGGTAGTCTAATTGTTGGTAGTCTTGAGCAGATCTTCAAGAAAGAAGGGGTGCGTGGCTTATACCGCGGACTTTCCCCAACCGTGATGGCACTTCTCTCGAATTGGGCGGTGAGTTGGATCTCTAATTACTGGAATATATTTCTCGGCTTTGTTTGGATTACCAGAGCCAAGTGTATTGCTTCTTCAAAGGTATGAAACTAATCATGTTGTAAGATTTTCTTGCAGGTTTATTTTACAATGTATGACCAGCTCAAGAGCTTTTTATCTTCGAATGGTTAGTCCTTAAACACAAAACATTTCTTTATATATTATTTTTTACTTCTGCTTTGGTCTAATCAATAAGTATATATATATCTGGTTCTCTGTTTGTACATACATTAGATAAGGATCACAAACTCAGCGTTGGTGCCAACGTAATGGCAGCCTCTGGTGCTGGAGCTGCAACTACAATAGCCACAAATCCTCTTTGGGTTGTCAAGACTAGACTTCAGGTCCGTTTTCTCTTGCCTTTGATATATGCATTCATGGAACCTGAAGAACCTCACCAATCATAGATTGTGAATTTCTTTCACAGTAAAAACCTTTTTTAAAACACCATCTTGATTCCTCTTCAGACACAAGGAATGAGAGCGGGTGTAGTGCCATACAAAAGTACACTATCTGCTTTAAGGAGAATAGCTTACGAGGAGGGAATTCGCGGATTGTACAGGTTTTTTTTTTGCTCATCTCGCCAACACGCTTCTCTGTTAACCGATCAAAAATGTCTTTAACTAAATGTCATCCTCTCCCTCTCTTTGTGCTACCGATCAGTGGTCTTGTGCCTGCACTAGCTGGCATCAGTCACGTTGCTATTCAGTTTCCTACATATGAGATGATCAAAATCTACTTGGCCAAGAAAGGTAAATTTATCCATGCATCTTGTGAATTGGATGAAGTACGGAAAACGGTGAAGTCTTTATGGAGAAAACATAAGATAAACTATGTTTGTGAATTCGACAGGTGATAAATCAATCGATAATCTCAATGCTCGTGATGTAGCAGTGGCCTCTTCAATTGCAAAGATATTTGCTTCCACATTAACCTACCCGCACGAGGTATAAACCTCTACACAAAACTTTGGTTTGGTTTCGGTTAGTTTGTTTGTTATATAAAGCAAAAAAAAAAAAGACCAAACCAATCAAATTCTTGCACAAAATTTTCAGTTCGGTTCGGTTTATAGGACGTGTTGATTTGACTGCGTGCAGGTTGTACGAGCTAGGCTTCAAGAGCAAGGACACCACAGTGAGAAACGTTACTCGGGAGTGAGAGATTGCATAAAGAAAATATTTGAGAAAGATGGCTTTCCCGGTTTTTACAGAGGCTGTGCCACTAATCTCCTGAGAACAACTCCTGCTGCAGTTATCACATTCACTAGCTTCGAAATGGTTCATCGTTTCCTCGTCACTCATTTACCTTCTGAGCAAAGCTCTATACTTTAAATTGTTTATTTTGATGATAGACGATTAGATGTGTGGTTTAGTGAGGTAAACAGGGCTATTTTACACAGTTAAAAGTTTCCCCCTTCTGGGGAGTAACTCAAAATAGGAATTCGTTTTTGGACAACCCTTAGATTCATCTCACAGGCTTATGTTTCTGTTGGAGAAATCAGAATCTGTGTGGATTTATGAAGAATGGAAAGTTGAGAGACCCACAAAGAATATTTATCATGGCATTGTAAATGACTGAATTCTTTTATTACTCTGTTTGTGAAAGAGAGAGTTTGTGGTCTCTCATTCGCCATGCTCGTCGAACATCTGGGCTTCATGTTACATGTTACTAAAGGAACCATTGACTTTTTTTTGTGTGGATTCCATAAAACAACCTAGCAAACAAATATATTATTCGTTGACGGTTGACCAAAAATTATTATCCTGGGTTTACCTTTTTATGCAGAAATATCTGGGCCTTGTGGTTATGGATTTGACTATATGTTTTCATTATAGCTTCTGTATAATTGGATGAGCTTTGGATCCATATCATGATATTTTATATATTGAAAAATAAATCAAAATGAAAAGGAAAAAGCTAATGAATTCGAATAATAATGAAATTGATGGGTTGTTGTTGCACTTTGCTTTTTCCTTTTAAGTATCTATCAAAACATGGGATACTTTTTTTTTTTTTCCCTGTTCTTAATTTGTTATAATTGTGATATAAAATGAATCTATTACGGTTTCACACATTCTAAAGGCCAAAACAAAAAAAGTGATTTCTTGCATTGACATATATGAAAATTGTTAGCACTAGCGGTGCGACCACTAGAGAAAAAAATACACATATGTATGAAAACTGTTTTAAATTAGTTTGATCAATTCATAACAAAATTTACCGTATGATTTTTCTTTCTTTCAATATTCTGAATACTTAATATGTAAATTTTGTTTAGTAAAAATCATCATTTTTTCCACTGTTTTGTCCGTGCACGCTATCCCCATTTGTTCATTCGGTTCTGCATTTACTTATTGTGCTTCTATTTAAACATACATTTTAAAAACATATTATATAAATCTATATCGTTTTTTATTTATAAAAATTCCTGATTAAGCTAAACAACAAAAAAGGAACCGTAAAGGGGAAAGAAAAAAAAAAGAGAAAACGGAAAAGGAAACATATGAATCGAGAGAAAGTATATCTTTTATGAAGCATAGATGACAACATGTGATCGCAGCAATTTTTGTAATTCCCATACAATTTACAGTCATGTTTGTGGGATCGGGATTACATGTGATGCGAGTGCGGTGAGCTTAATTTAAATATAAAACGACAAAAATAGATATCAGGTTTTACAGTAATAAAGTCAATCCTAGTAGTAAATGATGCAATCAATATGACTAATCATCTCTCATGTCGTGATTACAGTTGAAGCGCATCTTAGGGATGATGGACAGTAAATGACGCCGTTATGTTTTAAGATAATTAATTTATTGCAATATTACAATGCCTAGCTTATAGTTAGAACAGTCTAACAATATTTTGCTAACAAATTTCATGTTATGTGTATTTTCATGAAAAGTATTAATCAAAATATTTTAATATCATTGTCCATATATACAAAGATACAGTCATGTTTTTTCGGTAATCCATTTAAAACACTGGAAAAAGTGGATTATTAATTAGGGGGATCAAAAGATGCTTTAGCTCACCAAAAAAAAAAAAAAAAAAAGGAAAGGTAATGAAACATCAAAAACTGTCTTGGCATTATAATTGAATCCCACATGCTCTGTTTCTCCTCTTTATTCTTTTCCTCCTCAATTTTGTTTAATCGAAAGTTATTCTAAAGGTAAATCACAGTAACTTAATTATGTTTAGATAAGGACAATGTACCAACGGTTCATCTGTTTGGTCACCAAAATCTTATGTTATTATTATATTATTCAGACTCCTTGCTCAGGTAGCATTTTGAAATTCAGAAAATCTATAGTTTTTCAATTATATATTTTTTGTTTGGTTAGGCAAGAAAGAAGCGTGGGTGATGACACGCGCCAAAGTAGGCGAATGGACACTTATTCTCATACACAGTGACACGGAGAAAGAAAATGTCACCGAAGTTACGTGGCAGTTATCTGTTCGCCTGTGTGATTGACTCCGGTGACAGTCGGTCGTAGTACCATCATAGTCGATGTCTTTGTGCGACGTGGGTCCCCGTCTAAGACGCTCTACGTGGGGTTACCTGCTAGGCTCGTATTCAGGTTCGGCTCCGAAGCACTAATTTGAATTTTTTGAACGTTGAAGCTAACCCACTTCGTTTCGTCTATCTTTATTATTAATTTTTGAACAGCCCTTGGTTCGTCTATCTATCAATCTCAAATTCCATTTTTTAAACAAATATGAGACGATTATAAGTTTATAACAATCTAGAAAATATATCAACAGGATGCTTTAATCAAAACATCGCCGTCAGTGTTTGGTGGTGTGGTGATCTCATTGACACCGTAGGATGTTGACACGTTGCCCATATACAATGTTTAATTGTTTATTATCAACAATGGAATTCATAACCGTGATAATAATAAGTTTCCATATCCATTAAGTGCGTCCGTTATGAAATAAAATGATCAATATTAGATTTGTTGCTGTCAGTTATTTTTCCACGAAAATTATATTGTCTTTTCTAAAGACCAGAAATCTATGCTGTCTAAAGATGAACTTGTATATATTGTATTTGCATATATCAACAAATGTAACATAAACAATCCATGTGTTACACAAGTAACACAACATAGTTTAACAAAGGAGTCAAATGAAAATTCATTGAATGATTTTCTTACACTGTCTTTTCGCATTTCTTGACTTTTTCATATTTTTAATTATAATTTCTAGAGATGATTATACATTTAAATCCATTCTAGTTAATGCTATGCAATATTTTTTTGACCAACAAGTACAATATATAATACTCAAAATGGTAAGTTTTTTACAAAATCATAAACAAACCGCCCGTTATATACATAATAACTTCGATGGGAAATGAATCATTAATCCTATGATAGTTACCAAATAATGAAATGGATAGTTTGTTAGAGAACAAATGGGAATAAAATAGTGAAGAGATTGGGTAATGGACCTAATTCTTAATGCAGTAACTTTCAACTAATTCTCTGCTTTTGGAAAAGAATGTCTCGCCTAACATTCTACTCAACATTATAGAAATAAGCATTCATTGTAATTAATTGTTTCGCTTAATACGAGTAAAACCTTTTTTCATTTATTTCTTTGCTTCTAAAGCATTACAAAGACACATGGATTCAACTAATTCACAACTACTGTTCTAATGTCTATCTACAACGATTTGTTACCGATTATAACGATTCATCTTCGTATTTCATATTGAGAAACTTACATTATATTTACAGGAGCATATGAAATAAATAGATAAGAGAAAATAACAATTTCTTTGTGAATTTGGAGTCTACTCCCTTTAACAGGGGTTACTATAGTCTTCTTTTTTTTTTTTACTGTTTTTATTTACAACTTCCTATGATTATAAGATCCAACCCTTGCGTTGATGATTTATAAATTATTATATGAGTAATCAAATTGAGATCGCACTTTTAAATATTGGTTAGATTGGATCTTAAAACGTTAAAATAATTCTTGTTTTAAAAAACAAACGACTTACCGATTTAGAATTCTGGATTTCTTTGTGATTTATAAAATGAAGAGTAATGAGGAAACACTGCTTGCCATTTTTTTTTTTTACAAAATTGAGTATCATCAACGACTAAATTGTTTATTTATAGAAAAGTACAAATTGTAGTAACTAACTATACTAATTATCACATGAAATTTGTGTCAAAATACATCCAGATTGATCATAAATTCATAATACAAACAAAACAAGGTCCCACAAATATGTTTCAAACGGCGAAATGTGATCATATTGCATGGAAAAAATCCAACAAAATTGGATTCGACGAAAGAATTACACGAATAAGCAAATTGTATTACAATCTAGTAATAGGAACAATATCACTTATGACATGATATAATCCAATTTACGCAACAATAGTAATACTAAATAACAATAATAAATGGAGACAGAATATAGTAATAAGGTTATAAAATCCAAACGGTAGAGGAGGCTTAACCGAAAAAGATTCGGGTGGGTGTGATCCACACGCGCGGGAAAAGGGAAAACCTGAAATACGTTGATTAAAAGGTTGGTTAGGGAGGGAAAAACGAAGCGTGTCCCTTTGGTATCAAACTCCGAAGCTGCAGGTTCGGGAGTGTGGGAGAAGGAAGAGTGAAGAAGAGGACAGAGTATAAAGCAGTTAGCTTTACAACCTTGTATTTGAGAGCATTCATGGAGGTTATGAGTATTCTTCTCTATTAATATACAAAACTATCACATTACCTTTATAAACCCAAGCGTAGGAGGAAAAAAAAGAAAGAAAGAGAAATCCCCCCAAATTCTTTCCCTTTATTTTTTTTTCCCTGCCGTTTCTTTGAATTCTGAAAAACAAGTATACATTCTTTTCCAATAAAACTATAGGCTCTCCGATCCGGATTAGTGAGATTGTTTGAAATCCGCAGTGGATTTTCCTACTCTTTTGGGGAGGTTTATGGCGGCGACTACGACGGAGGATGGAGGATTGAGCTTCACGGTGGCTTCAGTAATGGAGGATGTGTTGCAGCAACATGGAAATGGGCTGAGAGATCATGATTTAGAGTCTCGTCGAGCTGAAGAAGCTGGTATTACTCTCTTTGTGCCTTATACTACTATGACTTTCGTGAAATGAGTATTTTGACGATTACCAGAGAATGTTTGATCAGATAAACTGATGATCTGGGGATCTCACTGAATTTATAACAAATCGAGTAGATTCTTCGTCGTCGTTGTGATAATTTTGTTAAATCGTAGAATTTCTGGATTAAAATAGAATATTCGATATTTGCGTAGCATCGAGGAGGTACGAGGCGGCTAATTGGCTGAGAAAGATGGTTGGAGTGGTGGGAGCTAAAGATTTGCCTGCAGAGCCAACAGAAGAAGGGCTCAGGCTTGGATTAAGAAGTGGAATTATCCTTTGCAAAGTCCTCAATAAGGTTCATCCTGGGGCTGTTTCAAAGGTGATAAATACATTAAATCCTTCCTTTCAGAGATTAGCTTTAGGAGAGCACAGATCATTTGATCTCTCTTTTGTTGAATCAGGTTGTGGAAAGTCCTTGTGATGCCATTCTCGTTGCTGATGGAGCGCCACTATCAGCGTTTCAGTATTTTGAGAATGTTAGGAATTTCCTTGTTGCTATCCAGGAAATGGGCTTTCCAACGTTTGAAGCTTCTGATCTCGAGCAAGTATGTAGTCCCCAATTCATTAAATTTCTCAGAACCTTTAGGAACTAACTGCTCATGAATATGCTTCTTTTTTTTTTTTGTTTTTTTTTTATTTGGTAGGGAGGAAAGGCTTCTCGTGTTGTGAACTGTGTGTTGGCAATCAAATCGTATGATGAATGGAAACAAAGTGGTGGAAATGGAGTTTGGAAATTTGGTGGTAGCATAAAGCCTCCTTCACTTGGGAAATCATCATTTGTCAGAAAAAACTCAGGGCCGTTCATGAACTCTTTATCGAGAACCTCATCTATCAACAACGATAATTCTCCCTCTGACACTGATTCTAACAAACTGGTTAGCCTCTCCAACTGTCTCTGGTTGGTTCTGTCTTCTCAAGTGGAATATTTTCTGTTTTAAGTGTCTTTGTACCTCTGTTTTCAGTCCAATTCAGGTTCCTTGACCACACTTGTCCGCGCTGTTCTATCAGATAAAAAGCCTGAGGATGTGCCCAATGTGAGCTTCCTACTACTTCAATTAGTTGCTCAGCTATATATCTGTCTTTGGCATTTTTTTTTTTCTTCTGGTTACCAAACGGCTTTGTTATGTTCTTGATGTAAGTGCCTAATGTTGTGGTAACAGCTGATTGAATCTTTGCTAAGCAAAGTTGTCGAAGAGTTTGAAAATCGTGTTACAAACCAGTATGCGTTGGTATGTTTTCAGTTCTTCCATCTCTTGTTTCATTGCGTCAAAATTCACAATATATGTTCTTCGGTTGTGTCAAAATTCTTCTAATCAAAAGAATTATGCCATGTGAAGGTTAGAGCAGCTCCAAGAGAATCAACTTCTTCACATAACAACAGATCATTTCATAAACCTCTTGCTGAAAGAGAGGTAAAGTCTTCACTCTTTTTTTCCGTAAAAGATAGGTTAGAAGAATTCGCTGATTACTGAAATGTCTTTGTAGAGGGAGGAGAAGTGTTTACAAGCAATAAAGGAAGACGAAACCATTCAGAAAAGCCAGATTATTCTTGATGAAGAGATGAAGAATGGACAATGTAAACAACTGACAATCTTCAACCAACAACAACAAGATATAGAAGTAGTCACTACACTACTCATTCAAACTTTCTTCGAGTATAGGGGTAGCATAGCCACAGATTCTGAGTGAATCCACTACTGTTTCTTTATGCTTTATAGGGACTAAGGCAGACACTCTACACTACAAGGGCTGGTATGCAATTTATGCAGAAGAAATTTCAAGAAGAGTTCTCTTCTCTTGGTATTCAGATCTTTATTCTCTTACTTTCTTATGATAGTTTTGGTTATCCAAGAATTTGAAATGAATTGATTAGTATTTCTTTACAGGTATGCACATTCATGGCCTTGCTCATGCTGCTTCTGGCTATCACCGAGTTCTTGAAGAGAACCGAAAGCTTTATAATCAGGTGCAGGACCTCAAGGGTAGCATCCGTGTTTATTGTCGGGTACGACCATTTTTGCCCGGACAATCCAGTTTTTCTAGTACAATTGGACAAATGGAGGATGATACCATAGCTATAAATACTGCACCAAGACATGGAAAATCACTCAAATCTTTCACTTTCAACAAAGTATTTGGCCCATCCGCGACTCAAGGTAAGATAAATTGAAATACCTCTCTTTTACTTTCTGGTGATTGAATTTCTGAAGGATCTATCTTGCAGAGGAGGTATTTTCTGATATGCAGCCATTGATCCGTTCTGTTCTTGATGGATACAATGTCTGCATATTCGCATATGGTCAAACAGGATCGGGAAAAACGTACACAATGGTAACATAATGGTTAAGACTATAATTTTTGAGGAGTGTGACATTTTGAAGGTAAGAGATCTTATATGTTTTCCCCTTGTGTAATTCCTCTAGAGTGGACCAAGAGATCTAACAGAGAAGAGTCAAGGAGTCAATTACAGAGCACTTGGTGATCTGTTTCTTCTTGCTGAACAAAGAAAAGACACATTCCGTTATGATATTGCTGTTCAGATGATTGAGATTTACAATGAGCAAGTCAGGGACCTTCTGGTTATTGATGGAAGCAACAAAAGATATCCTTTTCTTTTCATGAATGGTTCTACTTCTTAATGTTCTGGATCTTATATATATTTTCATGTTTAAGTTTCATATTCCTTAACGTCTTTGATACGCTAGAGATCAGGAATAGCTCTCAAAAGGGTCTAAGTGTACCCGATGCAAGTCTTGTGCCGGTTTATTCAACATTTGATGTTATTGATCTGATGAAAGTTGGCCATAAGAATCGTGCGGTTGGATCAACAGCCTTGAATGATCGAAGCAGCCGTTCTCACAGGTAAAAGAAAATATATTCAAGAGCAGAGAGAGAAACCCATTAATCTCTATACCTCTTAAGCAAATTCAATTTAACACTTTCAGTCTCATTTTCTTGCAGCTGCTTGACTGTTCATGTTCAAGGAAGAGACTTGACTTCAGGAGCTGTTCATCGTGGATGTATGCACCTTGTGGATCTAGCAGGCAGTGAAAGGGTAGACAAATCCGAGGTGACTGGAGACAGACTAAAAGAAGCACAACATATCAATAGATCTCTCTCTGCTTTAGGGGATGTGATTGCTTCACTAGCTCACAAGAACCCACATGTTCCTTACAGAAATAGCAAACTTACACAACTCCTTCAGGATTCTCTTGGTAAAGGATATAAGTAATTTTATCCTAATATGTTTGCAGCTTATAATTATAATTCGCTTTGTTCTTGACTTATGATCGTAAATATGTTATATCAGGAGGACAGGCAAAGACATTAATGTTCGTCCACATAAGTCCTGAGGCAGATGCAGTTGGGGAAACAATAAGCACTTTGAAGTTTGCAGAGCGAGTAGCTACAGTTGAGCTCGGTGCTGCTCGAGTGAACAGTGATACTTCAGATGTTAAGGAACTCAAAGAACAGGTTTTTTTTTTTTTTTTTTTTTTTTTTTTTTTTTTAATTTAGCTGAATCTCAGGGTTTTATTTTCTTGGCTGATAGTAAAATTAAATTGACTCACACATGGGCTTTGGTTTGTTAATAGATTGCTACTCTTAAAGCAGCACTCGCGAGAAAAGAAGCAGGGTCACAACAGAACAAGATCTTAACAACTCCTGTTGGCTCTGAGAAACACAAAGCCAAAACTGGTGAAGCAGAGGTGATTCTTCTTCTCTTCTCGAACTCAGTCTTGTGATTTAAAAACACGTCTCAAATTGGACATCGTTTTTTTGAGTGATTGCAGATTCAGCACAACAATAGCATCACGACAAAGAAATCGGAGAGCTGTGAAGTGGAGGAGATAACAGTGAACTCACCACCTTGGCCACCAGTAGCAAGTCCAGGCCAAACCTACAGAGACGAAGAGCGAAGTTTCGGGTCAAGTGAGTGGGTTGATAAGGTAATGGTGAATAACAGGCAAGACGAGATGAGAAGAGTGGAGAGTCTTTGGGGAGGAGGAACAACAGACAACGGGATCAGTATTCTGCCGGAGGATTTTTACAGGTCTTCAGACACTTCAAGAATATTCTCTGAGCATTCTTACAACATCTTCATGGGAAACAACAACAACACAGACGATCTAGATGCGGCCACTACAAGTGACTCGTCTGAGCCAGACTTGCTCTGGCAGTTTAACCAATCCTCCAAGATATCGACAACAAGCACTACTGAGTCAAAACCCAAGAAACCCGTCTCAAAACCGACAAAAAATCCTCAATTCAGGTTCTTTTCCCCAACTCTCTCTCAGTAATGAAACGCCAAAAACAGAATCTTCTTTTAACATTTTTGTTTTTCGTCTCCAATAAAAAATGCAGGAACTCAAACACGGTTTCACGTTCTTCAGCGAATGCTCCTCGTGGCACGAAACAGCTTGGTCCTGCTGATATGAAGCGAAAAGCAAGCGTCAGACGTTAAAGGCCTGCACGCACTCACACGCATAAATATAAAACCTCTTCTTTTTTTTATTTGATTCTTTTTCTTTCTGATTCTTTTCTTCCACTGGTTTCTTGTTTCTTCTTCTCTCCTTTGATTGTGCAAGTTTCTATAACACACAGACATACAGTGCAGCGATAGTTTTTTCTTGTTGCTCTTCTTCTCTTCTTCCTGGATTTTGTTTTTTACTTGTCTTTTTGTCTTATGTATAGCTGAACATAAACGAAATTTGAACGACCTTGTATGTACACGATTGCTTGAGTTTTATTTTATTGTTTCTATAATGTTTGAAATTTTTTCCCCTTGATTTGCAGAGATAAAACTCGGTAATTTCTTTCAAATCAGAGAGCAAAATATTTATTTAATGCATTTCTAATTAGCTCCCGAACTGTGGCTAATGGCTATCTTCTATTCACGCCCCCATCTTCCATAGTGGAAAGTGATAACAAAAACGAATTTAATTTTTCTTTTCTTCTGAAAGTTGAAAGATGGTATAAACTGCTGTAAAAATGAATCTTCCATAGTGGAAAGTGATAACAAAAACGAATTTATTTATTTTTTCTTCTGAATGTTGAAAGATAGTATAAAATATTTATAAAATGAAGAAAAGTAATATACTTTTCAAATTTAGACCAACCTTGTTGATTCGTTGAATCGTTTCTCGAGGAGTATTATAATTTGTTTTTGTTTGCCCTATCTTTCTCTCTCTCTATCTGCTCTTCCGCGACGTGATCTCTCAACTCTCCATCTTCGTCTTCGAAGGTTTTTTTATTTATTTAATTTTGCTATTTTACGTTTACAGATTCGTTCAATCGTAGTGTTTTCCTGATTTGAGAGATGCGTAATTTGATTATTCTTCTCTCGCCTCTTTGTTCAGTGTAGTATTACTATTAGGTAGAAGAATCCATGGCGATTTACGTCGCGTCGCGACGACTCTCCGGCGGAACAACTGCGGCGGCGCTGCGTTATGCCACCGCGCTGAGATCTTACTCGACGTCTTTTAGGGAGGAGAGGGACACCTTCGGGCCGATCCAAGTTCCTTCCGATAAGTTGGGCATCTGATCTTTACCAGAACGTTGAACATCTCTTTTTCCCGAGGGAAACATTTTCACAGTGTAATTGTTGTTTCTGTGTCAATCAGATTGTGGGGAGCCCAGACGCAGAGATCGCTGCAGAACTTCGAAATCGGTGGTGAGCGCGAGCGAATGCCCGAACCAATCGTCCGCGCTTTTGGCGTCTTGAAGAAATGTGCTGCCAAGGTAACACTCTCGCTATAGGTTTTGGGTTAAATTTTGCATCTGAGTTGTCATTTGCTTTCTCGTCTTGGTTCGTCATGAGCTGAGTAATTATAATGTAGGTTAACATGGAATATGGTCTTGATCCAACGATTGGGAAAGCGATTATGCAAGCTGCACAGGAAGTAGCAGAGGGAAAACTCAATGATCATTTTCCCCTTGTTGTATGGCAAACTGGTAGTGGGACTCAGAGTAATATGAATGCCAATGAGGTACTTTCCTGGATATACATATGTGTGTTTCTTAGGATCTCATTGTATAGTGCTACAAAAGGCTCTTCACACATGTATAACGCCTCGTGTTTCTTCTTTGCTCTTCACAGGTCATTGCTAACAGAGCAGCTGAAATTCTTGGTCGCAAACGTGGTGAAAAATGTGTGCACCCAAATGACCATGTCAACAGATCACAATCTTCTAACGACACTTTTCCAACTGTATGCTTTGAATTTCATTCCAGCTACCAATAATTTTACATGCTTAACGTTTGTTGAATTGCCTATGTTGTTTATGAAACTCATTGTTTTCCTTTCCTATATGTAGGCTCACTCCCCTTTCAAGTGGTAATTGACTCTCTGTATTGATTTTTGTTTGTCCAGGTCATGCACATTGCAGCTGCAACCGAGATTAATTCAAGGCTGATCCCTAGTTTGAAAACTTTGCATAGCACTCTGGAGTCTAAGGTCTGACCTTTTTTCCGCTCTTCTCAACTTACTACACAAATTATCCAGTCGCTGAATTGCAGCACGGTAGTCTTTCAACATGAAACCTTCTGTGACCTTACTAGTATCATGAATTGCTTCTGACCAAAGTTCAGTGTGGTACTACTTATATCGAAAAGTTGCTTTGTAGATGTTGCAATGAACATTTTTCTGACCTTGAAATTTTGCTAATTAATCCAGCTTTTCTAGACCTATGTAGTCCTCGTCACATTTCTGTTGCGTTTGTTAAATTTTGCTCTTTATTCTGAAAATTTCAAACTTCCCTCATTACTGGCAGTCCTTCGAGTTCAAAGATATTGTGAAAATTGGAAGAACTCACACTCAAGATGCTACACCTTTGACACTAGGACAAGAATTTGGTGGCTATGCTACTCAAGTGAGTCGTTTTTTTTTTCCTTCAGAAAATTCTGTTTGTCTATCAAAAGTGAAAATCAAATGCTGAAATTCTTTCTGAAATTTTTAAATATTATGATTGCAGGTTAAGTATGGACTTACTAGGGTCACATGCACTCTACCCCGCCTCTATCAGGTTTGGGAAATGATAGCTTTTAGGATCTGATTTCCTCTGCTTTATAGGGTCCAATTTTCCATTATTCTCTAACTTGCCAGAAATGTTTGGCCAGCTTGCACAAGGCGGAACTGCTGTTGGGACCGGATTAAACACCAAGAAAGGGTATATCTCATTTCTGGTTTTATTCCCATCCCAATTAAGTTATCTCCTCTTAGTCCACTGTTGATGAAATCTGTACAGGTTTGACGTAAAGATAGCTGCTGCAGTAGCCGAAGAAACAAACTTGCCGTTTGTCACTGCAGAAAACAAGTTTGAAGCTCTGGTTAGTCGCTAAACGAGATAAGTTGCTTTTAAATGGTTGATATATGAAATCATGAGTTGCTGAATTATTATGCTCTTTCCAGGCTGCACATGATGCTTGTGTTGAAACCAGTGGGTCACTTAACACAATTGCCACATCGTTGATGAAGATCGCCAATGATATACGTTTTCTTGGAAGGTATGTATCTTATCTTTAGGGATTTGTTTTTTTCTTTCTTCAAGATGTACTATATGTTCTTATGGGTTAACATGTTTTCATATAGTGGCCCAAGATGTGGTCTTGGTGAACTTGTTCTGCCTGAAAATGAGCCAGGAAGCAGCATCATGCCTGTATGAGTGCAGTCTTCCTTTTATTTTGTATTGTTCATTAATTATGATTCAAATGTTTTTTAATCGCTCTCTTCCTCTCTATCTCACTCAGGGAAAGGTAAATCCTACACAGTGTGAGGCCTTGACTATGGTTTGTGCTCAGGTAAGTTCTGTTCATCAATACATTCCTACTGAACATAGGAGTTTTAAAAAGTGTTCCTGACTCTTTTGAGCTGAATCCTACAAAATTGCAGGTTATGGGCAATCATGTAGCTGTGACAGTTGGTGGGTCAAATGGTCATTTCGAATTGAATGTATTCAAGCCGGTGATTGCAAGCGCTCTATTGCATGTATGTTAATCTCTTTCCCTTGTGCATCTCTTACTTTGATTCTATGCAAAAATTTGCCAATCTTAACCATTTGATCTCGCCTCTTTGACAGTCTATCAGATTGATAGCAGATGCTTCAGCTTCGTTTGAGAAAAACTGTGTGAGGGGCATTGAGGCCAACAGAGAAAGGATCTCAAAGCTATTGCACGAGGTAGGCTTAATTTGTAGTCTTAATATTGTCCACATCGTGAAAATGATGTCTTGGAACTGATTCTTTGTTTTTTTTGTATGTGTTTCTCTGTAGTCTCTAATGCTTGTGACATCATTGAACCCGGTAAGTCTCCAAATATTTAGCTCCGCTTTTGACAAATGAATTTACGTCGATGCTAAGTTTTGGAATCATTGTCTTCTCTACCAGAAAATCGGATATGACAATGCTGCAGCAGTCGCTAAGAAAGCTCATAAAGAAGGATCTACATTGAAGGTAAAAGCAAAAAACTCTTTATGCATCACGAAATCAAACGTACTTGAGAACAATTGAAATTGATTTGCAACAAGAAAAAACAGGTTCATAGTCTGTATCAGCTTGTTAGCAATATATCTGCTGCTCTATATTGGGTTTGAATATTTTTCAATGCAGATTATAAATTACTAATTCTAAACTGGTCCTAGTAAGATATCAGTTTGTTAAACCTCGAGCTTTAAATTTTGTCCTACAGGACGCGGCTCTGAAGTTAGGTGTTCTTACTGCGGAAGAGTTTGATACTCTTGTTGTTCCCGAGAAGATGATCGGTCCCTCCGATTGATGCTTTTTTTTTTTGGACCCAAAGCTTCACTTACTATTCTTATTCTTCTTTAGGTTAAAATAAAGATGAGAAAAATCCTGAAACTATAATTCAAATTTTCTTGGGAGGGCAACATTGTTCTTCAATTCTTGAGAGTTCTCTCTATGTATAATTTATTTTGTTGAATAAGAGCAACAAAGACAGTTCTCATTGCTCTTCAGTTCTGAATTAACCCAAATACAATATATCCAGAGGGCTTTTTGGTGGCTGTGATACGGGCCTTGAGGCCCTACCGAGATTATATGGGGCCATATTAACCCGGTCCAAATAGTTTTGCCAGACCTTCTCCATGGCGCAACTTATCGCGTGTGAGTGTTCACGCGCTAAAACTTTTTTCAGGAATAAAGTCGAGGATTTAGGCGACAAGACGCGCGTGGGAGCCACTTGTACGCAGAAAAAGTAAAAATCATTAAAATTAGAAAAGGGGGACGTCCAATGTATCTGTCTCACACTTTTCCGTTTTTGTTGGATTTGTTTCCACTCTTCCCACTCTTCTTTTATTTTTTTCTATTTCTTTCCTTGTCTCTATCAATCTCAATGGTTGGTTCAATGCGTCTTCTTCTTCTTCTTTTTTTTATTGTCTTTCTTAAAACTACGAGTTTTTTTTTGCCCATCATATTAATTAAAGGCATACTGTCTCCTTTTAAAAAGAAAGATGTATTTGGTTAGCTCATCATCTTGGACCAACTTTGTTGGCCAAATAATTTTTTAAAATTTATTTGTCGCTGTAAAATATTGTCAATAAAATTAAGCTAATTAACTACTCGCGGTTTTTTTCATTAATCTTATTGTATTTTTAATTTATTCATGTCATGTGTTGAATATTCTATAGTTTCATTGACAGAAGGCGCATTTTTCCATTAAAAAATGAGTAGAAATTTAGAAACATTGCATTTGAACATTGAGAATTTGATATGTAGTTTGAAAAATCCGAGACCGAATAAAATAATTGAATGGACCACTTGAGATTGGACTCTTACGGACTATGGACCTTTGAAGAATGGGCGTTTCCTAAATACATCCAATTATTTCTCGACATGTCAGAAGTTATTCCCACGTGTGGATAGAGTTTTACCCTCTATAGTCGACGTCGTCTTCCGCACGTGCCACGACTCTCTCTCTCCGTGACGCTTTTTTTTCCTTTGTTTCCCTCTCTCTATCTCTCTCCTCTCCCAGTTTCACTGTCGTCGTCTCTTTTTCCATGAAAGCTTCCTTAAACTAGAGATCTCTGCGACATATAGAGAGAGAGAGAGCTTTCCATTTCTTCAAAAGCTACGGTCCCTCGCTCTGTGACCTTTTAAGGTTTGTGATGTCTTCTTCTTCCTTCTTCTTCCTTCTTCTTCAATTCGATCCTTCTCGCTTTCCGCCGCATTATTATTATGTTCGAATAGTTACGTAGTTTTGTAGTTCCGGCGAGAGTCTCTTTAGCCTTAGGTGAAACGTTAATGGAGGATTGATTTCACTGCTTTAGCATTTCTTCTGATCGATCTGTGTGGTGACTTGGTCAAGTTTCTCAGATCGGCCTCAGCTTTTATCGTGGCATCGATTTGCGAGGAAGAAATTTCATTTGTAGATTTAAATTCTGGATCGATTTTGTATGATTCCGTAGCTGGATCGATTGAGTCCGTCGTGTGTCCAAATCCATCTGATTGCTTATCAGCAGATTTCTGAAGTTCACCAGACACTTCCTCTGTTAGTTCCACTGGAAACGTTACTGGAAATAATCGTGATTTAGATGCTAAATCAAAAACCTCTGACTGGAATTTAACTGAGTGATGTTTCTTGGGCTATATTTTGACCAGGTCAAGCGAGGTGCGAGCTCCAACAATGGAGTCGTGTGACTGTTTTGAGACACATGCGAATCAGGATGATCTCTTAGTGAAATATCAATACATCTCGGATGCGTTGATTGCTCTTGCCTACTTCTCGATCCCACTCGAGCTTATATATTTCGTGCAGAAGTCTGCCTTCTTCCCCTACAAATGGGTGCTCATGCAGTTTGGAGCCTTCATCATCCTCTGTGGAGCCACACATTTCATTAACCTATGGATGTTTTTCATGCACTCCAAAGCCGTTGCGATCGTGATGACTATCGCCAAAGTCTCCTGCGCAATTGTGTCGTGTGCAACTGCATTGATGTTGGTTCACATCATCCCTGATCTTTTGAGTGTCAAGAACCGGGAATTGTTTCTCAAGAAGAAAGCCGACGAGCTAGACAGAGAAATGGGTCTCATTCTAACCCAAGAGGAGACTGGAAGACATGTGAGGATGCTTACTCATGAAATCAGAAGCACGCTTGATAGACACACTATTCTAAGGACCACTCTCGTCGAGCTCGGTAAAACTCTTTGCCTGGAGGAATGCGCCTTGTGGATGCCGTCACAGAGTGGCCTATATCTGCAGCTTTCTCATACTTTGAGCCACAAAATACAAGTTGGAAGCAGTGTGCCGATAAACCTGCCAATAATTAACGAACTCTTCAATAGCGCTCAAGCCATGCACATACCTCATACATGTCCCTTGGCTAAGATTGGCCCTCCAGTTGGGAGATATGCGCCTCCCGAGGTTGTTTCTGTCCGTGTACCTCTTCTACATCTCTCAAATTTCCAAGGCAGTGACTGGTCTGATCTCTCTGGCAAAGGTTACGCTATCATGGTCCTGATTCTCCCCACAGATGGTGCAAGAAAATGGAGAGACCATGAGTTAGAACTTGTCGAAGTCGTGGCCGATCAGGTCCATCTCTTCACCTTGCATACCTTTGGCTGTGTTCCAACCTTTTGATTTTAGTAATTTGTCCGTGACTCTCACTTTATTCATTCATTCAGGTGGCTGTGGCTCTCTCACACGCTGCAATTCTGGAGGAATCGATGCACGCTCGTGACCAGCTTATGGAGCAGAATTTTGCTTTAGACAAGGCTCGTCAAGAGGCAGAGATGGCAGTACATGCTCGGAATGATTTCCTAGCTGTCATGAACCACGAGATGAGGACACCAATGCATGCTATCATCTCTCTGTCTTCTCTGCTTCTTGAGACTGAGCTATCTCCAGAGCAGAGAGTGATGATCGAGACAATACTGAAAAGTAGCAATCTTGTGGCCACACTCATCAGCGACGTTCTGGATCTATCGAGATTGGAAGATGGGAGTTTACTCTTGGAAAATGAACCCTTCAGTCTCCAGGCTATCTTTGAAGAGGTAACTAAAATCTTTTAAAAAAGATTGAGCCAGTGAAGTCCATTATCGTACACAAAATAACCGGGGGATGTGAATCTGCAGGTCATCTCACTGATAAAGCCAATCGCATCGGTGAAAAAACTATCGACGAATCTGATTCTATCTGCAGACTTACCGGCTTATGCTATCGGTGACGAGAAACGTCTGATGCAAACTATTCTCAACATCATGGGAAACGCTGTGAAATTCACCAAGGAAGGCTACGTCTCCATAATAGCTTCTATCATGAAACCTGAGTCCTTACGAGAATTACCATCTCCAGACTTCTATCCAGTTCCAAGTGACAATCACTTCTACCTATGCGTGCAGGTTAGTCCCCGACCAAACAAACAAATAAAGATAAAACGAAAAATATAGACATTAGTTGATGATAGCGTTGTAAATGTTATGATCTTGGTGCAGGTGAAGGACACAGGGTGTGGAATTCACACGCAAGACATTCCATTTCTCTTCACCAAATTTGTACAGCCTCGGACTGGAACTCAGAGGAACCATTCTGGTGCAGGACTCGGTCTAGCTCTCTGCAAACGGTAACGATCACCGAAGTTTAAAGTAGATATATATAAATATGGTGTCACAAAATTAAATAGCTGAAAGGTGAGTTTTTGGTGGTGGTTAGGTTCGTTGGGCTAATGGGAGGATACATATGGATAGAAAGCGAAGGCCTAGAGAAAGGCTGCACAGCTTCATTCATCATCAGGCTCGGTATCTGCAACGGTCCGAGCAGTAGCAGCGGTTCGATGGCGCTACGTCTTGCAGCTAAATCGCAAACCAGACCGTGGAACTGGTGATTCATCACGATTTTTTTTTATTGTTTTTGAACTACACAGCAGCAAGAGAAAGGAGAATGTGGGGTTATATACATGGCCGGAAGGTCTGATCTTTACCTTATTGGATTTTTGTTGGTTGTAATTTGTAAATGAAAATACATACATATATATGTCATCAACAAACGGTAAACACAACACACAATAAGCCCCACTGATCGTCGGCTATTTATTACATAATCGTGACTACGTGTAAATAAACACTTTTTAAGTTTTGACCACCGAAAAAAAAAAACCTTTTTAAAGTAAAAAATAACCACACAGCAACAAAAAATTGATTCGGATCCTTGGTGTAATTTGATGAATCGTCAGTATTACAACATATCCTAATCAATTTTAGATTCTGGAGGTGAAATATTACTAAGTTTGTCACAAATTTAAACGTGCACCCAATTAAGTATCTTCCCTCCAACATGTAATTAACACTTATCTTATATAATCTTAAGAAAGATACTTGTATCACATTTGTTGTTCTTCATATATATAGAGGACCATGTCTTGAGCTCAAACTTTAACCAACCAACCAAACAACACACGAACAAACTTTTAACAAATTAATGGCATCCACAGGCGCTGTCGCTTGTGTCCTCCTCCTGGCCCTGGTGGAGGTTGTGGCCACTGCTGATTACGACGTGCCACCACCACCATCTTATGTTCCCAAACCGGTGACTAAACCACCCACCACATACACCTCATCGGTTAAGACTCCATACTTACCAAACCCTGACATCGCCATTGAAGGTTTCATCTTGTGCAAATCTGGCTACGAAACCTACCCTATCCAAGGTGCAATTACATAATCGATCGATTTCATATTATGCGATTCATTTCATGACATCTTACCGAAAAAAATTGTAAACCAAATAACTTACTTTGAAAGCAATAACCTTTTTATTTTTTGGGAGAAATTGATGAGTCTTTGATAATATTATATATCTTAAGATACACATTTCACTTTGAACCCTGAAAATGTGGTGGTCATAAGTAATTTAAAATGTTGCGATCTCTTATTTGACGAGTGTTTTCAAAAATATCATTTTATACCGTCCAAGCTTGGGCTCATGCCTTACTCTGGCGCGGACTGAGCCAAACCGATGGTGTACTTGACAGGAGCCAAGGTTAAGGTTATGTGTCCTATCGTGGACTCATACGGAAAGCTAGTGGCCAAGGTTACAATCTCGAGCTACCCAACCAACTTGAAGGGATACTTCTATTTCATTACGTACGGACTCTCCCACAGGATGAAGAACATCAATGACTGCAAAGTGAAGCTTGCGAGCTCTCCGGTCTCCACGTGTAAGACTCCGACCAATGTCAACAAAGGTGTCACCGGAGCTCCATTCTCTTCCGACAACTCCAAGTTCCTTAGCCGCGACAACTTGAATCTCTTCACCTTTAAACCTTTCTATTTCTCTAGCCCCGCGCGTGGCTCCCAATCCGGTTTATTAGGGGTTAAAATCAATCATGAGACCGCGGTTTTATAATGTACATATGTTTCTATTGATTGTTTGCTATTACTTTATTTATTTTCCTTCTTTGGCTCTTGGCTATGTTTCGCCATTTTGAATAACAGTAATACATAAAATTACACCTTAGTTAAGTTTCCTTATAAGAATAAGATGTCAACGAGAAGAGACCTCATATGTACTTTGCATCAACACTTCTCCTATTATGCCTTCAAACTAGTAGGAAAATAGATAACGGTTTGTTTTTTTTTTTTTTTTTTTGTGGCAAAAGAAGAGACTCAGATGTATAATGGGGGAAAAAAAACTAAAAGTAAATTTATGATTAATGTCTTTGAAAATAAATCTATGATTAATGTTCTAAAAATAAAATAGTTAAGTGGCTGCACGTCCTCTAATGCATCAGAAACTTAAGACACTTTTTAGTGGATAATAATGCAATGATTATGATCATGAGCTAAAACGTGCGCCCAAGTCACATCCCTTGTTCTCATATATATAAATATATTTTTTTAAAATTTAAACCTTATCGGTAAAACCTATATATATATCTCTCATCGTACAACATTCGTTCGTCAACAAAACACACTTATACATCTATATAATACAGTTGAAAAATTGAATAGAGCCTTGAACAATTTATAAGAAACTAGAAAATGGCTCTAAAATACTCGTTTTCCTTGGTTCCCTACATGCTGCTTCTCTCGTCCCTGTTCGCTGCCGGGGTGGCCACAATCACCCACGGAGAGCTGCTGTCTTCGATGATCGGAGTTCAAGGTCTCATCTATTGTAAACAAGGATCTAAACTTACCCCTATCCAAGGTAAATTTTCATCATATATAGATATTAAAAATAAAATAATTAAAAATTGTAGTAATTAAATATCACACGTGCATGGACAGGTGCGGTGGCGAGAGTAACTTGCGAGACGGCGGACGAATATGGTTACGAGGGAGAGGATGTGACGGTGCTTAGCCAAGCGACGGATGCGAAGGGTTACTTCCTGGCGACGCTTTCTCCGTCGGAGGTGAAGGACTATCAGAAGGTGAGGATCAAAGAGTGCAGAGCCTTTGTTGAGCTTTCTCCGGCTGACACGTGTTCTTTTCCGACGGAGATCAACCGTGGGATCAGCGGAGCCATTCTCCAGAAATATCGTCTCCTTGAAAACAAGATTAAGATGAAGCTCTTCACCGTTGGCCCTTTCGTCTTCTCGCCTGAGGAAACTGATCACGACAAGTCTATCCCCAACGGCTACTAAATTTAACACTCTTTCTTTTTCAGTGCCTTCACTGTATAAACAATGTTAAGGCCCAACACAATGTTAAGGCCCAACCGAAACCCAACAACTCTGCAAACAAGACAAAACTTGTCGCAGCAACGGTCAAGAACAGAGGGAACAGTACGAACACAGAAAACAGGTTTTCTGTGCTTGAAGATAAAGACGGTGAGCTGTAAATTGCCACCTGTCTATGAGTCTAGAATCATCTAAGCCTTGTATAAAAGCTCACTCTTTGTAAACGTTTTGGAGTTAGTTAATGAGAATGCAATTTCAGTAAACCTAAAATACTTTTTGCTCTGCTTCATTTTCTTGTTACTCACATGGTATCAGAGCCATGGAGGGCACAACATCACAGGCAAACGCCGCTTCAGCTGCTCCACCCACAGTTACCTCCGGTGTCTCTGTGACTTCCGCTACGGCAACCACCACAACACCTGCTCCGGTGAATGCAACCCCCACTCCTACACCGGTGGTTCTTCAAGCTCCTCAGACTCCGGTGCAAACTCAAGCTGTCTCCTTTCAGCCAAGCTTCACCCCAGCTGCTCTTTCCATCACCCAGGTTGTCACTCTCAAACTCAACGACACCAACTATCTATCTTGGAAGCTTCAGTTCGAGCAATTCCTTCAAAGTCAGCTCCTTTTGGGCTATGTCACCGGTGCCGTTCCCAGACCTTCTCCAACTCTTTTAGTGAGGACTGGAGATACTGTTTCTGAGGCGAGTAATCCAGATTTTCTCAGATGGGTTCATACAGACCAACTGATTATGGCCTGGATCTATGGATCTCTCTCAGAAGAAGCTCTCAAAAGCATCTACGGTCTTCACTCTTCACAAGAGGTTTGGTTTTCTCTTGCAAAGAAATACAACAGGGTCTCTACAACAAGGAAACTTGATATTCAAAGCAGGATTCAAACTACTGTTAAGGGTAACCTCTCTCTTGCTCAGTACATCTCGGAAATCAAATCCCTTTGTGACCAACTTGACTCGATTGGCTCACCTATCTCTGAGCAAGAAAAGATATATGGCGTCTTAACCGGTTTGGGAAGAGATTATGAGTCGATAGTGACGGTTATTGAACACTCTATGGACTCTCCGTATGGTCTTACCTTTGAAGACGTGGTCTACAAACTCACCTGTTTTGAAGAAAAACTTCAGAAATACCAGATCTCAACCGAAGTTAACCCTCATCAGGCCTTCTACACCGCCAGAGGTGGTTACAACAATGGAGGAAGGGGTCAATCTCGTGGCCGTGGCTCGTTTTCCACACAAGGAAGAGGATTTCCACAGCAGTTTGGTCAAGGCACTGGTAGGGGCTCTTCTTCTGCAGGATATCAAAGGCCCACCTGTCAGATTTGTCACAAAGTCGGTCACCCTGCAAACAAGTGCTGGAAAAGGTTTGACAGAGAGTTTCAGACACCACCCGAGAGTGATCTTCCTCAAGCAATGGCCGCTCTCAAAATGACTGACTCCTCTGGTGCAGAATGGTATCCAGACACCGGCGCTACTCATCATGTCACAAACTCTGAACATCACCTGCATGAATCTCAACCATACAATGGTACCGATGCTGTCATTGTGGGAAATGGAGACTATCTCCCTATAACACACGTTGGCTCCATTGCTCTGCCAACTCCAACAGGTAAGCTACCTCTTACTGATGTATTGGTTTGTCCTGAGATAACTAAATCTCTTCTTTCTGTGTCAAAGCTCACCGATGATTATCCCTGCTCATTCACCTTTGACTCTACATCTGTGTGCATTAAGGACAAAGCAACACACCAGCTTCTCAGTCAGGGAAGCAAAACTAAGGGCTTGTATCGGTTAGAGAATCCCCAACCTTTGGTGTTCTACTCTTCAAGACAGCAACAAGCGAGTGATACAGTATGGCACAAGAGGCTTGGGCATCCTCATCATCAAGTTCTGAAGCATCTATCTTCTATTAATGCTATTGCTTTTAATAAGACAACTTTGCCAATGTGTGAGTCATGTCAGTTGGGGAAAACATGCAAACTTCCCTTTAGTAGATCGGATTTTCAATCAAGTAGACCTCTTGAGAGGATTCACTGTGATGTATGGGGTCCAGCTCCAGTTGTATCAGTCCAAGGGTTCAGATATTATATTGTGTTTGTTGACAATTTTTCAAGATTCTGTTGGTTTTATCCACTTAAAGTGAAATCTGATGCCTTTCATGTCTTCAAAACATTTCAACAATTGGTCCAAACTCAATACAATCAGAAAATCTGTATTTTCCAGAGTGATGGTGGTGGTGAGTTCATCAACAAACAGTTTCTAGACCACTTTGCAACTTGTGGGATTAAGCACTACATCTCTTGTCCACATACACCTCAGCAAAATGGTCTAGCTGAGAGAAAGCATAGACACATTGTTGAGCTGGGTCTGTCTATGCTCTTCCACAGCCAAGTTCCACAACAACTGTGGGTTGAAGCCCTGTTCACTGCCAACTTCCTCATCAACCTGCTTCCTTCCTCTGTTCACAACAAGCTGGTCAGTCCTTTTGAAGTTCTTAATGGAGATAGACCTGTCTACACTGCTCTGAGAGTATTCGGGTGTGCTTGTTACCCATACTTGAAGCCTTATACACAGAACAAATTCGATCCCAAGTCACTTCTCTGCGTATTTGTGGGTTATAGTGAAAGGTACAAAGGCTATCGATGCTTTCATCCACCAACTGGAAGAGTATATATCAGCAGACATGTGTTATTCAATGAGTCTCAGTTTCCCTTCGCAGAAGGATATAAGAGCTTTGCCAAGCTTGCAACGACTCCTCTAATGAACGCTTGGTACTCAGGTCAACCGACTGCAGAGACCTCTACTCAGTCTCAGTCTAGTCAGCCCACACCAGAAGAGATCACCTGTGTTAAAATTGGTACAGTCTCTGTTCCTGTACCATCAAGCCGACAAAGATCACCATCTCTGTCTCCTCCAACTAATGTTCAACGGTCACCAAGTCCTCAAGCTTCTTCTCATACCTCATCCCCAACAACTGATATGGTCGAAGAAATGGAGCCTTTTGACAGTCAAGAAGAGATAACTCCAACTGATTCATCCACAAATGTTCATCCAATGGTGACCAGAGGCAAAGCTGGGGTCAGTAAGCCTAATCCACGATATATTCTATTTGCTACAAAGGGTATTCCTTCAGAACCCAAAACCGTAGCTGAGGCTGTAGCTCATCCAGGCTGGAATGCAGCATGTGAAGAAGAAATTGGCACATGTCATGATACAAATACCTGGGATCTCGTTCCAAGACCCCCCAACACCAATCTCCTTGGGTGCAAATGGGTCTTTAGAACAAAGCTGAATTCAGATGGCTCCTTGGACAAGTTAAGGGCCAGACTTGTAGCAAAAGGATTTGAACAAGAAGAAGGTGTGGACTTTCTAGAGACATACAGCCCTGTAGTTCGGACAGCAACAGTTAGAATGGTGTTGCACCTTGCTGTTATTGAAAGATGGGATATTAAGCAGCTAGATGTAAAGAATGCTTTTTTACATGGAGATCTTCTTGAGAGCGTGTTCATGAAACAACCTCCAGGGTTTGAAGATAAAGTTCACCCTGATTATGTCTGCAAATTGAACAAGGCTATCTATGGATTGAAACAAGCTCCTAGAGCCTGGTTTGACAAATTCAGCTCATACCTCATTTCTTATGGATTTCAGTGCAGTCCGAGAGATCCTTCACTGTTCGTGTATATGGATGGCAAAAGCATTCTTTTCCTTCTGCTGTATGTTGATGATATGGTAATTACAGGGAATGATCAGTCTTTGGTTGACAAACTCCTCACTTCTCTTGGCGAAAAGTTTAGAATGAAGGACATGGGACCCCTCAGCTACTTCCTTGGAATACAGGCTCATTTCACTCCCACTGGTCTCTTTTTGAACCAAGAGAAATATGCTCAAGATCTCCTTCATATTGCAGGTATGGCAGAATGTTCTCCCATGCCCACGCCTCTACCCCTGCAGTTGAACCAAGTACCACATGGATTGCTTCTCTGCTAACTGATATTGGGTTCCCTCAGTCTCTTCCCGCTGAAGTTTATTGTGACAATCTTTCTGCAGTCCAGTTAACGGCTAATCCAGTTCTTCATCCTCGGTCCAAACATTTTGAAACTCACTATCACTTTGCTCGGGAGAAAGTAGCTCTCGGTACTCTGCTGGTTCAACACATTCCTGCTTCTCAACAGATTGCTGATATATTCACTAAGTCCCTGCCACATGAAAGCTTTGTGTCGTTAAGGTTCAAACTTGGAGTGCTCGATCCTCCCACTACGAGTTTGCAGGGGGGTATAAACAATGTTAAGGCCCAACACAATGTTAAGGCCCAACCGAAACCCAACAACTCTGCAAACAAGACAAAACTTGTCGCAGCAACGGTCAAGAACAGAGGGAACAGTACGAACACAGAAAACAGGTTTTCTGTGCTTGAAGATAAAGACGGTGAGCTGTAAATTGCCACCTGTCTATGAGTCTAGAATCATCTAAGCCTTGTATAAAAGCTCACTCTTTGTAAACGTTTTGGAGTTAGTTAATGAGAATGCAATTTCAGTAAACCTAAAATACTTTTTGCTCTGCTTCATTTTCTTGTTACTCACACACTGATCTTCACGCTTATAATTATGGTTTGATCCCGCGGTAATTAATTATCAAACGTTTTTTCCCTTTTTTTCTCACATCTAGTTTATCATTAAATAGTAAACGGATAATATAATTTGATCGTTTGCCATTTCGGCGGAACTATCTACTAGTACGTAGCTAACATACATTAAATTAACTTCTTAGTATGGCCAGCCAGTAAACGACCTTGAAAAAGTTTCAAAAATCCACCATCAAATATCATAAAAGAACATTAATTATTTTATTACCAATTAATTAGTATAGTATTTTCTCCGTTTTTTTTTTGGGTCAACTTACGACTGATTAGCAACTAAATTTCGTCAAAATTTTTCACGAAATGAACGATAATGAAACGAACATAAATTTTTCGTTGGAGTTTAACACTGAGATAACAATATAAAAACATTTAAAACGATTTATTGTCCACCGCTATCAACAATAAAACCAATATTATCTCATATACTCCCATGACTGCTATACACGTGCTATTTTCCATTGCACAAATTTGGGCAAGTGCTTCATATATCCTTCTTTTTCTTGGTTTCCCAGTAAATAGTGATTATTACTCTATAATTTGAAGAATCAATAAGGTTGGAATAAAAAAACTTCAAAGTCAAATAGTTAATAACCACAACTCGAAACTTGTCTTCAATCTGCAGTATATATGAAGAAGGCACATGCTTTATCCGCGTAAATCGAACAACTAGTGCTAGTGGGTTTTGGTTAATAAGAAGAATATTAGTATTTTTTTTTGTTAAAGTTAAACGAAAATTAGTTGACTGATTAAAATATACACTTTGTCAACATTATCTTAATTATATATGTCCCTTGGAGCTTGACATTATAAAAGTCGTTTCAATCCTCTTGAGTTACGCAAAAGGTCCAACTCCATTGGCATTGCTGCCATTGCATGGGTTTCTTTCACGCGTTGTATTTTCACATAAGCAAACGTCGTCGTACAAACTTGATAATTGAGACACGGTTTAATTTCCTTCCATGAGTTTCATTTCATTTTACATTTATCCTAACATTAAAATTTATAAACTTTTTGTTTCCTTGATCTAAATTTTGTTTTCATTTTTAATTACAGCTGGTCAACAAGTATTTAACGCAGTGGAAGATAAATTTACGATTAATCTGGGGTTTCTCACATGAAACATATTAATGGAATTTAAATAAATAATTTGGAGACTAAAATTAGTATCGAAATATTATTAATTATCAAAATTTGTGAAGATATATATCATGAATACAATCTCACGTTATTCCCCTTATTGCTTACTTGCTGTTCTGTGAGATAAATTTAACTTAAATCAAAGTTAGCAGACATTATTGTTTCATTGTTTGCCATCAATTAAACTAGGTCTCTTAACTCATATTGTGAACGAAGTTACGGTCAAATAAATGTGTAGGTTTTGACTTTAAGAGAGAGAGATCTTTTTTTTTGACAGCTCTTTAAGAGAGATATCAAGATATCAATATCTGTCGACATGAGAAAAAGATATCAATATCCATAACAATGTAATTTTAAGGGATTCTTTTCATGTGTCACTGTATACAAACATATATATATATATATATATATATCCAATTACAAACATATATAATATATCCAATTACGTATCTCTTGGCTGTCCTCTCTTAATTGAAAAAACAAATTAAAATATTACACCCAGCCTAATTAATGCAGCAAGATTGAGCTAATTGATCAATAATTGGATTTCATACAACTAAATATATGAACTAATAAATAGACACTCTCTTTTTTTTTTTTTTGCAACAAAAGAAATATAGAGTTATGATCCAAAATATGTGTCTCTTAATTTAATTTGTTCATTTTATTTACTCTCACATGCATGAAAACTATCCACTATACAATTTCAAAACGCATTTTATTTGCAATAATCTATAGTCTACCAAAATTTATAATGTCAAGAACTTGACTTTTTCATTATGAGTAACGTGCTTTTTTACCAACATGTTATATCTATATTCGATTTTTTTTTCTTGAAATGCCTAACATTGGTTGACAATTTTAAATTACGAACACCAGTTACACCATCCTGATTATACTAATTCAAATTGGTAACAGAAGTTGGTCAAAATTTGACTTTTCAAGTAAATATTATAAAACCAAAAAAAAAAAAGAGAAAAATTCATCAATTCAACTTCAACACCCATTTATAAATTATCAATGATGGATTTTAATTACTCCTTAACTACGGTGAATATTTGTCTATTTTTTAGTCAGAGATAGATCTATACGTGTGAATATTATAACAATATGGTATATATGTTTGAATTTTGTGGCACCGTCATAATTATAGATATACACACACATTATTATTAATGACTTGAACTTGTACGTATTCAAATTCAACGTTCTCGAGAACCCTATAAATAATCCAAGACAATTAACACATTTTCTCAAACCAAACACACAATTAAACAAAAGATGTCTCAAATACTCATGTTATTGGTCACCATTAGCATCCTCTCTCTATCGTCATCTCCTTCTCTCGCCGCCGAATTTCAGGGCACCGGAAATGCCATGTCGCGGTCAAATGTATGTCGATTCGCGCCGGATCCATCGTATTGTAGATCGGTTCTACCAAACCAGCCTGGAGATATATACTCCTACGGCCGCTTCTCACTCCGACGGTCCCTCTCACGTGCCACCCGGTTCATGTCGCTGATTGACGATCAACTAAACCGGAAAGGCAAAGTGGCTGCGAAAGCCACATTAGGGGCACTCGAAGACTGCAAATTCCTCGCTAGCCAGACCATCGACTTCCTCCTTAGTAGCTCAAGGACTGTCGATGCCACCAAAACGCTGTCGTTTTCAAGGGCAGAGGATGTTCAGACTTTTCTAAGTGCTGCGATCACCAACGAACAGACTTGTCTTGAAGGACTTAAATCCACGGCTTCGGAAAATGGTCTCTCCGGTGATCTTTTCAACGATACCAAACTCTATGGGGTCTCTCTTGCCCTTTTTTCCAAAGGTATATAATAATAATAATAATAATAAAGATTAATAATAATCATGCACGTAATCGACTAATTAATCCCCATTCTTTATTTTTCGTTCTAATATGCACGTCTTCTATAATGTGGCACGAAATCTGCATTTAATTAGCGCTTTATTAATTTCTACAGTTCTTGCTTTCGTGAATAACGGTTTTCGTTAGAAAAACAACGCTGATGTTTGAAAGATTTATCATGGAGTTGGTTAAAAATAATAGTTAAATTACAAGAATATTCGGTTCTTTTTATACAACCTACAAATATCACCATTTCTTTATTATCCAAAAAAAAGATTAAAATAATAAAGATTTTAGCTATTAGGGATTTTTGAAACCCATATATATATATATATATATATATATAAACTCTACGTAATATACGAAATTAAAAACAGGTAATAAATTTTGACTTCAATTGTAGGTTGGGTGCCAAGAAGGAAAAGATCGAGACCGGTTTGGCAACCAAAAGGCAGCTTCAAAAAGTTTCTCGGATTCCGTAACGGTAGATTACCGTTAAATATGACGGGAAGGGCACGTGCCGTTTACAACAGCGTGACTACTGGGCCTGGGAGAAAGCTTCTCCAAGCTGAAGCAGACGCCGTTCTGGTGAGCGACATTGTGACGGTGAACCAGGACGGGACGGGAAACTTCACGACCATAAACGCAGCCGTTGCAGCCGCGCCTAATAAAACAGACGGTACTAACGGTTATTTCTTGATCTACGTAACGGCGGGATTGTACGAGGAATACGTGGAGATTCCCAAGTACAAGAGGTATGTGATGATGATCGGTGATGGCATTAACCAAACCGTTATCACCGGCAACCGGAGCGTCGTTGATGGCTGGACCACTTTCAATTCCGCCACATTTAGTAAGTACTTCATATACATATACCGATATACGTATATCTCACAATACATAGAGCAAAACCAGTTTTTTTATATTGAAATTATCTATCTTCTTCTTCTCTTTTTCTAATTCTCCTCTAATTAGTCATGGTCTATATATTATATTAGTTTAATTATATAAAAAACATAAATAATACGCGGTTTAAAACTGAATGAATATAAAATTTAGCATCCCAGTCTCGTCAGTCGTCACCACATAATAAAAAATTATATAGAAAATATGAAGTCATGTGCACAATATAATTACAAAAAAAAACATGGCTGCTTCGTGCAAGTGCGATGTAACTTTTCCTTCTTTTTTTTAGAAACCTTGGTTTTTTTTTTTTGTAACAAGGGTGAGAAACCTTGGTCCAAAAAATATAAAAAATAATAATACTCATGCAATCGAAGACGAGTTGGTCCACTATATAACTTGGCTATTAATATAGACTTTTTCCATGCAATCGAGGGCGATTTTGTCGAATGGTCCACCGAAAGTCTTTTAAACTCCACGTCCATTCCTCGTGTCATCAACTAACCTAATACCACAGTCCATTAAACTAAAATATTTCTCAAATTTGTTTGTTTCCTAATGTTTTGTTTTATATTTTTTCTCTCTAACGAACCAGTTAAAATTATCGCTATACAGTATTTTTAATCAACTAATTAAGTCAACAATATTTGTTTTTGTTGCGAAAATGGCAGTTCTATCAGGAACAAACTTTATTGGAGTGAACATAACAATCCGCAACACGGCAGGGCCGACAAAGGGTCAAGCCGTCGCATTGAGGAGCGGTGGAGACTTCTCTGTCTTCTATAGTTGCAGTTTTGAAGCGTATCAAGACACTTTATACACGCATTCTCTTAGACAGTTTTATCGTGAATGCGATGTTTATGGCACCGTTGATTTTATATTCGGTAACGCTGCAGTGGTGCTGCAGAACTGTAATCTGTATCCACGTCAGCCTCGCAAAGGTCAGTCCAACGAAGTTACAGCTCAAGGCCGTACCGATCCGAACCAGAACACCGGAACGGCTATCCATGGGTGTACGATTAGACCGGCGGATGATTTGGTTACGAGTAATTATACGGTCAAAACTTATCTTGGTCGGCCTTGGAAGGAATACTCGAGAACCGTCGTTATGCAGACTTACATCGATGGTTTTCTTGAACCGACTGGTTGGAACGCGTGGACCGGCGATTTTGCATTGAGCACACTTTACTATGCTGAATACAATAATACCGGACCCGGTTCAAACACGACAAACCGAGTCACTTGGCCCGGTTATCACGTCATTAACGCTACTGATGCTTCCAATTTCACGGTCACAAATTTCCTCGTTGGTGAGGGTTGGATCGGACAAACCGGAGTGCCGTTCGTTGGTGGATTAATTGCATAACTATATTAATTAATTCCTTTAAGTTAACATCTCACTATGTTAGTTAATAATATCATATTCATGTTGTTCTTTACATATTTTAAATAATTTTTTAAAAAATTAAAATGATTGTGATTTTTGGGGTCAATCTATTCTCTCATATAATAATATTCACAACCGTATAATACAATATTTTCGGAGTTCATTAAAGAGACTAGAGACTAATTAATCGAATAACAAACAAATGAGCTTCTTTTGTAGCAAATTTTTGGTGATGGAAAATTTCCATAGTCTGTCTCAGACGCTCTCGTAGCCACGTGGTCTGGCATTGGTGCCACCGCGTTTGGTGCGGTTTTGGTAAAAAAAAAAAATCAATATAAAACCCAATCAGTGTACGTATTCCGTATTTTAGATGCTCCACAGTCGTTTCAAAGATAAAACTGGATGAACCGGAATTTTAGATCCGTTAATTTGAACCGGATCAAAAACGTTGGGCATCTCCACTGTGACACCGACTAGATCGATCGGTTCTCTCTCACACGCCTCCATCGGAAATCTCAACGGCGAAGAAGAAGAAGAGGAAGAGGAGGAAGAGGAACTTCCGGTTTCTATGTCCTCGATCGGTTTAACCGGATCGGCTGGTTCGGGTGGATTGGAGGGGTTAAGGGGCTGAACCGGAGCTCTGCAAAGCGGGCAAGTGGATCTGGAACGGAACCAAGTATCGATGCAATCGACGTGAAAGGCGTGGCCACATTTCGGTAGAATAAGGCCTTTGTCGTCTTCCTCGAACTCCGACAAGCAGACGGAGCACTCCTCTTCTTGATGAGTCTCCTCCGACGAGTAAACGAAGATCGGGATCTTCTCGAGAACCGCCGGATCGAGAGGGGATACGGAGGAGGAGGAGATGGTGGAGGCGGAGAGAGAGCGGAGGTGAGCACGAATCCGGCGGCGAATGCGACGGTTTTGACGGCGGAATAACCATCTGGCGTAGCTGTGGAAGCAGAGGATCAGAATCACGGCGACGAAGAGGATGATTACGGAGGAGAGCATGATTTTGCCGTTGAGGGCGTAGCCTGGAGGCGCGTGGCTCACACTCTCCCACATTGGCTTGCTGCTTTCTTCTCCGATTCCCATATCGTCGAGAGACTAGAGAGACTAGAGAGACTAGAGAGAGAGTGGGTTGCTTGCTTATGTGTCTTTGGGCTTCCCCTTCCTTATTTATAGGCTATTTAAAAGAAATCATTGGGTCCCTCTTTATTTAATTTTATTCTGTTTTCGTTTTCTTTCGAGACGATTAAAGAAATATGCAAACGTTATATTCTTTTTAATTGCCTAAACCAAAACCAAAATATTCACATGTATTGTTTTTTTTTTTCAAATAAATAAAACATTCACGTACTGTATTGTGTTCGACTCATATTCTATCAATTAAGTTGACGATGTATTGTGTTCGACTCATATTCTATCAATTAAGTTGACGATGTATTGTGAACACTAAATACTGTCAAATTATTTTTTCAATGATTTATACTCTAACATGTTTTCATGCTCTACATAATCTTCTATAAATATTCTCGGATACATTTTGTTACGGAAAATATAGTTTCCTCGTTTTTAACAAAAGAAAATTTTGTATCTCTGTTGTAAATCACAAATATTTGCTACATCAATAACTTATTTTATGGTATTAATTGCGATAAGTAGTTCTTTTTTCGTGTCTCTCTAATAATATCCTTTTCTTTTGATTTTGACTAAATAAACATGTAATTGTTCATTATCTTTACAAATTTCCTTTCGTATGTTTGTAACTGTACACTAATTTAACGTCTTTTTTTTCAACAAATGTATGCAAAAAGAACAAGGGATCGTATTACAAAGTAAACTTAATTATTTACTAATAGTTGCAATTGGAAGTTGATGTGTCTTAATTATTGTAAGAACTTTGGAAATAAAAGTCCTTTTGGGTCAAAACAGAAAAGTGTTTGCCACTTTCTTCATAATCATAGAGTTTGTCATATGCGTACGTAATTCGTAAAGAAAGTCTACAAGTTCGTGAACCCACTTGTAAACTTCTCACTTCTCAGTCTTTTGATATGCCTAAAGAAACTCGACAAGTTCTTGAACCCACTTGTGACTTCTCTCAGTCTTTTTAAAACTACTTGATGAGCATTCTGCCAGTTTCCCCCCGATTATTTTCTACTATCGATTTTGTGAGTTGAATTACCCGTAATATCGAACAACGATTATGCAATTGCACAATTATTATATATAAGGATGGCGAAACCAATAATAGCGCTATACATGCCTGATTTATGAATTGATATGAACTGGTAAAAAATATTCATAACTAAATTAACAGGCACAGAAGAATGTCATCAAAGCTTGCTTGCTTAGATGCTAAGAGTCAGAGACTGTCTCAATATTAGACCCTCCGTTTGCTTTAAAGGATCTTGCACTTGTTTTCTTTGTTTTTTAAAAATAGATATATAACTTCATCTTTTTATATTTTCGTCAAATGTAGCTTTTAGTTCTTTCGTTTGAGTCATTTTCAAAATACGGCTTTAAGACCATTTTACACATCAGAACCTAATATGTGTTTTGTCGTGAAGAGAGTGTAGTTTGGGTTTCCGCTGGAATTTTCTAGTCTGTTTTGCAAATTGATAAAGACCTTAATGCTCTACGCCTTTTTCTGTCTTGTTTATACTTTAAATGTTTACAATATTGAAAACAAATGACAAATTGGCAAAAGAATCTTTTATTAAAATACAATAGGAAATGACATTGGAATGGAATATTCTGATTTTCCCAAAAAATGTTTTGAAAATAAATCTTAACAAAAAACTAAATATAATATTGATTCAAGATTTTTACTATATTTTCTATCAAATTTAACAATTATGCGATTAAAATAGTATTTCGCCCAGACACAACATGGGTGGAAAATTTAGTTAAAAATAAATAAATATTTGCTATTCTCTCGTTAGTCCTACGAACCTTTTTCTTCTTCATTTTACCCTTTTTCTCACTCTTAGTACTACTTTTCTTGCTTCTCAATGAGTCAATGTTAAACACCGTTATACAATTGATGATAAATCTACGAAATTTTAATTTAAAATACACGCTACACACAAGTAGCTCGAGATGCTGGAAATCAGGTCGTCCTCGGGAAAGTGGCTACCTAAGTGCTAAAGTGCTCTGTTTTCACGTAGTAGTAAGAGTTCAAACAATGGAAAAGGAAGATGTCTAAGATAATAATATATAAATACAGTTGGTTTTGTATCCACTGGTGGTTTGCTCTCACGGCGGCTGCTGAAATTGCGAATCTATGGGTGTTGCCATGTATTGTTGGATAACTTAATTGTTTATTGTTTAACCAATCAAAATTAGAGAGAAAAGGTACAGTAAATATTATTAACAGGATAAGATGGTCAAAACATTCCCCAAGTGGTATAAAGTTCCATTTTCTTCCTCCCATGTGATGTGCCGTGCGGCGAATCTAGAAATGTGTCAAAATATCATTTCCTTTTTCTTTTACCATATTTTTTATTTTTATGTTGACCGTGATTGATAACTCTCTAAATGCGGAAAGAATAGAATGATTTCAAAATTTTGCTGCTTTTCAAAACTTCACATGGTTTTTTCAGTGAATCACACAATTTATGTTAGTAACCCCCTAAGTTAACCAAAATATTACTCATATTTTTTTCAATTATATCAATTCCGCTTTGTTTCAGTTAGTTTTTTTGCCCTTTAAAAATAAATCGAATTTATGTGGAGAACCATCTTATGTTATTTGAATCGATTAGCTAATACTTATAGCTAAAAAGTAAAAGGGAAGAGGAGTTTATAAGATAAATCAATTCACATTTTAACGAGAATTCACATGACCACTTTTCTTTTCTTTAATTTTCTCTGGAAGATTTATCTGTTTAAAGCTAACAGCCTAACATGATATTGTTAGCGAAGAGAGGAATTTTTTATTTTTATTTTTGCAAAAGAGTTAGTCTGAAAATCGGGTCATTTGTGAAAAAGTAACCATTGCGTTTACAGTAAAAAATGAATATCATTATCAAGTTCACAAAATTTTAATCGTCAAAATAAATAATAGCTATATACACATTTTATATATTGTTATATATATATATATATTCTATTGATTATATATGCTTCCTGAAGAAAGAATGGAACGAACTAGGCGTAGTTACATGATGTAACAGCGAGTCAAGCTCACATATCGTACCTAGTCATGGCCAGCTCATTCCTCTCCCTTTTTCTTTTTAACTTTCATCTATTTTTTTAACTTTTAATTTTTTTCCTCACTTTTCTTCTTTTAATTTTTTTTTATCAATCTTAATTTAAGTTTTTTTCATGTCGTTGGGAATAAAAAGAACACTCGAACAATATAGAGAGAAAGAAAGACTTGTTTTGTGAAAGACGGCGATAATTTTTTTTTAATTGAGCGATACCTGATATTTCAGACAAGCTTAGGCATAAAAACAAAGTCAAGGAAGAATCACTGTTCTTCACTACACAAACTTAAGACTAGTGAATATATAAAATAAAGACTAGTGAACATGGCGTAAGAAGAGTAATAATTCTTTTGGATAGGTATTATTGACAAAGAGAGGTACCAAAATGGAAAAAGACCAAACATTTGATCTATCTTTTTTTTTTTTTTTTTTCTGCACATTTGATCTATCTAAAACTTTATAATGCGCAAAAAAAAGAAACGAAAAGTTTTGAAAAGCCGCTACGAAAGTTTTTAAGAAAAAACATGCATAGATGAACTCAAGTAATACATGAATTGACCATGATGACTCTGAAAAGAAGTCACGATGAAAGTCTTAGACCTTGACATTTGGTTGGCTAAGCTTAGACCTTGAAGCAGCCTCTGCTCTTTCTTCCTCCTCTGGCTTTCTCAAACTTTCTACCAATGGAACGCACATATGGTTTGGTATATCTGTGTGGCACACCAGGAGCTGGTCCAAAGTGCTTCACTGCGTTCCATTACTTGAGCTGTACCTTGACAAGGAGCTTAAGATAGACATGGTCGGATTTAGGCTCAGTACGGTTCATCTACTTGCTCTTGCCTCCGGCAATCAAATCGATGCCCTAAGATGGAACACAGAAGCCAAAATGAGAGCCCAAAAATCTAGGACGATTGGTCAGAAGTGAACCATTATTCTGTTGCTTTGGGGCCTTCTCTTTCTCAACCTAGAGATCACACATGTACTAGACGTAGATTTTTTTTTTAAAAAAATTATTGGCCCATTAGTATAAATATTGGGCTACTTAGTGGGCTTTACGAACACAGCTTGGTCTGTGAGCTACTAGGCACTTGCAAAATAAAAACCTCACCTTTTCGATTTCGCTAATTCGCCGGAGATTTCGTAAATCGGAGAAAGATGGAGATGCAGGAGGCTAATCAAGGGTCGGAGGTTTCTCCGAACCAGACGATCTACATCAATAACCTCAACGAAAAAGTGAAGCTCGATGGTGATCAATCAATCTCTCTCTCTCTCTTTTTTTTTTTACTTATCGTCATGTATTTGCTCCGATTTCAGTTGATTGAGATATTTTCTTCTTCTTCTTCTTCTTATTCGGAACCCGTACAGAGCTGAAGAAATCCCTGAACGCCGTCTTCTCTCAGTTCGGAAAGATACTGGAGGTGTTGGCGTTTAAGACATTGAAGCACAAAGGGCAAGCTTGGGTTGTGTTCGAGAGCGCGGAATCTGCTTCGACTGCTATTGCGAAAATGAATGGATTTCCCTTCTACGATAAACCCATGGTACGATATCTTTTGCAGTGAAATTTCCACTTGCTCGAATTACACTTTGTTGCTGCGCTGAATTCGTCATAATTCATGGATTTCGCTATTACCCAGGATGCTTGATTATGTTAGGGTTTTACTTTACTTAGTGGAGGTTTGATTTCACCGAACGGAACTTTGGATTCCAGGAAACTTTGCTTGTGATTTTCTACTTTAAATTCAGCTTGAGAGGCGAGACCGATTGTTGTGGTTGCTTTTAGGTTAATGAAGAGATTGGATTGGATCTATCTCTTTTAGTATTTGTGTTGATGAAATACTTACCGATGACTTTGTCTCAACTTGAACAATCTGGACAGAGAATACAATTTGCGAAAACAAAATCAGATGTTGTTGCCAAGGCCGATGGTACATTTGTTCCTCGCGAGAAAAGAAAGAGACACGAGGAGAAAGGTGAGGCTCTCAATTTTTCATTTTATTTTTTGCATTACTGCTTCCTTGTCTCACTTGGCCGGAGCATTGTTGCAAATATAAATGTAGAACTTTTTTGTTTCTTTCATCATTCATTTCTCGCATGACATTCTGCATTAATCATTAGTAGTCACATCTCATGCACTTACTATGTGAAGCCATGTATACATCCTTTGTGAGTTTGGGATATCTTTGCTTCTCCAACCCTATAAACAGTATGTTGTTCGACTCTAAAAAAAAATAAAAAACCGTCTTTTGGAATTGCAGGAGGCAAGAAAAAGAAAGAACAGCATCATGATTCTACACAGATGGGCAATGCCATGAACTCAGCATATCCAGGTGTCTATGGAGCTGCACCTCCTGTGAGTCATCTCAACCTTTTATTCCCTCTCTTATCTTCTTGATTCCGCTCATTCTTTTTCTCACATTCATGCTTGTCTGGGAGTTCCGATCCTTTTGTTCCTTCAATGCATTCTTAGTCGTTGTTCTTTATTGCCACGCTTTACACAGCTTTCGCAAGTACCATACCCTGGTGGTGTGAAACCCATTCTTCCGGAGGCACCGGCACCGCCGAATAACATCCTCTTTGTCCAAAACCTTCCTCACGACACAACTCCAATGACGGTTCAGATGCTGTTCTACCAGTACCAAGGTTTCAAGGAGGTTAGGATGGTTGAAGCCAAACCGGGTATTGCCTTTGTGGAGTTTGCAGATGAGATGCAATCAACGGTTGCAATGCAGGGACTTCAAGGTTTCAAGATTCTGCAGAATCCAATGCTCATCACCTATGCCAAGAAATAGAAGACCGTTTGGTTTGATCGGTCTTTGTATCTCTCAATGTCACTTCTTCCATGGTTTATTTTGCGCAATTTTCTTCCTTCTCTTTTGTTGTAGAATTTTCGTAGCTTGGAAAATGTCTTCCGTCGATTTCTTATCCCAGGCATCCTTATATTACTAAAGCACAAGTCACCTGGCCAATTAAATTCTGCCACATAGTTTGTGCTTATATATTTTTAAAATTAAAAAAAAAAACGATGCAAAAAAAATAACGGTTTCTCGACTCACGATCCTTTTTCATCATCCACGATCTTTCTTGATCTTTCTTTCCCATATTTCTATATTAAAGATACTCTCAATCGATCCGAAACATAACTCTGTGCAGTGATTTAGTGTGGAAGATTAGTGATTACTTAAGTTTCTCGGAGACATCTAAGGATTTTGATTTCATCTCAAATTTCTACCTTCACGCTGACGCAGATATAGGACAAGTGATTTGCAGTGTGTTACTGGAGATCTGATCCTTAAGAAGACATTTCAATTCATGTAAGAGAGAATGCAAATGCAGATCGCAATAGAATTGCAAGAAGGGAATTCTGTTAAAAGGTAAAAACGCTTCCATTAATTCACTTCCGAAAGGATCAAATTGTTTAAGTGTTTTGCTATTGTAGAATAGAATTTACAGCAGCGATGGATTGAAAACAGCAGAGAGGTTTCTACCTTTTCTCTATAATTTCAATGTTTTAAGTTTTTGGTAAGAAAATTGATTTATGTATGGTTGTATTGTAGGGGCGAGAGGAACATGAAGTGTTGAAGATGACAAAACCGGTGCTGTTGTGGGAAAGATGACTAAATTTTAAGACAAAATTAACACAGATACTATATCAATTGTTTCAGTTTTTCCCGTAAATTGGTCCATAGTCTTTGCGATACACCACTTATTTTTTTATTTCAGATGTTTGAAATATAAATACACAGTGAAAAGGAATCATAGCTCTACTGCTTCTTCTCGATTACCAGAAAAAAATAGGTACTCAAACAATCAAATTCGTCAATGAAATTATTCCCAAAGGTAACTAATATAAAATAGCTCTATATAATAAGCATTCTCATCTTGGTTTTATAATTTACCAGATTTTTTAAGGAATCGAGTGAGGAAGAAAGATGGCACGCAGAGAAGTTTATGGGGTACTAGGTTTTCTATTTTTCCTTCTTTGATTACCATTTCTTAATATGTAACTAAAGTTTGTTTTTTTTAGTTAACAAAAATATTCCCGTGCTAATACTAGTTACTCCTAAGTCCTAAGACAAGAGTTCACTTTCTTAAATGGGCTATACTGACCCATCTTTAGTTCAGCCCATTCGTATTTTAGACGAAAGAAGTACACTTGCTCTCGAGGAAAAAGAAGCAGCAATTGTAAATCTTGAAAGAAATTTTAATATTAAATAAAAAAACCCCTATAAAAACTATTCTCACAAACTGAACTTTGATTTAGAAAAGGCTTATGGATATTTTTGTTTTTGAGTTATTATGAATTCTTGTAGTATCTTCTATTAAGATTAAAAAAAAAAACCAGTAATCATTATGTGATGTTGGATTGGTCAAAGAAAAGTCTTTGTTGTGTAGCTGTTTTTCTTGGTTGCAGCTGACGTCAGCGATTATTAGGTCAACACTCGTGCGTCAAGAGAGTGGGAGTGAGCTCTCGCCTCTCTCATCAAAAGGAAGCCCTTTGAGATTTTCGGACACTCGATATGATGCATTAAAGTTATCAAACACCAAAGCATTAATTAGACGATGGTCCAATATTAAAGGATCAGTAGTGAGCATTAAATAGGAAACACGAGTGTGATACGAACACGTAAGCATTAATGTGTTTATAGATTTGGTGATGACTTCATTGTCTGACTCTGTCTCCTCTTTTTGCAAGACAAAAGATTTGTAGCTTAAAAAAAAAAGATTTGTAGCTGGTTCATCTCTGGGTGACACCACCTAATTAGTATATATATATATATATATATAAAGTTACATCCTAAAGTGAGATGCTCATCAAAATCCTTTTATTTTTTATTAGTCTGCCGAATCTTATTTTAGCATTGAAACATGTAGATGTTAACACCGAAATTATTCAACTAATTCGATTCATGCTATTTTTATGAGCATCTCGCTTTAGCCATCGTAACCTATTGCACATTTAGATGTCAAAACTGTAAACATTCAAGGATCAAGTAAACTCTCCAATTAATATGACATTTAAAGTAGTAACTAGTAAGACTACAAGCTAGGGTTCATATTTACCTATCCGGAGTCTTTATAAATATGCGAGGAGGATTATACACTATACATAGACCATATAATAGAAACAACTAATATGAGATGGGGGGAATGATTATCAACACAGGGACCTTACGAACTCATCATATTTTGAATGTTTTTTTTCTTTGTTAGAGAAAGTTAGGCCAACACGCAAAGCCCTACGTGCACTCTTTCATTATTCCTCTCTTCTTTTGCCCCCAACAGTTTTTGACGACCCACCTTCCCCTTTTTGACCCTCCTCTCTCTCACACTCATGCATGTATGTTAATTTATTCAGAGGATTCTTTTAAAATTTGGCATTTATTATCATGACACATAGATAAACTGTTTCATTTTTTGCAATGTACACTTTACGGAGAGAAAGCTAGTAGAATCGAGTGAACACCCAGAATTTCAATTTTAATTTTAGCATCCCGATACTTGCTTCGTTTTCGAAAATGTTTGAATATCTTTCTCTCTTAAAAAGAAAAAACAAGATTAGAGAAGATTTAACGGATGGAATTAAGTGGATATTATGTTTGTTTTTCCTACCACGGAGTAGATGCTAAGATTAGTGGAGATGTAGGTCTAAGATATTGCTTGTCAAAGCGTGACCGATTGCATAGGATCCTGCAATAACACAAAATATGGTACACCTAAGGTAGTTTATAAAATTTAGGACAGACAAGCCCCACGTTTTCAAAGAGAAAGAAAAAAAAACGATTTGTGGAAATATATAAAAGATTTTAAACCCAGCAATTATTAGACAAGGCATTGTTTGGACCTAGTTTCTCTTAGCCCTCTTCACTCTCTCACTTTTCTTCTTCAACCCTTCTTTTGCGTGAGATGCCATCATGGCATGGCATGGTTCTTTTGCCTTACGTAAAACACACTCACGCCAACATACATATATACATATATACATATATATGTATATGTGTTTCATAAATGCAATCTTTGGGGCCTATATATACAGAGCTTCCATAACCAGAGCTCTCTCATATTACAAAAGCTCACATATATGGTTAATGGAATTGCGGGTGAGAAGCTCCACGTTGGAGAAGCAGGGCACGTGCAAAGCAATAAATCAAACACGAAATCTGTCTCATGTGGTTTGCACGTGCTCCCCTCCTCCAACATGAGCTCCTCACCTTTGGTATTGATGTAAACCATGCATCTTTGATAAATACAGGAACTCAAGCGTTATTTGGTTGTTCTTCTACTCTTATTTTCATATATTCTTGTTACTAGCTTATGGATTTGATGGTTAGATAATTCTCGTATATGTATGCAGTGTTTAGAATTAGGCGATTACGTGTGTTTGCTTTGGTTAAATTCGACCTTTTATTTGGTGAGAAAAAAATGACAAAAAAACGGACAGTTTGACGATGGAAGTCGACGACTTAGAAACTATACCTTCGGAGCGCCTCAGAGGGTTCTGACTGGACTTCAGAGTCAGAGGGTATTTTATGTTTGTTAATCTGGAATTACGGTGTTTAACTACAACTTTAATTACCTACATTATCGTTTTGATTTTTTGTTTCTCTCTTTTCTGTGTCCCAAACGGGCAGTTTGCTCATTCAATTGGTTTAAAATTTTATTGTTTCAAAACAAAACAACATTTCAGCGTGAATGTTCACACGTTTAATCCTTTATTAATGTAATGTATTCATAGTCAATAATAGTAGAATTATATTTATAGATATATTAAAAAGTCAACTAGTTTTGAAACCCAAAAAAAAAAAATCATTTCTTGTTAATCAGCAGTAAAGCCAACATTTCAATTAATTAAAAAAATGCTATAACCTTAGAATGGAATTATCATAAAAATATCTTTTAAAAAAAAAAAAAAAAAAAAGAAATTTGTGTGGGAAGAGAGGTAGAGATAGCTAATCGTCGTCCTCATTCATCTCACTCTACAGTCTTCTCTATTCTCTTCCCTGAAAACAAAAACAAAAACAAAAATGGATTCGAATCTCGTAGAAGAAAACCCAAACCCAGAAACCAAATCCACAGAAGAACCTCTCGCCATTATCCCTTCTTCTCTACCAATCGCCTCTCTATCTCTCTCCTTCTTTCCCAACTCCACCACCCACTTTCTCCGATTCTCTCACCTTTTTTCTCATCACCCAAACAAGGTTAAGATCCCTACTCAAGCCTCTTATCTCACCCATCTCTCTCTATCTTCCGTCTCTCCTTCGCCTTCCACCAGAATCTCCTTCAAATCCACCGTCTCCGCTAACCCTCTTCAATCCCCTCTCTCCATCGTCCCGCGTCGCCCCGTCGATCCTTCCTCCGCCGCCGCTCTCCGCCGCTCTGCCGTCGTCTGGTTCCGAAACGACCTCCGTGTCCACGACAACGAGTGTCTCAACTCCGCCAATGACGAGTGCGTCTCCGTCCTGCCCGTTTACTGCTTCGACCCTAGAGACTATGGCAAATCCTCTTCCGGCTTCGACAAAACGGGGCCCTTTCGTGCCCAATTCCTGATCGATTCCGTTACGGAGCTCCGGAAGAATCTCGAGGCGAGAGGGTCCAACCTCGTTGTCCGGGTCGGGAAACCCGAATCTGTTCTGGTGGAATTGGCCAAAGAAATCGGCGCCGACGCCATTTATGCTCACAGGGAAGTGTCTCACGACGAGGTCAAGGCAGAAGGGAAGATAGAGACGGCCATGAAAGAGGAAGGCGTTGAAGTCAAGTACTTTTGGGGAAGCACTCTCTATCATTTGGACGATTTACCATTCAAAATCGAAGATTTGCCGTCGAACTACGGAGCATTCAAGGACAAAGTCCAGAAGTTGGAGATCAGGAAGACAATCGCAGCATTGGATCAATTGAAAAGCTTGCCCTCTCGAGGTGACGTGCAACTTGGCGACATTCCTTCTCTGTTGGATCTCGGCATTAGCCCCAGTGCTAGAACCAGCCAGGTTTGAGTTTCACTATTTGCTTCAGTGGAGTATTTAGCTTGGTTTGGTTAGTCCTTTTGACTTTCCAGGTTTAAGCATTTAGAAAGGTGGAACCTTTGTTAGAATTATCTCCCTCTAAAGGTTTACAATGTGCCAATTGGTTCCAGTTCTATACGACAAATAAAGTATAGAGATTCATATGTGAAAATGCTTGTAATATTACTGCAATTCCCATCCAGATTTAAGGCTGTTTAAAAGTCCACCATTGATTTGACCCGATTAAAAAGAGAAACACTCTTCATAATATCATCAATCAATGAACGTTTCTCTTTCAATCCAAGATCAAGTTGATGTCTTTTTTGCACTCTGCGTCTGCTGCTCTTACACTTACTCTTAAAATTTTATGCGGTCTAGGAGGGGAAACCGACAATGGCTGGAGGCGAGACAGAGGCGTTGAATAGGCTAAAGAGCTTTGCAGCGGATTGTCAAGCTCGATTGAACAAGAAAAATCAGAAAGGAGACAACAACAGTGTGTTTGGTGCAAACTTCTCGTGCAAGATATCACCCTGGCTAGCCATGGGGAGCATCTCTCCTCGTTCCATGTTCGATGAGCTGAAGAGATCAGTTTCTGCATCAACCACCCCCAAAACCCCAAGGTAATGTCTCAGAACGCAACACTTTAGGGAACTCTGTTAAACCGATTTGGACATACTAAGGGTATGTGTCTAGTCACCATTCTCGGAAATGATTTTCTCAGGAACGGACCCGGAGATACTGGACTGAACTGGTTAATGTATGAGTTGCTATGGAGGGATTTCTTCAGGTGAGATCTTGCTTTCTTGACTTGTCCCCTAGGAGAATTTGTTTTTTTTTTGTCTGAATCTGTCTTTGATGTGTGTTTATACAGGTTTATAACCAAAAAGTACAGCTCGGCGAAGACGCAGGTCGAGGCGGGTCCTGCTACAGCCTGTACCGGCGCATTTGCTTAAATTTAGAAAACTTCAGGTGACCGGAGAAATTAGAATGCATCTGATTTTGCCCTACTTTTTTTTTTGCTACTCGGACATGACTTAATCGCTCTCTTTTAAAAGTGAAGGGTATGGTTAAATAAGCTTTATTGTGCTCAATCAAGTTGTCATTTTCTAGTCCCAAACATTGCCAGTCCTCAATTCCAATCTAAGTCTCCGCTCCTTTGAGTTTATCTCCAAGTTTGGAGGATTAAGAATGTATCACTGACACAATCTCAAAATAATTATACGAAATAGTATTAGATTAACAGCCTTCTTAGTCATAACTAATATTTTTAAAACCATGAGAAGCTGTGAAATGAATGGATCCCTGAACTATACATACTCTGTCAACTCTGTTCTACCTTCTATTTAGCCAATGATCCAATCCAAAATCATCTTTAATATGCTTTTTATATTTGTAACACATATTTAGCCCACTGCCTCTGATATTTATAAGAAAAACCCTTAAGTAAAACAGGAGGACATGTCTTGTAGTAAGATTTTTCTTCTTTCTCGTTTGCTTTTGTTGCTTCCTTCTATATGATGCCTGAAACTTTCAAAGAAGAAAGAACAACGAAGACGACCCAAAGCATCATGAAGTAAGCAGAGGTAAGCCAAGCCCATAGCCTTGGACCTCCAAGCTCAGCTCCTATAATCAACCGTCTCAACACAAGCACCACGATACATCCCACTGAAGTCGCAAAGAATATCAGCAGAGAAAAGCTTAATCCTTTCGCGTTTTCTATGTATAAAGGCTCTCTGTATGCAAAGTAGTTGTATACTGTGTTTATCAGCCACGGAACTCCAATCCCCACGTAGATGTTCACCGAGTTACTGCAGGAATTATATCCAAAAATATCACGAAAAGATCTTTGATTGTTTTAAAAAGGGTTTTGAGATTTTCACCTGCAGGTGATGTTTGCAATGGCTGAATCCGCGGTTAGTTGTCGCTCTGCAGCGATTTTGCTGGCTACTAAATCTGGCCATGAAGTTCCACTTGCGAGTGCTGTGAATGCTATCACATATGGGTTTATTCCTGCAAAACGAAAAAGAGTTTCAAATGTTCAACGGCTAAAAAACTTGAATCTTTTGATGGAATTCTTGAAAGCTTTGTGTGGGGTACCAGTGACACAGCTTATAAGGTCGGTAAGTCTTGTGACGACAAATGCTACTCCGCTGATGAAGAGAAGAGAGCAGATGAATGCGATCCAACCGTGAGCGATGTTGCAAGGAGGCACAACCGCAAAAAGGATTTTCCAAGGGGCAAGGAGTAATTGCCAAAAGGCTTTCACGAGTCGAAGATAAATGTTGTCAACTTTCTTTGATTCTGATGTTTCCAACTATTTAATTAAGAATCAGATTAGAAACTAGTTAAGAAAGATGTGCTGATCAAAAGCCCAAAATGGAGTATATAAACACATTGTAAGTCGAAGATTTTACCGTTATTGCGTCCACGAACTGATGTTTCCAAATGTCGAAAACATTAGAATTCTTTGCCTTACCCCTCTCAGTGGAAGATCCTGGTGGAGTATCTGCCACTGTATGATAGGTGATCCCTGCAAAAGCGTTCGTTACACGGAAATTTTGATCTATAACAGTAACAGAGATATATATACGTAAATGTTTGGAAATTGCGCTCAAATTGATCTTATATCAACAGAAAGACAACCTACACATACTTAGTACCTGTATCATTATTAGCAGAATGAATAGAGAAAATATCAACAATGTTCCTGTTTCCCGATTCACCAGCTTCTTGAGCGGCTTCCGAATACACGTCATGAACATCATTGTCATCTTTGGATGGATCAATCTCTTCTGGAACCCACTCCTCTGGCCTATCACCTCTTGACCTTACAAATATCAAAAACAAACACAAAGATTCAATCTTTTTAGTAGGAATTCAATTTGCAGAAAACTAATAGTATTGCCTGGAGAAGAAACCAACATAGGTAAGGACACGTAAGGCCATCGCTTGTCTTGCGCATACGCATGAACTAAAAGTAATCCGTATTGCACTACTGTCAATAATGCCTCCACAAGTGTAATTACATTAGGTGACCACACCTGTGAGACATAAGAAAATGGAAAAAACATGTTAGACCCCATATGAGTGAGTATATAAATAAATTCAACAGAATCCTTGTTTTCACAGTTACCTCAAGGATTATGTAGAGCCAAATGTAAGCCCAAAAAGACCAAGCCAGCTCAACAAGCCAAACACCCAAGTCGGATATCTTTTTCAATTCTCCAGCTTTTGGCATCACAACACAAACAGCGTGGATGGGGAAGAGATCAAATGCAGCTGAGCCAACAAGTGTTCCTGGACCAAGACCTATACAACACAACATCATATGAGAACTCACAGTGTGAACTGAAGAGATTTAAGAGTTAAAACTGTCAAGCTAACCGAAGAAAATAACCAGACCTCCAGCATAACGCTCCCCTATGTTCCGTATAGCATCAATGGTAGCTAAGGAGATCTGAGGAAAGCTAGTTCCAAAAGCCAACAAGCTGATGTCTGCAATAGTAAAGTTCCAAACTTTCCGGTATGTGATAACTTGAGCTTTAGTAATGGGGTCAACAGAAACCACTTTACGGGAATGCTTGACGACATTCTCCATAGACTTGAAGAAGCGTGCAGTTATCGCTGACAACCCGAGAAAGCAGTAGGCAAGACCGAGGAAATAGAAAACAGCCCTCAAGCCATCTGAATAGCTACTTTCTCCGGGGTATATAAAGTAGCTTTCACATCTTACATGCCCAAGAACCCTAGAAGATTCTTGCAATTCCTGGGTTTGGTTAAGAATCGAGGCCATTCAGCTGATTTTCTCACCGGGAAGCTGGATCTGGCACTCGAAAGAAGCTTGGAACGATTAGAATTTATAAGAATCTTTCGATCGAATAGTAGCAGGAAAATCGCGAAACAAACGGAACATGCAATATACGATAGATTTATTTCCAGAGAATCCGTAACACTTGCGAAGGATCCAATGGCATGTCCACCAGACTCAAGAAGCAACAAAAGAACGCAAACTTCATCATTGGCTCGGTAAAAGAAAGTTAAACAAGTTGAGACAATAAACCCGAATTCTCGAAGATGGTCCCGAACAAATCTCAACGAGAATCACGAATTGAGAACAGAACACGAAGGGAAATCTGAGAAAACAAGAGTGACCCAGTTGATGAATGGGAACGTACCGGAGGATATCTCAGTGAACGGCATTCACAATCCGCCCAACACTGGAGAAATTTCCCGAGATACACAAGGCGAGAGGAGAGGCGCTAATTGGAACGTGTCAGGAGTTGGTTTTTGGAGTGGAGACTCGTGAGCCATTTATTGCAAACACACATCTAATCTCTGCATGACTCCTCAATTGTATCTTGCACGGATTTTCTGTCCATCGTATCAAATACCCAAACGTGATGCAAATTGTATCTTATATCTACACTTATTTATAACAAATAATGACGAAACATTTCCCATCTATATACGGAGTTAGCAGCACTAATTTGGACGATGAGATATATGTTAATGTAGTAAGAGGTTACTTTATCTTTCCAGACAAACAATATGGAATTAGTAAAGATGACAAACATATCTAAAAAATTTGGCCAGCGTTTTTAACTCAGCCAACAGAGTTCTTAAGCCTGATAGCCCGGTTTATTTCCTTTTTTTTTTCATTGTACTCGTATGTTAAATGTAAAACCAGATTATCAAGCTGGCTTATAGTGCTATATCATACTTTTCTGATTTCAGTTTGTAAATTTGGTTCCTTTGATTTGGTTAACCAAAGTATTTTATTCATATAGTTTTCACATGTTGGGAAAAAACTAGTTTACAAGAAAAGTAAGTACTCCAAAACCACCAATCCCATAAATAAATAAATAAAAAGAATACACTCGGTAAAGGAAACTATTATGGTCGTCACTCCGTAACAAAGTGAAAGAGAAATGCCGTAGGGGTGGGTATATTTGTAATTAAGCTGGCAATTTTTATGTTGATTTTTAAAAATCAAGAAATATACAGAAACTAAAGAAGCCCTATCAATTGTGTTGTATTTAAGGCAAAACCCTAAGGGATACACTTTTGACTCAGCCGTCCGTTTTGCAGAAACCAATTTGGAGTTGCACAGCTGAGGAGGACGACGATGGTAGATCTCCCTTCTCTCTTTTGGTTTCTGTTTTCTTTTGGTTTTGATCTCTTAGGTGTTTGTTTTCATTGTAGATTCAACGAATTAGTTTTTTTTTTTCGTTTATCTGGCATGGGTCAGTGTTTCCGTTCTCCTGGATGCAGAGATGAATTCATATCTGATTAGGGTTTGTTAGAGTTAGTAATAGAGAGCTAGTTAGTGAACCCAGAAATTTGCGCAGAGAGCAATAGCTTTCTCATTCCATTTTCACTTGGGTATTCTTCATTTGTTCTGATTACACCATGGTTTTGTTTTAGGCCCCAAAGAAAGGAGTGAAGGTAGCTGCCAAGAAGAAGACGGTACGATTTTAATTTGCTGTTTTTATTTCCAAGGAAGGTTTTCGAACATTTAGATATTTTGCTTAAGTTTGTGCTATGTTTTTGATTTCCAGGAAAAAGTTACGAACCCTCTATTCGAGAGGAGGCCTAAGCAATTCGGTATTGGTGGAGCTTTGCCTCCCAAGAAGGATCTTACTCGGTACATCAAATGGCCAAAGGCAATCCGTCTTCAAAGACAAAAGAGGATCCTTAAGCAGAGGTTGAAGGTTCCTCCAGCTCTTAACCAATTCACCAAGACTCTTGACAAGAATCTCGGTGAGTCAATGATGGGTTTTGGAGTTGCTTCTTTTTTTTTTAATAATGTTACTTGAAATTTTTGCCTCATTGCACTCACCACATCCCATATTGTTAATTGCAGCAACTAGCCTCTTCAAGATCCTTCTAAAGTACAGGCCAGAAGACAAAGCTGCCAAGAAAGAGCGTCTTGTAAAGAAGGCTCAAGCTGAAGCCGAGGGAAAGCCTTCTGAATCCAAGAAGCCTATTGTTGTGAAGTATGGCCTTAACCATGTGACCTACCTCATCGAGCAGAACAAGGCACAGCTTGTTGTCATTGCTCATGATGTCGACCCAATCGAGCTCGTCGTCTGGTTGCCTGCTCTCTGCAGGAAGATGGAAGTCCCTTACTGCATTGTCAAAGGGAAATCTCGTCTTGGAGCGGTATGTGTTATAGGTCCATCTCGGGATCTAATTTTCACTCACATGTGTCTAGTTAAAACGGTGGGTTTACAGTTGTCTCTTGCTCTTACTTTCAGGTCGTTCACCAAAAGACTGCCGCTTGCTTGTGTTTGACCACTGTCAAGAACGAGGACAAGCTAGAGTTCAGCAAAATCCTTGAGGCCATCAAGGTAAAAAAGCTTCTGTGACAGTTGGAATGATGAATTCTTTTACTTGAGAGATTCTTATGATCTTTAACTTGGTTATGGTTTCTTCGGTGTACAGGCCAACTTCAACGACAAGTACGACGAGTACAGAAAGAAATGGGGAGGAGGCATAATGGGATCCAAATCTCAAGCCAAGACAAAGGCCAAGGAAAGGGTTCTTGCAAAGGAGGCTGCCCAGAGGATGACTTAAGAAGGATCTCTTTGTGTGTTTTGCTCAAAAGCCATATGCTCGGATTCGTAAAACTTCATAGAGAGCTTTTTTGTTTAGCTGTTTCTTTTTAGTTGAACCCCCTCGTTTATGGATATTTGCACTTTCTTCAGACGGTTTCTATGTTGTTTAAGCTTTTTATCCCCTTGCTCTCTCAACTTCTTAAACTTAACATTTGATAATGAAACTTCTGTATCATCGAGGCTAAATTTTGCTTTTTTGGTCGTCATCTGACTATATAATAATATTATAATACGAATAGTTATTCTGGGTCTATATTCTACATTATGGGAAAAAAATGTTATCTGGGTAATTTTGGTAAAATGACAATAAATAAATGGGCTTGTCAGAAAAAGAAAATCATAAATAATGGTCTTGGGCTTTGACAAAGAAAAGCTAAACAGTTTGGGCCTGGATTGTTAATTAAATTTCTTCAAATTTTACCGGGGTTTCTGCAAGTTTCGAGTTATTTCGGAATTTGACCATTAGTTTATTTTATCGTCCTGCGATTTGCAATAGATAGATAGAGAGATAATTCATTAGAAGTAAGGAGGGACATGGAAGTCACTGATCCAAGCTGGAAAGAAGCAGAAGTTGAGCTCTATACCATCCCTGCCCAGTCCAGTACGTCTTCTTTCTTTCTCTCCAACTCTAGGGTTTTATCATTGCCTTGGCGAGCTTTCATTGCGCGGAATCGATGATTTAGATCTTTTGCTATTCTAGGGTTTATACTGACTGTTTCCGTAATAGGAATTAGCGTTCTTCTAGGGTTTTTTTTCTGTAGAATTGATTTGGGGTTGTTGTTTATTCTAGGTTGGTTCTTATGGCATGATATACACGAAATTGAAAGACGCGAGTTTGAGGAGTTCTTCAGTGAGAGCTCAATCACTAGAACCCCCAAAGTGTATAAAGAATATAGAGATTTCATCATCAATAAGTACAGAGAGGACACTTCTAGGAGGCTAACCTTCACCAGTATCCGCAAGTATCTCGTGGGCGATGTCAACTTGCTTCAGAAAGTGTTTCTCTTCCTCGAAAATTGGGGATTGATCAATTTCGGCTCGAAAAGTGATCATGTGTTGTTGGTGGAGAATCAAGGGAAGCATAAAGCTAAGATCGAGCAAGGGAGCCCCCCTGGGATTAGAGTTACTGCAACTCCAAATTCGATGAGGCCTATTACCGCACCGCCCCCTGTTGAGGAACGAGCTGAGCCTGGTGTCAAATTACCACCTCTGACCTCTTATTCTGACGTTTTCAGTGATTTGAAGAAGCCTAGTGATGGATTGATTTGTGGGCATTGTGGAGAACGCTGTGATTCTGCTTTCTACCAACATAACAAGGTCAGTTCTGTTCTTTATCTTTTTCTTTAACATGTTTCATCTTCTCTTGTCTTTTTTCCTAACATATGATGTTGGCAGAGTATTGTCAACTTGTGCGAAAAGTGTTTCAAGAATGGAGACTACGGGGAGAACAATTCCGCAGATGATTTCAGGTTGAATTCTGGGAATTCTGCTGCAGCTGTGTGGACCGAGGAAGAGATCCTCCTCTTGCTAGAATCTGTGCTGAAACATGGAGATGATTGGGAACTCATTGCACAAAGTGTTTCTTCAAAGAGTAGACTAGATTGCATTTCGAAGCTCATTGAGCTCCCATTTGGAGAGTTTCTGATGGGCTCTGCCTCTGGAAGACTCGATTCCTCTCCATCCCATCCTGTGGAACAGATGAAAACTGACGGTCAAGAAACTAGGGAAGAAAAAGAACATCACGTGGATGAAGATGAGCCTCTAGCAAAAAGGAAACGCGTTGCACTAATATCAGACGGTGATACTTCACTTATGAAACAGGTTAAAGAATGTGCCTCGTGTTCATCATCATCTTCCGTAATTCGGATATACAAGGGATAACATCTTTACATGTTGCGATACAGGTTGCAGCAATGGCATGCAAAGCTGGTCCCTCTGTGACAACCGCCGCTGCAAAAGCTGCAATTGCAGCACTTTGTGATGAAGCCTCATGTCCAAAAGAGATTCTCGAAACCGGTGGCTACACTAATTTAGCAGTTGACAGGTTAGATTCGACAACCACTCAATCTCTTTGTCGCTGTCAAGTCTAATCTAAAACTTTGGCTGTACCGACGTTTCTCAGAGCTGATGGAGACAAAGATACAGATATGGAGGAAGAGCATGCAGACAAAGGTAAGTTTAATTCGCAAACCCTGTTTGAGAAAGATAGCTCAAGACTTGAGAGATTTATAATCCTTGTAATATTGCAGAGGATCTACCTGTAGCGTTAAGGATAAGAGCGTCTGTGGCAACAGCTCTAGGAGCTGCGGCTGCTAACGCGAAAATACTGGCGGATCAAGAAGAAAGGGAGATGGAACATGTAGCCGCGAGAATAATAGACCAACAGGTTAGATAACATTAAGAAATGGAACATATATGTCACCTCCCAGTCTGTTTTGTGTTTCTTGACTTAGCTTATATATTATGATATAAAGCTGAAGAAACTGGAGAGCAAGTTGAAGTTTCTGGACCACTTGGAATTGATAATGGATGCGGAAGAGAAAGTGATGGAAGGTGTAAAGGAAACAATTCTCCAAGAGAGGATTAGCGTCTTGCAATGCGCGTTTGGTGGCGGTATTACCAAACGTTGGGATCATACGTACGTGAAATAATCCTTTTTTTTTTTTTTTTTTTTGGTTGTTTCTCCGTAGAATGATATGATGCTTCAGATTAAAGAATCAGAATTTGTTTTGTCGATAATCCCTTGTTTTTGTCCTGTTTTTTCCTTGTTATTATGACTTTATAATCTAATCAGTAGGTTGTTTAGTGTTTACATACAGCTTTGTCGATTTTGTCTATGGATGGGTCTCTACAAATTTCATACGCTCAGTGTGACGTCAATAAAATGGTTTTCAAAAGCATTTTCTAATTTGTTTCCTATAGACATTAGCTGGATAAAAGAAAGAAAAAAATTAAAAAAGAAAGAAAGAAAGAATTCATTAAATTCACTCAAAAAATAACGCTAGAGTAAAAGAAATAGTGTGAGTCTCTATAAAATTGGTTACACCGCCCTCAAAAATCAAAATCAAAATCAAAGAAACCTTGAGCGTCCTTGTCTCTCCCTGAACTCTGTGAGTGAGAGAAGCAAAAGAAACTGGAGATCTCGCTCCGGTCGCCATCTATCGAAGAAACATTAATCAACTCCGATGATACACATGAAGTCGGAAGTCCAATACCACGAGGTTCTCTCTCTCTCGCTCTCAAGTCCTCAGATCCAGAGGGAGAAGTGATAATTAAGTATTTGAAACTGAGAGTGAAAGCGTTCTTGAGATGAGTCTCGGTCATGTTTTTTATTGAAACAGGATTACATACGAAACTCGAGAGGTGTTGAATTGTTCGCTTGCAGATGGATTCCCTCATCGTCCTCTCCCAAAGCTCTGGTTTTCCTCTGCCATGGTAATTTTTTTTTTAAGATATTTTTCTCTTGTGAGTTCGAATAATTTACAAAACCAGGAAAATAACCGATGATGAAAAATTGATTTTGATGATATATTTGTGCAGGTTACGGAATGGAGTGTAGCGACTCCATGAGAGGTAATTTATTTTCTTCCCTCCAATTTATGACGATAGACATGCATTACAGTTTACATCAAAGCAAAAGTAGCTCCCAACAAATATTAAATGTTCCCACATCACCGACGACTTGGCGCTGCGATTTTACAGTTAATTAGCAAAAGTAACTAGAGATTTTTGCCCCACACATAGCATTCTATGTTTCCTTTTTTGGGTGCTCTGTGTTGTTAACTTAAGCAATAAGCATTTTAAATTATTTGTAGAAAACACGTAAAAATGTTTTGCAAATCTTTCATCTATGTTTCGGATCACTGACTATTCAAGTATATATGTTTGATGATCTTCATCCACATGCATCATGTTAATAATTTTTTTTTTGAATTTTCTTACCTGTACATATCATTTGAGGTAGATTTTGCTTAGTTAAATTTGAGATAATTTTAGCTAAGCTTATCATTGTCAGGACATACGTACTAGTATTTGTTTAGGTTTTAACTGCGGTGGGCCTTAGAATCATTTAAAGGTTATGTGTAATAGTAATGATAATAAGACTACTTAAATGCCTCTGAAAAGCAGCCAAGTCATGGAGGGGAGGGTTGTGTTAGGAGGACCGGTAGGTCAACAATCCTTATGTGGTTGGTTTTGGTTGGAGAACGACCGTAGACAATTTTAGGTTATTTAATTGCATTTAATTTTTTGGTCAGAGAGAGAGTAACCAACGATCTCTATCAAATTAATTACCCCCATTTTATTTTTAAAAATTAGTTAGCTTTCTTTTTTTAGCATTCTTTTCGTACATGTTACATATAACCAGACACCTTCGATCTATGGCTATGGGCTTGGTGGCTTGGTTTTACGTTGATTTTATTAGGTGTTTTAAAATGAAAATAAACCGATATTGATCCAATACATTTTTTGGTTTGGTTCTAGAATGCGGAATCAGACTGGCATCAGCCGGATACGCAGTTTTTGGTATGGACTATGAAGGTCATGGTCGGTCCATGGGATCTCGTTGCTACATCAAGAAGTTTGGAAACATTGTAAATGATTGCTACGACTATTACACCTCTATTTGTGGTATGCCATTTACATTTGGGAATAGTCTCTAGCTTGTTCTCCACCATATACAGTATCATCAATGTGAACAGAGATTTTCTCAACCGCGGAAATTGTTAAAATTTTGTTTATGCGAGGCTAGCTCAAGAGGAGTACACGGAGAAAGGCAGATTCCTGTATGGAGAATCCATGGGAGGAGCAGTCACTTTATTGCTTCACAAAAAAGATCCTTCTTTCTGGAACGGCGCCATTCTTGTAGCTCCAATGTGTAAAGTAATTAGCACCTCAATTTAGATTACAAGAGTCAATTGTGAGCTAAAGCAATTAATGCAGATATGTTACTCTTATGAATGCAGATATCTGAAAAGGTGAAGCCACATCCGGTGGTCATTAATCTGTTAACTAGAGTCGAAGAGATCATACCGAAATGGAAAATAGTTCCAACAAAGGACGTGATCGACGCTGCTTTCAAGGACCTTGTCAAGCGAGAGGAGGTCTTCTATATATATCCAAGTCTTCTTAGGTAACATATATATATATATATTCTGGTTTATCAAGTACTAATTGAAATGGGTTGTTGATTGGTAAATGCAGGTAAGGAACAACAAGCTGATATATCAAGACAAACCTAGGCTCAAAACCGCACTTGAAATGCTTAGGACAAGCATGAACCTCGAACACAGTCTCCACGAGGTTGACTTTTTACTTAAAATTTTGGTAAAGCTTTCAATTGCAAAACCAGCTGGCTCTGTATTCGTAATACTTTAGGTCTCGTCTCATTCTAACAAAATTACATGACGAGGACACGTCAATGCAGAGTCTTCTTTGATCATCTGATTTTTGGTTATTTTGCAGATAACAATGCCGTTCTTTGTATTACACGGAGAAGCAGATATAGTGACGGATCCAGAGATAAGCAAAGCTTTGTACGAGAAAGCTAGCTCAAGGGACAAGACTCTCAAGTTGTACCCTGGGATGTGGCATGCACTGACGTCAGGTGAGCCTGACTATAACGTCGATCTTGTTTTTGCTGACATCATCACTTGGCTTGACCTTCGAACCGCCGACTCAGCATCTCTCACTGTCACTCCTATACGAGCTACTACCACTCCTACTGTCGGGAGTGTAATTGCTAACGGCGTTAGTAACGGTCAAATGAGACCTAAACGTTCCTACTTCAACCTACTTTGTGGTTTGAACGGTGGCCGTTTGGTTCCTCGATCTGCTACTGCTATGTAAACGTAAATACAGTAGTTGAGCGAATTTGTTTCTCAGTCAATTTATCTGGAAAAGAGTGAGTTATGATTATCTGGTATTAAAGTTCGATTTCATGGTTAGAAAACTTTATGGCCCAAGTGTAGGTATGAAACTACTATATTCCTGGTAACATATGTTGGTTGCAATAAGAAAAAAAGTTAGTTTGTTTTATTTTAGTTTTTCTCTTAAAATGTATGTTTCACTTCAAATACTTTATCTAATTATCTTACAAGAAAAATATATTAAAGCTGCTATTATTGACACCCGAAAAAAACAAAACTACTGATGAAAAGTGAATTTCACGAGAGTATAAACAAAAGTTAGTAAAAGATGAAAACAAAAAGAAACTAGGGACGGTGAGACAAACAAATACACATGTGGCTACTCTCTCCAGATATTTCATACGGATTTAAATGAGCCATATATTCCAAAAAAAGGCAAGGGGTATAGGGCCATAAAAAGTTAGAAGGCCCAATAGATTGATAGGCCTAATTTAATTAATTCTATTGTGAACCGCCAATGGTAGTTTGGAGTCGTCGTTGTTCTTGCTGTGAGTGAGGAGATCTCAGGAAAACGAAAGCGAGATTTATCAGGTAAAAACCCTAATTTTTTCAGATCTGCCATCCGAGGGAATCTGAGATTGTGCTGGTCCTGAATCTCTTTCGTATTCTTTAACTTTGATAGGCTCAACGAATCCCGTGAACTTTGTCTTGTCAAGCAAACATGAGGTACCTCTCGATAGTTTCTCTCCGTTTTGTCGACGTGATTAATTGGATACATCTCTCACTCTTGATTTTCTATTTTATCTCGCAGTAGGCCAATGGAAGAAGACACCAACGTAAGTACATCTATCTTTCTCGATTTGATTCGTCTCTGTCGTAGACAAACATTTAGGCAATCTTTTAGCTCATTAGGGCTAGACTAGGAATGAAACGCTATAGAAATTTTGTTGTAGCAAGCTCTCCTCTCCTCTACACGTCTAGACAAGTGTTTGTTTTCATCTCTCATTTGAATTGATGTCTTAGAGATGGGCCTTTTGTTGCCAAGTAACTCATATTTGAATGTTGATGGTGTTCTTTGTATAACTCGGTTTTGCACTGCTTTCCTTGGTTTTTTTGGTGGTTCCGTGTGTATTCTCTTCCTCAACTGTAATTCCTAGTCATCATGCTTGATACTGTTCTTAGCAGGGAAAGACTGAGGAGGAGGAATTCAACACCGGGCCTCTCTCTGTTCTGATGATGAGCGTCAAGAATAACACTCAGGTATAGGATAAGTGTATATGAAGAGTGTTTATCTGGTTTTAAACGAGAACTTGTTAACGAGCTCAGGTTTGTATTCAGGTGTTAATCAATTGCCGGAACAACAGGAAACTTCTTGGGCGAGTGAGGGCCTTTGACAGACACTGCAACATGGTTCTTGAAAACGTTAGAGAGATGTGGACTGAGGTTAACAGAAGCCAGTTTGTGTATCTACTTGTTACTCGTGTGTCTCTTCATTTCTACAAGCTAACTGACCATTTTTTATTTTTTTTTGGGTGTAGGTTCCGAAAACTGGAAAAGGCAAGAAGAAGGCACTTCCGGTGAACAGAGACCGGTTCATAAGCAAGATGTTTCTCCGAGGGGACTCAGTGATCATCGTCCTCAGGAATCCAAAGTGAGGGAGGGAGAGAGATAGAGAGGAGAGACTTGAAAGAGGCATCATGTTCCTTGTTTGTGCTGAAATTAATAATATTCTTGTTGTAGGTATCTTCTAAGTTTGACTACTATGTGTCTCGTTTTCTTTAGTATATTGATGAAAATGACCGAAGTCTACAAGATCTCTTTCCGGTAATCTCATTTTCCAGTGCACCAAACTACGGTAAATAGCATTAAGAGTAAAACATAAAGAAGATTAATTAAAAATCGGGTGTGAGGTCCGATCTCCACTACATTGACACTGAGTAGCAAAATGGATATCAAAAAATAACAAAGAAAGGAAAGGGGGAAAATAAATGAAAAGAAACAGAGGCTGTCCTCTCTCTATGATCGATTCCTGTTGGTTTATATAAAGAGAGCTTAAAGCGGTAAGTAAAAACTAGTAGTAGTTGGTTTTTTTTTGTTGGTTTTATTCTGTCGACGACGAAGAAGTGGAAAGCTGCTTTTGGTCGCCAAAGACACGTTGACGGAAATCTTTGACCATAAGTGGGAGACCTTGGCGTAGAGCAACCTTTGGTTCCCAACCAAGAAGCTCTTTGGCCTTTGTGATGTCTGGTTTCCTCTTGTGTGGGTCGTCCTCTGTATTTGGTCTAAACTCTATCTTTGCGTTCGGGTCAATCGTCTCTTGAACCACCTGCGCACCCACAAACACCATATATTCAGTCATATTGTTTTGTTTGGGTCAGATACAAAAAGACCCGTAACAAGAGACAAGAGTAGAGAGAGAAAGAGAGACCTTAGCGAGCTCGAGCATGGTGAATTCACCAGGGTTACCGAGGTTAAAAGGCCCGACATGTTCTCCTTCCATCAACCTCATCAGACCCTCCACCTATCAGACACAACCACAATAAAACAACAATGTAAAAGGTAGTGGAGAGACAACAAATAAAAGATGATGATTGAAAAGTATTTTGATTATTTATTTAGTATATGGAAAAAGTGGAAAGGCTTACGAGATCAGAGACAAACTGGAAACTCCTTGTCTGCTTACCATCACCATAAACAGTCAATGGCTCTTTTCTCAATGCCTGCACAACCATTACCATTATTCGTTGTTTAACAAAGTAGTAGTCAACACTTAAATCATTTGATCTATTCATTCATTTATGGCAAGCTGATTAAATCAAAAAAAATCTCTCTAGCCCACCTGCGCAACGAAGTTGCTAACCACTCGACCGTCATCAATACACATCCTTGGGCCATAGGTATTGAAGATCCGAGCAATCCTAACCTGTTTGTGTGATCAGTCAGTTTTTCTTTTTGTTATAAATCTAATTTCCTATATATCAACGACTATGAAAAACGAGAAACCAAAAGAAAAAGAAGATGAAAAAAACAAATCAAAGACCTCAACATTAGCGCCTCTGTGGTAGTCCATGGTCAAAGTCTCTGCCGTACGTTTCCCTTCGTCGTAACAACTCCGAACACCTTTTGTGCCATATTCAACAAAAGTTTCAAAACAACACAGTTCTTATTAGTAGTATTCATCAGATAAACAAAGGATGGCACAAGCGCAAAAAAAAAAAAAAAAAAGACGAGCATCAATCAATTAGTTAATGCGATGCGCGCGAGGGGTAAAAAGTAATAAGATCAAAAATGAAGGAGAGGGAAGTATCCTCTGCGGGGGGGGGGGGGGGATCTAAAAAAGGGACACGTCCCAGAGCCGTACGATTAAAGGACCACAGACTATTTTACGGGTTTGACCAGATCTGAGCGAGAAAGGGAGAAGCACATGAGCCACAAAGCGTATGTTTCTTCTACACGATACTCTGCTAACGTGCGCCTCTCACTCTCTCTCAGTGTCGTCGTGTCAAAAGTTAACGCGCGTTTTTTAGATTCCGACGAAAAAAAGCAGAACAGCAGGGCCAACAATTAAATAAGAAGAAGAAGAAGGTTTATTACCGATGGGATTAACGTTGCCCCAGTAAGTCTCGACCTGAGGGTGTTGCAGAGGATCTCCGTAGACCTCGCTGGTGCTGGTGAGGAGGAATCTGGCGCCGACTCGCTTGGCCAGACCCAACATGTTCAACGTTCCAACGACGTTGGTCTTGATGGTCTTGACGGGGTTGAATTTGTAGTGAACAGGAGAAGCAGGGCATGCGAGATGGTAGATCTGGTCAACCTCCAGAAGGAGAGGCTCCACCACGTCGTGCCTGATGAGCTCGAAATTGGGGTTCCCGAAATGGTGCATCACGTTCTCCTTACGCCCCGTGAAGAAGTTATCGACGACGATCACGCTGTCCCCTCGAGCCATCAACCGGTCCACCAGGTGTGACCCCACGAAACCGGCCCCACCGGTCACCACCACCCTTAGCCCTTTCCGCTTCAGCCCCAGTGGGATTTTCCCTCCCGCCGATCCGATCCCGCTCCTGTAGTACTCGATGCTTCCTCGTTTTCTCGTCTCCGCCGCCGGCATATACGACGATGATGATTCCGACGATCTCATGCCGTATCCGGAAAGATGATCAATCGGTCGGCTTGGGGATCGAGAGAAGACTGCGAATCCTAATGTGGCGATTGCAATGCCGACGAGAACGAACACCAGTCTCTGTTCCCGGAGCATGTATCGGATCGGACGGGCCGCTACGAACCACGGCCTCGTTGGCTTCCGATGGTAAGCTTGCGCTTCTTCTCGTTGCTCCATCTCGTGTCCTCGGTATGTCATCATCTTCTTCTCGTTGTCTCCTCCTGGGTTTTTTTTTTTGGATCCACGATCGAGATAAAGAGATAGAGAGAGAGGGAAATAATTCGACTTTCTCGGAGTGTCTTTGATTTCCGAGTCGAACTCGCCGGAGACTGAGTCAGACCTTAGGACGGGAGTGAAATGCGATTATATTGGGGGGGGGGGGGTTTTCTGTATTTAAGTAGAACTGGCCTTACATTTTTAGCCTCGTTCTCCTCTTTTATTACGACCATGCCCCTGCAATTACCAAGGTCTTTTCCCTTTTTACCTATTCTTTTTTTTTCCTCCTTTTGGCGTTTTTTTAGATCTGAAAAGTAAACGTTTCTTCAAATTCGGACATTGATGTTCTTTGACCAATTACAGTTTTTTTTTTTTGTTTTGTTGTCAATGTCTTTAGAAATTCAACTAAATAATTACTTTTCGGTTATGTATCTATTACTTTATTTTGAATCAGTGTATTATCTTTATCATAAAATTAATTAATTACTAAAAAAAAATTGGCAACTACTGACTGATAGTTTCTTGGTAGTTTTTAGATTTTTGCATACATTGTAACTTTTGTATTTATTTTTTTTCCTTTCCTTTTTGTATTCATTGTCATTAAGAGAAACTAAAATTAAGTTTTTTTATTTTTAAAGCTTGTCTTAAAATATGAACTGGAAACCGTCGACAAAACATTAACAAACCTGCCCATCAAATTTACAGCATCGTTTTTGTTGTTGACCATGAAACTGCTAGCTTAATATGTAAACTTTCAACATACTGTAATTACCAATAACTAGCTTTGAACATGGAAACTAGATTCATCACGAACAGCTAATTTAGCCTTCTCGAACGATTTATTAGCCATCGTTTTCTGAATTACAATTACACATTTTTAAAAATGATCTAATGATCTAACAATGGAAAATTGGAGTTTCAAAAGATGTGTTCTTAAAAAGAGGCGAAATTTATATATTCTTAAAAAGCTAACGCAGTTTGGCCAAATAGTGACAATCCAACTCATATACATGGGGGGGAGAAAACATAAGAATGCTTATGAATCCTAATTCTGATTATTTTTTCGGTATGGAAAGAAATATAACCAAAATAAAGCAATATCACATAAACCGGACTGGCACAATTTGATTATGAAGTCAAATTCGATAATTATTAAAGTTCATTTTTTAATCAAACTAGTCAATAAAGGCCACTATTGCTTAAATAATAATAAAAGATATACTTTTTAATATCATACCAAAAATGTGTCAATAGATCTCAGCACAAAATGTGCTTGCTTCTAATATATGTGCAATATATATAGTAATACTATAGTAATTTTCTATAATGTTTCGTTTTATGTAAATGCGTCGAATCATATTGGGGTAGACATTTAGTTTATTTATGGAGTAATATTTTTACTTTTCTATTTAATTTAGTCCCATTGTTTTATAGTTGATTTGAAAAGAGGGCACGAACAATAGGAGGAAATGACGAGAATGGTCACGAGAGAGAGAGAGAGAGAGAGAGAGAGAGAGAGAGAGTCGGAGGAGGGTCGCACGCACGTCGGGGAAGACAGAGAAAGAGAGACCGCGGATTGGACGTTGACTCCGTATAATGCCACGTGGAGCTCTGCTATTATCTCCCACGTTTTCTGCACTCTCCTTTTCCCCACCCCACTTTTTCCCCTTTTTCCCTAAAAACAAAACACTAATTCAAATTATATAGATTTGATAGCAACAGTGCAACACAACAACAACAACAACAACAACAATGGTACCATTAGTGAAACCCACTATCTTATGAATTTTTCAATTATTAGAAATTTAGAATGGTACACCAAACTTTTATGTCTACAAAAAAAAAACAAAACAACAACTATTTATGTACGTCCTAACAGCTCTCTAAATCACTGCATTTAAGTTAATCACTACTAAAACACAACATACATACTGTAGTATTTTATGAAATGGATATAGTATTTAACAATTTCATCGATTCAAATAAAATATATAGCACAGTCTAAAAACAAATGATGTGGATGCTGACAGTGACTTGGCAGCAGGGCCGGATCTGGGTCAAACCCATTGAAACATTTGTTTCAAATTCAAAAATTTTTTTTTTGTCTAATTTAGCTTATAAATTTTTTATAAATTTTTTTTTATATATAAAATCAATTAAGTCTTTATTTTTGTTTTTGTTTCAAACCCCCAAAATCTCAGATCCGGCCCCTGCGTATTGGATTGATGATGATTATCGGAAGCTGTTCAATAATCATGTTTGTTCTTACTCGTTTTCTAAATAAAACGGATGGATTTTTAGACAAAAAAAAAACGGATGAATTTTGATGTTACTTTTTTGTATATGGAAATGGACGTCAAATACGTTAGTTGGGATCAACATTGGATGATTGGACCATTATAGTAGGTAATATCACAATTTTGATGCACCAAAATGAGATAAATAAAGTAGTAGTAGTAAGGAGTCGAATTAATAACGCAAGCTAAGTTAAGTAAATAAATGGCTCAATCCTCAATGGCTGTTGAACGAACTACACGAGTTAAGTAATTATAAGCTGTAACGTTTTTGTGATGAGCAAAAAAGAAAACATTAATTTCTGCACCTGGTGGTGGCTGTGTATTTTCGGGCTGAATCCAGGCTTACATATCTGAAACATTACAAGCCCGTCAATTTTGAATTTGGGCTCAGCTAACAATTACCCAATTTGATATATCCGCCTCAATAATTTAAATTTTCAAATCATCACATTCCGGAATCCATATAACATATTCTTTCCCACAAAACAAAAATAAGAATAAATGGACACTATTTTTTCTTTTAATTAACAGGTCTCCAAGATTTAAATAATCGGAAAGTAATGCATTATACATATGACTACAACATGTAGCTTAAGAGAGTTTTGTAATACTGCTATGTTATGTCACCATCTATACTTATGTGGAACAAATGATTCGATTAGAAATAAAACAAACAATAAAATCATGAAATGAATTTTCTGGAATGGAGTTGAAAACACCATATTTTTATAGTTTGTCAATTGTCATAGAACTTGCGGGATGGCAAGATACTTGGATATATGTTAATCACGATTTCGACCTGACTGTTTAAAAACTGTATAACTATTATACAATCATTATTATAAATTCGTGATAATCCCCGATCGGGATGAGTTATTAAAAGCGGACCGGCCACAATTATATTATTGGGATCTATATAAGTAAAAATGTATAAAAATCATCATATATGGTGTAATAATTAGAGCAGGTGAAAGCGTAGATCACAAGCCATCATAAGCAAGCTTGTTAAGGAGAGCGAGAGCATTGCTGCATAATTGCATACACTTGGTAGCCCTCCTCCGAATCATCCTGACCGTCGATGACTCCTCCTCCTCCTGATACTCAAATCCATCGAGACACGTGTCCTCATCCGTGAGTGCAGCGCTTAGCCACGTGGCGAGATCGCTCATTTGCCGCTGGAACTCATCGGCGTCCAGTTTCCGGAGAACGGCGAGTGACTTGTACAGATTGTCGAGGGAGTCCACGAACAGCTCTCGGCAATCCGATAACGCGATTCTCTCGCGTTTCCCAACCTCTGAACGCCGCGTTTTCCCCAACAGTCTTAGCATCTGTTTTGTGTCCGTTATGGTCACCGCGACGCCGGCTCGGGCCCACTTGCTCGAGTTGTTTTTTGCCACGACTGCAAACGGCCATAGCGTTCTCACGCAGAGGTTTTTGTACCGCGTTACGCTGCACGCGTTTTTCACGTATCTGCTGTGCCGCGTTACGCTACACTCGTCTGTGTGGTTGCGTCTGGAGGCGGCTAACGACGGATTTGGGTTTAGTATTGCCACAAGAAGAAGGGAGAGAAGAGTAAACGTGGTAGAAGAATTCATATCTTCTTCTTTTTCTTTCACTGTGGGTTAATTTAGAAGAAAGATCCAAACTTTTAACAAAGTGGACGATATTTTAGATTGAAAGAGAGATAGAGGGACTATATCTTATATAAACACGAAGGACGAGCCCCACTGGATTAACTTTTTAAATTTGTAATTAAGGAGTAACTTTTAACCTTTTAATTAAGATACTAGGACGTGAAACTGAAGTCTAGAGTGTGGGGCGGTCCATTTGAATGTAGTATTGTAGGATTCATTACAAACTGAAGTCTATTAACCATTTTTGGGTTTAGGACTATGTATGCTCTCTCCTTTTCTGAATTAAAAAAAAAACGATAAATTGATTACTGGTTTTGGCTTTTTCCCCATTTTCTATAACAAAAAAATACATTGCAGAATCGTACAGAGTTGAATGGCAAAATTATTAGGCGAAACAAGGTTGACACAATTCTGAAATACAGTAGAACAGTTAGTTTTTCTTGTTATAGTAAACAATCAAATCGTCATAATTTAAAGTGTGATATTTTTTAAAAAATAATGTAGAATCAACGGCTTACCAATAAAAACAGTAGAGAAGAGAAGATAATCAAAAGAGGGTTGCAGAGGAAGCAAGAGAAAGGTGAGAAGCAATAATGAAAGTTTAAAAGACTATGAAAAGTCACTTAGATTCGACGGATTGGTAATTCTTTAAGCTTAATTTTTGAACCCTAATCATTTAATGATGTGGATTATTGAATTTAGTATTGTTTTTCTTGAAGCAAGAGGGAAGTTTTAGTTTTTTTAGAACATTTTGGAACGTGGGGTTCGTTTCACAATTATAGTTATATACTCGGGGTCTGAATCATTTCATTCAATTCAAAAAAAAGGACCGGTTACAATATCGTTATCTAAACCGGTTGATTCACATTTAATTTGATGTGTGTTCGCAATGAAAATGATCGAGCCCACTGAGTTATAGCCCACACTCACGACCTAACCACATTTTTTTTTCTCTTTTTTTTTGACGTGCGTCACTTCTGGTATAATATCATCAGGGTTGGTTCTGGTATATAAATAATATCATCAGGGTTGGTTTGGATAAACGACAAAACATAAATATCAGGTAGAATAGAAAAGAGATCGTGAGAAACATAAATGTTGTGTAAAGATTGAACTCACAAGAACTAGAAGGTCGAAATATGGTTATGACAATTCACATGATCGGGAAGAAACAAGAGGAGATTAAGGAGAAAAAGGGGAGATAAAACCTTGAAGAAACACATGAATCTACAAATTTGACAAAAGGTCATAGCATGAGTGTACTTAAAACATTGGGTGACCCCGTAAATGCGAAACAAATTACAATTGTTCATTCATCAAAAGATATATATCTACTCCAGCGGAGTTGAGAGCCTGAATAAGTTTCAGACAATCTATTTTCGTTTCACAAAAGTATAGCTAGCTAATTGGGGTTCTAGACAGAGACAAAAGTATCAGTAGTTAACTTTTTTTTTACACCGTGAGATCATCATTGGTAGTGAAGAGATTTGTGAAGGATGTCAGTAGGCGGATGGAGAACAAAGACATAGGAGACCGGTCTGGAGACTTGCATAGGCTTCTGGTTGGTGACTGTGTCTGAGAATTCTCCGAAGCTCATTGAATTGTGCGGGAAAGACTCTCCAAGGAAGAAGAAGCTGTCTCTGGCTAGCCTCTCAACCTTAAGAAAAAAGGAAAAAAGAAAATAATAATGTAGTAGTCAAAACAATGGAGAAACTGAAAAAGCAACAAGACTATTTTTACCTGCAAGTGTGAGAAACTGATGTTGTTCATAGTGAGAACTACTCGGATTTCGTAAAGAGCATCGCCGAGGATTCTGATTGCCATGTACTCGAAGAAATTCTGCAGAACTGTTTTTTGTTTCTCAGGAGTTTCGGCGTATTTGTCTGGGTTAAGGAACCACAGCACGCACTTCACTTCATTCCATGGGATTGGGTTCTCAACTCCTAGTTTTGAGATGATGGTTTCGTAGGGATGTTTGAGACCCCAGAAGATTCTTGTCTCCACCGCAAGTGATGATTCACAGAAAAGCGTCTCTGAAGAAGATGACGTGGAGAGTATTTTCCATGGCGGATAACGATTAGCTATTCTTGAAGTGAAATGCATGTCAGAGTCATCGAACACAAGTATACATCCCTCAGAAGAAATTGGAAATAAATCCAGAAGAGGCGATGTGGAAGAGTCATCTTCTTCTGGGAGGCATGGGGGAGGAGAATAGTATGATGTTGTCTGTCTTCGCATGACATGGGAAAACAAACATGATTCTCCATTTCGACATCCCTGCAAAACCGACTCATTAGCAGAGAAACTGAAGACAGCCCAATTAGGATGGTAACAAAAAGAACCTGGAATGACGCGAAAAATTTGCAGGCTGGTCTTGTTGACTGAAGAGTATGAGAGAACGTGCACTGGTCACCTCGGTTGCAAAAGCCATTAAGAAAGTATACACAGACTGGGACGCCTCGATCATCACTGTAATCCTCAGGTTCGATTATTCCATGGCCATTGTCAGATGCTGTGCACTGAGTTCTCATCTGTGGCAAATGGAAGCAGTCAAAAATCAATACCATGGAAGCAGCAACGCTGTTTTCAGATCTAGCATCCATCGCACTCTTATCATAGACAAACTTGGCACAATGGAAAGATCAATAAGCCTGTAAAAGCCAATGCCAAATACAAGAAACAAAGTCGGGAAATGAATACCTCTTTGATAACATTGGCCATGTTTTTTGCGATAACACTAGCTTGGAATGCGTTAGGAGGAACAAACGGAACCGATACACATTTTCTTACTTCAGGGGGTGATTGATTGTTATCTTCAGCTTCAGAGTGTGGGTATATATCTTCAGAGGCTTGGCACTCAACATAGCATGTGTGATCAAATTCATATGGATTGTAACAGGTTGGTAGAGAATCAGAAAAACTGATGAACTGAGGTCTGAAACGATGAAATGAGCTAAGTATACCTTCATCTGTAAGACAGGAAAAACAAGGGGCAGAGAAAACAAAAAAGGGCTATTAGCGTGGTTATATAACTAAATTGTTTTATCGGAAAAATAGTAGATGATGCACCATCAACTTACACATCTCAGACACATGATAAAACGATGACCGGGAAATATTGTGAGAATCACACCACTCTTTTTCAATCTCAGGAGACATCAACTTGAGATCTTTGTCTTCCAACTTCGACAAAAGTTGTTTCAAGTTTTCAAGACGACGCTTATCCTTCAGGGAGAGAAACATTGGTAAGACCAACAAGAATAAAAGTTTGTTCTCCTTCGGAATAAACTATCTTATTACCTTAAAGACACGCTGCCAAAACTGAAAAGCACATAGGTTTGCCATGAGTACCACCTCTCTTCGACTACCAGAAATGGTCTTACTGCTGTCTCCACCAAAAAAGTGGTCAACATACTCCAGAAACTGTAAAAGAAGACATTGGTGTAGTTGTTTAACATCACGATCAAACTGGCATGCAGAATTGCAGATATATTTACCAATAGAAAATACCATTGAATCATCTCCAAAAGGATGATTGATAGGAAGCGGTTGGGTATCCATCATGACACCTAATAGAATCCCTTCTCTTAGCATTCCCATTTCGCCAAACTTGACAACGAGAATGGATGCATCAAAGGACAATGGAAGGCTAGCAAGCAATCGCCCATAAAATGTGGGTTCGTAGCGTCCCCTAGGCGATTTCCGCAATGCTTGTATGCTTAGTAGCATACTCAAAGCATCATCAATGACGTCTGGGTTTGGTGGATCCATAACTTTTGCCAGCAACGCTAAGTAATAGAAAACAATTACACCAACGGAGAGTGATTAGAAAGACGCAAAAACATTAAAGATACCGTACTTTCAATCTATTCTACTCCTAAATCATAGAGGCAGCAGTTTTTTTTTTTTTAATGAAAGAATATTTCCACCATTAGCAGTTAACTTCATTTAAGGTACCTTATTGTCAATAGGAACGTGTATTTATGCAGTATCAGATGACTTAGCAAATCTGATTATCCTTACTAGTTCTCAGGCAACCCAAGTTTGACCTCGTCTCTTAATTAAGAAGTGAAGCATTCTCTTTACAATTGTATCACTATTACCGTTCGCGTCATTAATAGCTCTGGTTTCAGTGCAGCAAATATGGAGAACTTGTTGTCTCAACGACAGCTTAAGTATAGCTGGGGGCTCATGCTCTTCAAGCTTGTTAAAGAATGCACTCGGCACCAGGCGATACACCTCACCATCACATGTTCGACCTGTCCTCCCTCTACGTTGCTCAGCCTATAACTCCACATAACAAAAGTAAATGTTAGGAGTTAGGACATCCACTTTTGTTCCATAAATGGTAAATTTAAGCAATACCTGAGATCTAGAGACCCAAACAAGCTGAACTGCATCTCTTTTCCTGGATGCATCCCAGAACACTTGCAGAGACCGGCACGAGTCAATGACATAAGCTACTTTTGGTATTGTCACTGAAGATTCCGCAATATTTGTCGCCAATATTACCTGAGAATAATAGTTTGTGAAAGTTATATTAACTACTAAATCACTGAAGCCACAAAATGGTAGTTGCAACTGATGGAATCTGAACTTGCATCAATACGAGTTTAATGTCTCTCAAATAATATGATAAGTCCAATAATTTAATGTCTCTCCAAAACTTAAGATCTTCTCTAGTTATTTAAATTTCAGTTGAGTCCTCTCACCTGCAGGTCACAAAGATATTGCACAGAAGAAGAAACAAGTTAAGAGGGAAACCTTGCGACGGGATCTGCATATCTTCATAGCTGCCAGGGCTTGTTCGGTATCAATGCTTCGGTGTAATATGTGAACCTCGAAAGATGTCTGAAATGGTACCAATTGGTGCCACTGCTGCTCAAGTGAGTAGTATGTTGGAAGGAAAACCAATATACTCTTCTCAATGTCTGGTTCCTTTCCATGAATATATAAGATGAGATCATGAATAAGAGTCTGCAGTTGAGGTTTGATCTCAGTATCAGCTGACGAAGGACTTGGACCAGGACAGTAAGCAGACAAATCAGAACTCAAACCAAGCAACCCTGTAACCTGCTTCATGAAACAGTGTTACGTTCAATTAGCATGGAGAGGCTCGCCGTCAAGTAAGAAAACCAGGAAAAAAAGTCATACAAATCCTTCCACATATACTCTGATGGACGCAGAAATTTTGTTATTTTCATCACGGTAAAAGTGATGGTCACACACCGGAAAACATTTTTCATTGTTTCATTTTCACAATAAGTAAAATCATTGTTCTAGGCATGGTACCACAACTATTAAAAATATTCTAAATTCTTCCACCAAAGGAAAAATAGATAACCAAAAGTAGCCATTTAAAGTAGCTATAAGTGGAAGAAAATCAGTTGGGAAATTAAATAGTTTCCTAACGAGCAACAGATATCAAACATAATCTGAAATAGGTTTAACCTGCTCAAGATATAGCACTCTTCTCTGGAAAATCGTTCTCTGGTCAGGGCTAGGAATAGCAACCACTTCTACCCGTTCACCCCTGCCGAGTTCTTTAAAGTAGTCTCTGTAACGTGTAATATCAGCAGTTGCAGACATTAAGACCACCCTGTGGAAAAAATCACATCAACTCTTTAAAGACCGTGATCTCAGTTCGAATGAATTGGAATAGTATTAACTGAAGTGGTTTCTCTTTGATCAGCAAATACAACCGAGTGGATCAGTTTAAGAAGCTTAGAAAGAGAAACATCATAATAATAGTAGTAGAAATGGCTGTAACCTGAGGTCATTATTCTTCATGAGAAACTGCTTAACACAGACAAGAACAAGGTCGGACTCCACAGATCTCTCATGAACTTCATCAAGAATGATAACCTTGTAGTTAAGTGCATTTAACCCTTTGTCTAGCATTTCATCCAACAGAACTCCAGCAGTTTTGAACAGAATTTTCGAGCTGTTTTGTTTTAATCAAAAGAAGAATATTAGCATAAAGGTACGAAAAAAGATTCGAACGAAGTCACGAAGATGAAGGTACTAAACCCTTGAGTCAATATCTTTGAATGGCCAATGTGGTAACCAATTTCTCCTCCTAATTCAGAGTTGCGAGATTTTGCAACCATCTTAGCAACAGCTACAACCGCAAATCTCCTCGGCTGTGTACACAAAATGGGAGCCATGTTTGCTTCCAGAAGGAACTGTGGAACTTGCGAACTCTTCCCTGAAGAAACAAAATGTGGGAAAATCAACCAGAGCACGGATGAGATAAGTCGAAATCAATGAATCAAATGTTCAAAATCCGGTGTAATATGACTTTATAGAAAAACCCTACGAGCAAAAAATAAAAAAGGAAACAAAAAAAGAGTGATCAACAAAACCAGAATCGAAGGAGCATTTCTATAAACAAAATGAACAACAAGGGGAAGGGAAAAAACAAACAAACAAACGGCAACGCATATTTTAGTGAAGAGAGAATAGCAGAGACAACAACAAAACAGAGACTAAAGCAAGCGAACGTATGTACCGCAGCCCGGCTCGCCGACGATGAGGGTGACGCGATTCTCGAGGATTTTCTCGATGATTCTACTCTTCATCGCCACAACCGGAAGCGAAGCGAAGTTCGACGAGGGAGGTGACGGAAAAGATTCCGAGGAGTTGCAAGACGAAGTCGGTGAAGAAACCACCATTGTCGTATAGAATAAAAACTCGAGAGTCTCCTTCTTCCTCTTCCACAGACTCCACTGCTCTCTCTCTCTCTCTCTTTCTCCTTTCTCTCAAACGCCAGTCTAGTATTCACGCCAGTCACCTCCTCCTTCTTTAGGACGCTTTTAGAGCCCTCATGGAGCGAGCGTTGATCTGGTGCGACGAGTATACACTCTAGCTTTCTCGAAAAAGCTTTGATCTCTAGGCTGATTTGTTGACTTTAGTCTGACATGTCCAATGAAATATCCGTTGTGGTGCGGGTGTATGCTACTCCACGCACACCTGAGAGCTTGGGAAATATGGGTCCCACGTTTAGGGTAAAAAATAGGAATACTATATACTACTCGAGGGGCAACAAGTGCCGCGAATGAAAAATTAAAAAAACCATGTTTCAAACTGAATCAGTCCACTTATGGCCCATTTGTTAAAGTCCATTAACTAATTTCGACCCGAAAAGTAACAATCAGAGTCGTGTTGACGGATGAACATCTCCTCCTCCTTCCTCCTCCTCCTGGTTTAGTTGCGTTGGAGAGAAATGGCGTCGGGATGGGGAATAACGGGAAACAAAGGGAGATGCTACGATTTCTGGATGGATTTCAGCGAATGTATGTCTCACTGCAGAGAGCCCAAGGATTGCTCGCTTCTTCGTGAAGATTATCTCGAGTGTCTCCACCATTCCAAAGAGGTTACGACTTCTTTTGATTCCTTCCTCCTTTGCTGCTGCTTTTCTTTAATTGGAGATGCCTTCATATTTCTCCAAGATTTTTTTCATTGATTTGATGGCTAGCCAGGCCTAGATCAGTCTCTAGATCACGGGGTTGGAGTCATTCCGAAATCTCTAATCAGTTGGACTAAAATTAAAATTGTTTGAATTGTACCTAATTAGCTGCATCTGCCTGCAAAATCGCCATGGTTCAATGCTAGATTGTTTACTGGTTCCTCTTTTTTAATCAAATTAACGAATTCGTAAAGAGGTTTCACTGGATCACTGAGCTCAGAATCAGCTCCACAACTTCTTTGATTTACGAATACGGTGGAATCAACTCTTTTCGCTGAGACATTGGAAGATAATGCCTTACACTTGGTCTCTTTGCTTGTTTCTCTACAAAAGTAGCATGCATAGATCGATCATTTTCTGGAACGAAGAGAGCAATATCGATGCTACTGTTTTATAACCAATGCAATATGTTAACGTGGCTCTCTTGGAATACTACTGAATGTCTGTGCATCTTTTCCCTGGAAGCAGTTTGGTTCCTTTACATGATATGAACATGCAGTGACCATAGTTTAAGTAGCCAATGATTCATTATTGGACTGATATGAGACATTTGTTTGTGTACCTTGTTTCAGTTTCAAAGAAGAAACAGGATATACAAGGAGGAGCAGCGTAAACTAAGAGCAGCCTCGAAGAAAGGTGAAGAAGGCGGGGATGGGACTCATACCCATCACTAGTCAACAATACCCCTCCAGATTTGCATCTTCATCCCATTCCAGACAAGAATAAATATGGTTCATGGAAGATTTTGTATGTGTTTCAACACAGAATCCCAAAAAACCCTTTTATTGTTTTTCTCAGTTTGCAATTTATCGAATGATGTTCTGCTTTCTTTTCATGTTCATTGACTCGACTTTTAGATGCTACATACCTTGAGGCATATACTCTTTTCACCTGAATTACGGATACCTGCAACAACATTTGTTGAGTTTTTACACCACCCAATCAGGAAGCGTAAGTGCTCGAATTTTGGCAAGATCCGGTCCCAGCTTCTGTTTAGCAACAATGGTTCTCGTAAAGCTCACAATGTACATTGGAAACAAGTTATAGTTACATCATAAACAGTTTTGATCGATCAAACAAGTCCCCCAGTTTTCTTTTATACATTGTTCATACGCCCGATAGAATTCTTCCAGGCGACTTCAGGGTTCAGAGACACAAACTTGTCTCAGAAGTGTCTGTGCCAGAAGCTAGAGATCGTGCGGTGATTTGACGGGGCATGGAAATGTGGAAACCAATCTCTCTCCCACGCATGAAATTGATCGGTTTCTGGTTCACGGTGTGCACCTGATGAGCTCGGAGGTGGATAGATGAAGAATCCGACGTTCTGATCTGGCATCGTTGGCGGTAATCCCCTTCTTGTCAAAGAGACGAGAGGAGCTGCGAGATTGGGACCATTGGCATGATGTTGCCTCTGATGATTAAAAACAGGATGCTGCGTGTGAAGGTGTTCACGCATTTGGGTGCTGCTTCCTTGGTGAGCGTTAATTGCTGGTGAGGTTCTTGGATTAGACCTGCAATGCCCAAATCCAAACAACTTTCTGAAAAACTTCTAGAAATAAGAAAAAGTTGAGAGCAATATGGAGCTCGAGAAAGCTAACCGGTAAGTGAAGAGAAATGGGTGCGGATGTGTAATGCCCGGCGGTGCTGAAGAGTCGACTTCCCCATCAACCACATGAGCATCGGGTAGAGAAAACGATGGGGAATGATGATGATGATGATGATGAAACTGGGGAGCAACAGCAAGGTGGTGAAAATGGTCATTCGAGTGGGTGTTCCAGGGATGGTCATCTGTGTTGTCGCTAGTTCTCGGAGTGGCAGCTGGGCCCAGTCCAGCGTATGCAAGATATGAATGATTCAAAGCAGCGGCGTGGTGTCCATGGAACTCGTTATGATCTAAGGAGGACAAGAGAAAAATGCCATCTAACATTATCAACGGTTTGCTAGACAAAATGGAAATGATCATAGAGAGAAGAATCAATCAATACTTACATGTAGTGGTAGTAGGTTCCAGTTCCCTGAAACACACAGCAAAAAGCATGGAAACGATAAGGCAAGGGAGATGATGGCGTAATTCGTGGTAAAGGTGTACACTTACTCGAAAGCAGCTGCTTGAGAGAGTTCACCAAACGGGCACCAATGGACCCGATATTGCTGCAAACAACCGAAATTGTTAGGATAAACGACCTCACATAGTTGATAAGCACAGTTGTCACGTACAAGAAAAAGAAAGCATATGGTGGTGGCACATAGTATATACCATTTCCGGATAACTTAAACCATATAAATCTTCTTCGGGGATCCAATCTTCTATGACAAACTCTGGAAACGGCCGAGTAGATCCATTTGCATACAACCACTGACCCTTATCGACACTGCGGCAGTTAGGGCATTGCATGGCTCCTTTCATGTTAAACGCCGATCCGATGCAATCTGCAATGAACCAAAACAAAACAAAATAAAAAATGGCGCTAAAGCCATGTATAGAAAAGGAAATCCAGCAGGTACATAATAGAAACCAGACATCTCTACACACATTTACAAGAAACCGATTTACATGTCACCTTATTTCTTGGATTCTCACTCTAATACAACAGCAGAGTCATGGCGATTTAAGCTTCTAAGATATATTCTCTCTCATATGCTAATGAAATCTCACCGTCTAAAATCTTACCATAAGAATAATGCATTAAATGGGGGGTACTTTGACTAGCTATGCAGAAGGGTAAGGCTGTTAAGTGATCGATTCATCAGAAAACTACACTTTTGTTATAATCGCATTGAATTGGATCCGAGAATACCAACAAACTGGATCAAAACCGATCCTGATACTAGAGGAAATGCAAAATCCCCCAAGAATTGATTCCAACAAACCCATAAGATATATATCAAAAACGGAAAGTATGATTGGTCGAAAAAGGAATTGAGATACCCAAATGGAACTCGTGACCACAATGGAGCTTAGCCCTGGATCTGGTACCGTCGTCGACCACCAATTCGAGGCAAATCGAGCACGAGACTTCAACAAGGGACGAAGAATCCTCGTTCCCGCGTTTATCAGGGACACATCCACCGTCGTCTTCCGCGGAGGCCACCGATGGGCCAGCAACCCGGCGATCATAATCTTTAGCTCCGGCCATATCTCCACCAGCCTCTCGGCGCGCCCAATCGGAGAGAACCCACACAAGCAAAACAAAAAAAAAAAAAAAAAATCTCGGTTTCAGAAGAAAAAACAAAAATTTTGTCAAACAAAAATCAATTGAAAAATCATCTCCCTTCGCTCTCTCTCTCTCTCTCCGACTTGAAAACCGATGCGGTAATAATCTTACATATCAATATCCTTCCTTTGCTCTATCTCTCTCTCTCTCTCTCTCGTCCGACCTGTTAAAGATGACGTGGTTGAAAACCAGACAGTGACATTGGACTCTACATTTATTTTCTTTTTTTCTCTGACTCTGGATAAATTAATATTATAGATCAAAACCAGTATTCATCCAGAAACAAAACTAATTCTTTTTGGTGAACAAAGCCAAACTAATTGTTAATTTAGTTCAAATAACAGTATCCCGCAGATTCCTTCATTCATACGAGCTCACGAGGTTTTGAAGCTTTGATAACTTATTTGTACTTGTGATTTGTGAAGGTTGTAAGTCCGTTTTGTTGTAGAGATTAGAGAAGGATGTAACATTATTAAACGGACGGGAATAAATAGTTTGGAAAAGGTAGAGAATATGTAATAAACAAAAATTACACACAAATACTGACGCCATTGTAAGATATAGATTGTTTTGAAACGTTTGACATCAAGCTAAAATTATTTCACATCACCGAAATTGAGACTTTGCTTTATGACTGAGAAAGGTTTGGTTTCAGGCCTTGGTCTTAGGCTTCTTCACGATCATCACCGAGCAGTGAGCATGATGAGCACAGTAGTCGCTCACGCTCCCAAGAACCGCCCTGTTCGCAAACCGGCAAGTGATGATAGTAAGGAAAAAGAATCGATATACAGTATAGTGCAAAGATTGATAGGGGGTGCAGTGAAGAAAAAAAAAACCTCTTGATAGCTCCATATCCATGGCTTCCGAGAACAAGAAGAGAGGCATGGTGTTTATCTACAACTTCACATAGGATATTTCTAGCATCGCCTTCAAAAACTTCGATCATCACGCCATGAACCTAGACAACAAACACCTAGAATGATCATCATATTGAGAAGAATGTGTAGCTGCGCCTGATATAGCTAGATACAATTGCTTAAGACAAAATCTAGTGTGCTTCTTAGCATGTCAAACTTCTAATAAAGGGGATGTAGTAGAGAATTCCATATACTGCCTAGTCCTCCTATACATATGATAATTGATGAAAGAAGAAAAGAAAAGAAATCGATTTGGAAGTCCTTCATCATCAAAATTTTCATCATCAAAATTTTCATCATCAAATCAGGTGATAATATATATATATATATATATATAACAAGCAGAGTTCTGTGATGAATAAAACAAAAACAAGGTAAGGAAAGCGTACGGATTTGGACTGGCAAATTGCTTTGGATTTCTCGACAACCCTAGCAGCGGTATGCTTCAAATCTGCATCAACATAAGGTACAACCTCCGCAGTTCCTAACACAAATGATCAAAAAATTAAAAACCCCAAATTTGATTCCTCCTAACTAAAACAGATCGAACCCTAGAAGAAGAAAGTAAGGAAGGAAGAAGATTCGACTGGTTCCGGTTTAAGGAAACGGAGAGCGTACGTACCGGGACCAGCGAGACCAACGGCGGAGACGGCGTTAGGTTTGGCGTGGACGATGAAGAGCTTGAAAGGAAAATTGGGAGCGTAAGGAGCGAAGAAACGATCCAGCGTCCACTCCAAAGCGTAGTTGCTCTGCTCGCTTTCGTCCACCCCGACGACCATCACCGGTTTCTCCTCTCCGGTATCCATCAAATCTCTCAACTGCTCGTCGGCGCCGATCTGTCGCGTAAAATATCTCAACGAGCTCTTTGTGTATCTTTTTGTGCTAGAAAGAAAGAACCAAAGAAAGAAGCCTAGAAGATTCCAAAGTGGCAGAGAAAGGAAATAAAAGCAGAGTTTGTGTACAAGTACAACTGAAAGAGGAGGAGGAATGCGATACTTTGATGACGTGGATGGTCCTCTTGTTACTTTTATTTATGCCTTTTGATTCCGTAAATTTCTTCTGATGCGACCCAATTCTTTTAATGCTTGCTCTGCTCCACCCATTTTTTTCTTCTTTTTTCCACTTATTATACCATACCCTTGTTGCCTAATCAATACTATTGAAAACGTTAAATTCAAGTAGAAATTAGTTTTTTTTTTTTCTTACAACAAGTAGAAATTAGTTTAAAAACGTAACCATTCTTCTTCTTCCATTCTTAACAAATTTGTTGGGTTGAACTTGCATGAAGAGTTTTAATTATTTTACTTAAATAAAGCATGTGTATTATGTATATATATAGTTGATCTTCCAACTAATGTCTCATGAATAAACGTATGATTTATTTTTATTTTTATTTTTATTTTTATTATTGTTGTGGTCCTTGTGGATAATAATCATTCAGCGTTTATTTATTTAGGGTTCACATTTTGCTAATGGTTTTTTTTATTGTTCTTGGGGTTTAACTTTTACCAGAATTCATCCACACAAATTACCAACCTTGCAACATTTCTCAGAGACATCTCCCGCACACAGTATAAAATTAGTAAGCGATTTCGGAGATAAACATAGCTCTATAATCATTCTACGAACAACGATCCCCATGTCATGATTTTACAGTCGAATCCCAAATTGTAACAATTTATAAAATACAGCACCCCGATCACTACATATGTATATGTTCGCACTTCGTAAGGCATATATATATGCATGGTCGCTTTGGATTTAACATGGCCCACTATGAGTTTTCCGATGTAACTCTAGCGGGCCAGAAGGCCCAGATTAGGCTCCCTGGAGGATAGTTTGAAATAACTGCGCTGCCCAAATGCATAACCAACCCTTTCTAACGAAATTAAACGAATGGAGGGGAGAATCCCATCAGCTAAGATGAATTTAGATAGAGATACGATAGATATGGTTCTCTTTCTATAGTGATGGTAAACATTTGAGAGTTTTTTCTTTTCTTTTTTTCTTTTCCAGATATAGGTATTAGTATTAGGTATACCGTATATTGATCAAAAGTGACGTCACTAATTATCATCACTTCACGTCTTTCTTTTTGGGTTAGTTTTAAAAAATATATATATATTTTTTTAAATGGCCTGGTTTGTCGGTAGGTAGTCCTTTCTCTTTCCTGGTATTTTTAATTCTTTGATTAGACACCTTCACATCCATAATATGTGTGTATATCTTCATTAATATGTACTATGTAGTAGAATTTAAAAATATGTTTAGACAGAGTCGTCTCGCGAAAGATAAAGATGGATAGATCATTGGATTCTACAAAAGCTTGACTTTTTCATCTCACTCCTACAATCATATCATTTACCTGCTTTTTTTTTTGTTAAACATATCATTACCTGCTTTAACAAATTTTATGCTTTGCTTAAGCATATAAAAAAAGGCAAAAAAATTCTCTAATAATAATAATAAGTGAAAATTGTATGAAGCAGAATTATTTTTCTATATGATATATAAAAACAAAAACCATGACAAGTACAAAGGATTGTATTTCTTTAAGTAGAGACGAAAATAAGTAATGAGATGATTTGAACAAAAATAATAGTAAATAATGACATGAATCTAACTACAGCAATTGGCATTGATATATACTTTTGATATTGAATTGTAGGTTTAGCTTATAGTCGTCATCGAGTTGCAAAACAATTAATGAATATGTTTTTATGTTCCGGTTAAATGTAAATCATGGTTTAACACAAAAATGGAGAAAAGAAAGGGGAAAATGTGAGATGTAGCGAAAGAGAAAGGACTTAACAAAATAATTTATTTATAAAAAAGAGCAAAAAAAGTAAAGGAAAAAAAGAGAGAGGAGGAGACGTGGTGGTGGTGAGAAGTTTCTGGAAAGACAAAAAAAAAAAAAAAAATAATGGGAATGGGAGGACTTGTTCTTCTCCCCTTGGCTCCTCCTCCTATAAATCCCCATTCATCATCCCCTCTTGGCTTATTATTATCTCCACCCACTTTCAAATCATTTAAATTCAACAACTTGAGATCCAAATCTTCTCAGTCTCGGACGACCTCAATCACCATGGCCAGCATCAAGGTTCACGGAGTTCCCATGTCGACAGCCACCATGCGCGTCCTCGCTGCTCTTTACGAGAAGGATCTCGATTTCGAATTGATCCCCGTCGATATGAGGGCCGGTGCTCACAAGCAGGAGCCCTTCCTTTCCCTCAACGTAAAGTCCTCCCTCTTGATACTTTTCAAGTTTTCATTATATCATCTATCTAACGATTCATGATGCTCTTCCCTTCTTCTTCTTTTTTTTTTTGTTTTTGGGTTTGATTCAGCCGTTCGGTCAGATTCCTGCTCTCCAAGACGGTGACTTGACGCTATTTGGTGAGTTTGTTATCCTTTTTAATTCAATAACAAAACAAAAAGTCAAACTCATCAAAAAGTGGTTGGTGATCGATCAGTCACACAGCTGCCCACCAAAATCACGAACATCAGATCTTTGTGATTTTGATTGTTGATTATTCGACTTTTAGATCACAGAATCACTAGTCTCAAGTATCGGATAACTCATTCATCTGAAATGACAGATTGCTCTGACTGTGTGTGTTCGACTCATTTCTTCTCTGGTTTTTAGTAGAATCCATGCTTTTTCTTTGGGTTAATGGGATCGATCTATAGATTGCTGAAAGATTTGTTTTTGGTGATTTGCAGAGTCAAGAGCCATCACAGAGTACATAGCGGAGGAGTACAGTGAGAAAGGAGAGAAGCTTCTGTGCCCAGGCTGCAAGAAAGTCAAGGCAACCACTAACGTATGGCTTCAAGTTGAAGGTCAACAGTTTGACCCAATCGCCTCAAAGATAGCCTTCGAGCGTATCTTCAAAGGCATGTTCGGCATGACCACCGACCCCGCCGCTGTGGAAGAGCTCGAAGGGAAGCTCGTCAAGGTCCTGGATATCTACGAGGCTAGGCTCGCCAAATCTGACTTTTTGGCCTGTGATTGCTTCACTTTGGCTGATCTTCACCACCTCCCAGCCATCCATTACTTGATGGGTACCGACTCCAAGAAACTCTTTGAATCTCGCGCTAAGGTTTGCGACTGGGTCAAGAAGATTACCGCCAGGCCAGCTTGGGCTAAGGTTGTTGCCCTCCAAAAGCAGTAACCTGACCTCTTTTCTTTCTTTCATTTGCTTTGAGCTTTTCCTTGTGATAAATAAATGAGCTGTCTTATTGTGTGTACTCTACTCTTGTATGTTTTCAGTAATGTATCGTCATCCTGGTATCTTCTCTTCTTCTTCTGTGCTTGTTGTGTTTTGGAATCATCAATCCTAGTCAAATTAATATGTGCAATAGAAAAAGCAGAGCCTATTTGTAATTGAAATACAGCATTCCGCTTACAATAAACAGAACCGGATTCGTAGAGGTCAAAAAAAAAAAAAAAACAGAACCGGATTCGTCAGAAGCGAATGTATACATAATAAATGCAACGCTATTAGGAGGACGTAACTGAAGAAAAAAAGTTGCTCTGCAATTGAGTGATGCCTTGGGGTCCAAGTAAGGTGGTGTTGCCCTTGAGAAAAGCAGATAGTTTGGGCGAGATCTCTTTGCCGATGAGGATCGCTGAAACTCACAGAGTACAACCCAAAACTATACTCGCATCCTCTCAGCAACTCATAGAAATCCATAAATGATCTCGCGTCTCAACCATTCATACACGTAGTAATCTCTTGTTTTACACCGACAGAAACAGAGAAGCGAAGATGCGGTTGCCGAGATACAATGGAAAAAAACCCAAAAAAAAAAAGAAAATGCGCATCCAGGGAATCGAACCCTGGTCAGTACCGTGGGAGGGTACTATGATACCACTACACCAGATGCGCTTCGTGTCATTCTGCTACTTTTAATTGAAGTAATTAAAATAAATCTGGATGTCCAAGAATAACAATCAGACACTAATGTAATGAATTTGGAGTGTTCTGATAGTGCTAGTAGTTATCCCAAATTTGTTATTTTTTTTATTATAAATAAAGTAGCAAAGACGCGCACTCACACTCACACACATATCCTAAACCGCGAAAACGATGGTGATGTTGATTATTAATTAATTACGGAGAGTGTAAATTATATAGAAATTAGTCACGGGGACCAAGTCGGGTAACGGGGGCTAAAGAAGGAAGCGGTGACGTGGGCGTTCAAGAGCTCGAGCGTGGCACTGTCGGACTTAACACATCTCGGCGTTTTGTACTGATTAAAGGAGCCTCCTTGGCTTATAATCAGGTCCATGAGTTTCTCGAACGTTCCTGGCTCCACCACTCTTATCTCCAACGGCCCGATCGATCTCTCTTTCGTCCTGCATTGTCTGTAAATGTAGTCAAGCTCTTCCTCAACCGCAATGCAACACTCTTCCATCAGCTTCTGTTGATGATCAGGTTCGAGCCCTTGGATCTCCCAGAAGAGCACGTAGTGACCTGGCACTGATGACGTGTCCGCGTAGCTCGTGTATTCCGCCAGGAATGCCTTGTTGTGGAGATTCTTCTTGGCCAACGTGATGCTCCTGTGTAGATCTTCCTCGTTGGTTTTGTCTAAGTCGATGCTTAGAACCACGTTTCTCCTGCAGATAAACCGGAATTGTGGTGCTTTGTTGTAGAAACCGGCCACTTGAAGAACATCCCCGATTCGGTACCGGTTCAATCCTGTTCCAAACATTTCATCAAAATGTTAAAAGGATCAAATAGTAGCAATTTATTTAGATTTCTACTTTTTTTTTACCTGCGAAAGTTGTGACCACCAGCTCATAGTAGCGTCCAAGTTTTACGTTGACCAGGTCAACGACTTTATCACAAGGGACTTGATCATCGTCGTCTAGGTCAAGAGAGAGGGTCCCGTTCTTGCCGAGAGGGATAAACTCGAAGTAGCACATGTTAGGCAAGAGTGTGAAAACGACGTCGGCTGGTTTCGACAGTGGCTTCACGTTGACTCCAAAGTAAGTCTCAGAGGAAGCATACATTGGACAAACCAATGGAATCTTTCCCTGGCTAAAGAACTCAAGCGCTGGTATGTACTGTGCCATCGACCCTGTCACTACTGCTTCAATGAACTTTGCTTTCGGCCACAGCTGACAGATAATCCCTTTCCACGACGAGCGTCCACATATTTCCTCGATCTCGTTTGCTAAGCCTGGATTTGGCGACGTTAAAAGGCAAGACATGGCCATCTGGCACCCTGGATCCGTGATCATGGGACTGAGATGACCCGTGCGGATGTCTTCGCAGAGCTGGCTCCATTTTTGCTCGAGATAAGAGATTCCACGGAGAAACGCTGAAGCAAAGACCGCTCCTAAACGCATCACTTTGTGGCGGTGAATCAGTGCGGCTAATAACTGACAGTACATGCTTTGGTTGCTGTCTTCACAAAGGATGGTTTGGATAGGACTGGTTAAGTCGTTGAATGGATCATAAGCTCTGCATTGGAAATGTTTGCTCTTGTAGTAGCTTGTGAGGACTGCTCTAATTGGTAAACCACAAGGAGTTGATGTTTCAGCTTTGACGAAATTTAAGTACATTGCTTTTCCTTTGTCAAGTCCAGTTACATACCTGTCAGAAGAAGAAAAATAAAACAGAGGATTAAAGACAGAACAAGAAGATGATGGTAAAAGAGGTAAAAAGGAAAAAAACACTAAATGATTCTCGAGGTTTAGTGAGTGCTGTTGAAAATTCTCAGAGAATCTTTGGTGGGGACATGAAAATGGCGTGTGGATAAAAGATGATGGATGCAAACTTTATAGTACATGATATGATACCACTAATTAACAAAACAAAACACTCAAAGCCTAAAGCAAAAACTTCCTTAGTGAGAAACCTATTTTAATGTGATTTATTGGTACCACGGCCAGTACCTTTATGAGTGTATCCATATTCCATATGTTAGTGCTACAATGATTATGAAAACATATCCACACATGAGGCTTCTTGGTAATTAAAAACCATACGTTTTTTTTCTTTTTCTTTTCTTTTCAATATTTCCAATGGATAATAATAATAACATTCAAGAACCTCATGTGATGTGTCCTTCCACTTCCATACCTTAGTAGTTTTGAGACATATCCATTATCCGTGCTACAACTACAGGAACACTCCTAGACTCCTAGTGGTTCCTTTTATGGAACATGAGGTCAGCCACTTTGTTTTATCAAGTTAATAATATGCATGTGCTCACTGTATTTCCTTTCTTTGATTATAAAAGATTTCAGAAAGAAGATAATCGTTTGGAGAGCATCAAGAAGGATGTTAAAGGGAGATCATAGAACATGACTATACTGAATACTAACGAGGGAGAATTATACTAACTTGTTCACGATTGGCATAATAAGATTGTAGAGAAAAGTGCGGCGATCAAGATCTTCAGAAATGGTTGGCATTAGCTTTGGCTCTCCACCAGAAGTCCCTGAGCTGCAAAATGCAAGAAAGACAATACATCTCCACAGTTATACGAATAAAAAAATCAATTCAGACACAAAGGAAGAAGAGGCAGCAACTAAGAAAGATTCAGGCAGAAATAAAGAAACTAACCTGCATAATATTTCAGTGATTGGATGACCAGTAATAAGAGAAGAGTCTTCTCCATTTGCAATTCTCTGAATGTAAGGACAGACATCTTTGTACTTTATGATTGGCACAGAGCGTTTAAACTCCAGAGCGTCCTTAGAGCCTTTCATGTACTTACTCAAGTACTCTGTGTCCTTGTTTCGTTCTAAGATCCCACATAAAATGTTATCTTGAACTTCAGCAGCTTTCGAGGTGATCCTCTCGAGCTCTTTTAATGCATTGTCACCTTTGTAGTTGTAATCAAGCTTCGTTACATCCATTTTTCAGATTAAACCAAAGACAAAACTAGAAGAAGAAGAGAGGTAATGAATGCCTCAGGACCCAAAGCAAGGAGATGTATTTATAGTGGATTTAGCCATACTTAGATATCCAGAAATGGAAATTAACTTTGTCCTTGCAATGTATCAGTTAACGGAAATTTTTTTATCAAAAAAAAACCACTGCTGAGGTCATCAATAATGGAAGCTCAGCATCAAGGACAATAATACGTATAAGAAAAATATGTACTTAAAAAAGAGACTAATATTGCGTAGAAACATAGAGCTTCTGTCTACTTTTTACTCTGAACCAAATCTATGTTTAAGTTGACAATTTTGTGTCACATTAACATAACACCTCTTCTGGTCATTAGCAGCTCAAATAGGCCACCTTAAATAAGAATAATCTACAACAGCCTGAGTCATTTGTTACAGCTACCAAAGAAGAGTCAGTAAACATTTCTTAGTAAACGAAGAGACTTTGTGAGATCAGCATGAGAATCAGAGAAACAATCTCAACCATCCTTTTTGTTTTTTTTTTTTTATCAAGAAATCCCAAAAGTGGACCACATTCTTTTTAATGATCAACCACTGTCATGATCATCAAGCTTTAAGACATGATGCGTTTGGTGCTCGCCGCATCTGATAATTTAGCGAAAGTCCACCACTAACTAAACAATTGCTGACGCTGCTCTGTCCCTCAAGAGGAACAACTCTAACCAGACATTGTGGAGGCTGTTGGGGTGGATTCTTTTTCCATACGCAGAAAGGTTAATGACAAGCAAAGCATACAAATACCTTAAACTTGGATCTCTCTCTCTCTCTCTCTCTCTCTCTCTCTCTCTCTCTCTCTCTCTCTCTCTCTCTCTTATTTTGGTGACTCAGTTTAGCATATAATGTACGTATCGCACTAGTAACCCTTTTGGGAGTAATCCATGCATAGTGATTCACTTCTCAACCATTCCCATAAAATAGAATAAAAACAAACAAAAGAGATCTATCTAACAGTCTTTAAACTCAGATACTATTGGTTCACATCCTTATCCACAAGCTGGATCTGTTCCCTCTTCAGATTCCCTGCTTAAAGCTGACGACTAACAGAGCACATATATAATCAATCAAACGCACATTATTTTTCCTCCGTGGGTCTTTAATCGTGAACCATGTAACTTCAAGAAACCATTTTGTGAACCCTATTTCTAAGATGCAAAGGACAAGTTAAAAACATGAAACATCATACGCAAATACATGGCTGTTCTAATGTCACGATCAAACTTTTGACTCTATCAGAGTGATATATTTTTATTGTTCCTGTGCAAGTTGTGAAAAGATTAAAAGCAATTCACTTTTCTTGGCATTTTTTGTGTTAATGGAATCCATAATCAACAAAAAAGCAACAGACAAGCTGTTATCAACTGTAAGAAGTTGTTGTCTATCTAAGGCAAATCTGAAAGCTGACTATGAACATTATCAAGAGTAAACATTCTTTTTTCTTCTCATGAGAGATGGGGAAAAAAAATTTAAATTCAATGGATGCAGAACACTGTACGTATGCTATATGTATCACGACTATGTAACCACCGAGACTTATCTCATATATTTACAGAAAGAAAAACAAATGAAGGTGACTCATTGTAACGAACAAAAACAAGTAAAAAAAGATATAAAAATAGATAGACAAGGTCAAGCAAAAGACTATGAAGATAAGCTCACGTGTTCCTTTTTCTGGCTTCGAGCCTTCATTTGCCAGAGACAGTTTTCTAGCAATGTTTAATAGAAACATCACGACACCATAAATATTTATACAACTGAATAACTCTTTGTTTACTTTCTTTAGGCAATTATCAACAGTACACAAGGACAGACAGTGACTAATAAACTAAGAACACATCTCAAGTCATCATGTCCTAATTAATCACTGTGAAGATTAAGGAAACATAATTGTATCCATAATAATAAAATCACAGATGATCATTTAATACGTAATAATAGCAGAATAATTTGAATAAGTATGGATGAGCAAAGAAATTCTGTTTAGCAAGTCCTGACGGTGTAAACCTATTAGATGAATCAGCAGGAAGTGAACATGGACACTAGTATTCATGCACTTGCGAATGAAAGGTAAGAAGGTTCTAAACCCTCGTTGTCTCATTAGACCGCACGAATCATGAAGCGGGGCTAGCTAAGAGTCCTTAGTGAGCTTACTTTAATACTTTGTATATCTTTGCTATGGTGTACCTTGGTCTTTTTATTTATTTATTTGCTTTCTCTCAAGATTCAGCTTGATACCACTCCTTATCGGTCGGATCGACTTGTGTTGATCATATATATATAGCGATGTTCTGTATGATCAAGTTCAATGCCAAAGAAGTTTGCTACAAGAAAAAAAGAAAAAAAAAAGAAAGAAAGATATTACCATGGGTTCAACAGAGTAAAAGAAGAAAAGTGAAAAAGTCTAATAGGTTAAAGAAGCACATATTCTACACCGCGTCAAATCAAGGGAAACTTAATTTTAAGAACCCAATTTAAAAGCATAACGATTTTGAGCTCTACCAAAATTTAGAAGAAAAAAAAAGATGCTATTCTTTGTTCTTCTTTTAGCACAGCACAGGATGCCATTTGGAAAAGAAAAAAAGTAAATTGTTTCTAGAGATGACCGCTGCCTAGGCCCGCCTTACGTAATCAGTTTTTTTTTTTCCCTTGGTGACGACATCAATAATAGCGTTTGAAAAGAAAAAGAAAAAAAGAGATTAAAATCTCACATACATTCACTCTACCGTCAAAAACAAAGCAAAGGTACTCTCTACTAAATGATGGATCATGTGATCATATTTATTGATCGAAAACATTGACTTATTTGAAAAGAGGATTTAAGTGATTTCAAACCCTTGTTAGTCAGCAATCGTAATGAGGAGATGTTTGTAAAGTCTGTAATAGATTAAACCATAAACGTTTAATTTGAGGACAAACACATTTATAACACATGTACTTGGATAAAGACCAAAAAAAAAAAAGGCTGAAAAAGCCAAGGTATATAAATCACCATGATATATATAAGTCAAGCTTTATCTCTAACAAAGTCTTGAGAAACAAGAAGAGCAAAAGAGCATCATCAAAGGTTCACTTATGCTTTCTGTGGCTTTGGTCTTTTTTGAGTTGATAAGGATTATATAAAGGGGCCAACCAGAGACCCCACAGGACGGTCAAGTGTAGACACAGTAACAAAGCCGAGGAGACTGGTGTTGATGGATACACGTTCCAGCAAAGCTCGATACCGAAGAACAAGATCAAGCTTTTCCAGTCAAAACAAAAACAAGAAGACGGATCAGGTTTAGGGACTTTTTTACTGTGGTTTAGGGTAAAGATCACAGAAAATGATTTTACCGCAGCCAAGTAGGAAACGAAGTTCTCCATAGCAGAAAAGGCAGCGAATAAAAGTACCTGTTGTGATCATACGAGGGTTGGGTTTGAGGCCACAAGAAAGAAGAAGAAGAAATAATAGGTTTTTTCTTTCGTTACCATGAGTAGAACTGGTAGTGCATGGAACGAGCGCATACAATGCCAATGAAATTCCCAACAAACATGGTTGTCACGATATCTGTTATTCAAGTGGACAAGTGGAAAGCCAATAAGTTTGGGCAACAGACAAATAAATGCCCCCCTCCAAAAGAAAAAAAAAAACACAGTAAAAGCTTACGTTCTTTCGTAAGAATCTCTGCGGTTGAGAAATCATTGAACGAGAGGGAAGATGGAAGCGTCAAGAAGAAACGCTTAGAACGCATGAAGCCTATAATCCCGCCTTCTTGCCTACGGAAGTCAACATACTCGTTATAACAAATGCCATACACAGAAGATACGGACTACCGTAGAACAAAAATGCAGCTGCTTCATGAGAAATGACTTTGTACTAACAGACTCTGTGCTTCTACTTACTTGCACCATTTAGAATTTGCAAACGCCGCAAGGAGACATAGGTGAGCAATGAGCAAGCATATCGCAAATTCTTTGGACACAAAAACTTTTTCTGGAACAAATTTGAAGTTAACAGACCTGTTTAGAGCTCAAATTAGCGTTAGAGCTCAAAAGATATATTTACATCCCATAAGCAATTTTATCAGATTTAGAGGGAGAGGAGAGAGCGATACCAGAAGTGAATAAAAACACGTCCAAGATCAAAGGCGTTTGCAATGTATGAAACCGGATATGTTATCAGAAAGGGCAATCCCACGAAAATCTGTATAAACCATTCACTGACCAGTTGAATGGTACTTGTTGCATTATCAAAATTGTAATTCGCTGGATATTGCAACTCACCTATATACATTGAATAAACAGTTAACAAGTTTCCAGCTTTACATGGAGAAACAATACTAGGCATAAAAATTAGTGAATAACGGGACGTCTCAGAGATAAAAAAAAAAAAAAAAAAAAAAAAAAAAAGAGAAACCTGAACAAGAGCTGCACCAGCTAAAGCAGATACCACTCCAATTATATTCATGGCCTGTGAATAGTAAGAGTTGACGTATGAAGAAGAATCAATGCTAGAAGAAGAAGAAAGCAAATCAAATATCTTCCTCAGACATACCTTTAGTAGCAAGAGTAACAAAGGTGGAGCATACAAAAGTACATTCATCTTTATGGAAACAGCTCCGCTGTATATATATATAGAAAAAAAATTATATAAAGAATAAGCAGACTAGTTAATCAAAAGGATGGAGAAGAAAAAAGCAGCAACCTAACCTGAAAACAAGCATGCCGAGATGCCATTTACGATAGAGAAAGAGAGCCATTGACGCATGTAGGAGAGTCATGGCAAAACAATCATTAAAGAGACGGAGAACAAAGATCGAATGTATTCTCTTGGATAAACACAGTAGAAATAGCGCCCACCATGGCACCTGTAATACGTAAGGAGAAGTATCATCCACGAATTATGTACTTTTCGTATCATGAATGGAAAAGCAAAAGGTTCTTTCATTAAGAGAAAAAAAAAAAAGGCTTCACTATACCACATCAGTCTTCGCATAGATGAACAAGACGATGGCCAGATTGAAAATGTAGAGAACTCCGAAAAGAATCTGCATTAAGCGAACATGTCAAGTTCAACAGCTCCCTGAATAAGAGAGAGACAAAAAAATCCAAAGATACCTGAGCAGGGTAGACTTCCCCTCCGGTTAAATGCTGCACAGCAGAGTAAATATAGAGGAAACCTGCCGGATAAACCAATGGCCCTGTATCTCCTTTCAACTTCCCATAGTCTCTCTCTCCCCCAAGAAACCCACTAACCTGCCCCCAAATTTACCAAAACTTTTCACTTACTAAACCCACTTGGATTCGACCTACCCAATGATCACCACTAACCTGTGACATGTAAGCATCCCAATCGATCTTCGTGTCTGTTCAATCAAGCCAAAAAAAAAACCATGTCCAATGCACATTTCGAGAGACACAAAAGCAAAAAAAACTGTAGGAAATTAAGATCTCACATGGAACATAGGCGATGATAAGTGCGACGAGGATTGCATCAGCGAGAGTTAAGGCGAAGGCGAATGGAATTACTGGTTTTTTTACCAGATCGGATCGATTCGTCAATTTCCCGTGCCGACGGTTACCAGAAGCTCTTAAGCTTGCCTCCATGTTCACCGGTGAATCTGATGATGATGAAACCAGAACAAAAAGAATTTTGCGAAACAGACAAGTTAAAACTACTTCTGATTTAAATAGTTTTTAGCCCATAGTATAGCCCAATATAACAATTACATATTGGGCTTAATTTCTTCACTCGGTATCTTTTTTTATTATTTTGGTAAACAGACACGATGCTTATTTATCGCTTAATATCTATATTTTCTTCCATTTATTACGAAAAAAAAAGATACCGACTGAAGAAGTTTGGACATATCTCTGTCATGGGGCATAACATAAGAGCACGTGTCCAAACTTTTTCACAAAGTCGATTAATATCCCCCAAACAAAAAAAAACTATTAAATCGCATTCCACGTGTAGACATATCTGTCAACAAATCGCCACGTGTCTCTGCAACACCAGTGCCTCCCAACTCTTGGCTTCCTCTTTATAAACTTCATCTCCTGAAAATGCTCTTTGACCAAATAAAGCTTCTTCTCTTTCTCAATTTTCGCATTTCTCATCTCTCATTTCTCAATCCCTCGATCTCAAATATCCTGTGTTGGACGCTGTGATGGACTCTCAGGACATCAGGCACCGTGGCGGAGACGACAGAGACGCCGCTATGGCCGAGACGGAGAGGAAAAACGCTGACGACAAGAGCAAAGGCAAACGCGATCAAAAGAGGGCGATGGCAAAACGCGGTCTCAAATCGCTGACGGTAGCGGTTGCGGCTCCTGTGCTCATGACGCTCTTCGCCACGTATTTCCTCGGCACAAGTGGCGGCGGCTACGGGAGTAGAGCTCAGTCCACGTCTTGGATCCCACCTCTGTGGGTCCTACACGCCATACGTCTCGCGTCAAGTGGTCTTATGGGCTTGGCTGCGTGGCTCGTGTGGGTAGACGGTGGGTTCCACAAGAAGCCCAATGCTCTGTATCTTTACTTGGCTCAGTTTATGCTCTGTTTGGCTTGGGGTCCGGTTATTGTTCGGGTCGGGTCGGGAGTGGCCGGGCTTGCGGTGTGGTTGGGTCAATCTGCGGCCTTGTTCGGATGCTACAAGGCCTTTAATGAGATAAGTCCGGTCGCTGGTAATCTGGTAAAGCTGTGTTTGGCTTGTGCTGCGTTTGTAGCCGCCGTTAATGTAAAGCTTGCAATCGCGTGATGCTATTCTGTTAGTATAGAGTCATGATGGTTCTGCGTTTTTATGAGTGTTTTGTGATATATTATACATAAAGTTGTCGTTGTGATTCCATCTTCTTCTCTTTTGTGGAGTAATCGACATGAACATGATACTTTTCTATTTCCATGTTTTTAGGCTAAAGCTTGTTGTTTCCCCTAACTGAGACGAATTAACCTAAAAGCTAAAATAAATATATAAATATATAAGAAAACAAAAAAAAAAGAGAGCTTGAAATGGACAAACAAACAGAGGCACGTACTAGTATCAAATTTTGTTCCAATTAATTTAGACGGGAAAATCGAAATTTCCTTCCAGGTATTTTTCTTGATGGAAAATAGATTTAATGTAGTTGGGTTAATTCAGTTTCGGTTCTGACTTTTACAAGTGTTGTTTTATAGGCCGTATTTCACTAGGATATTTTTGATCCAAACCGATTTATTTGGGCTTTTAGAATAAATAAAGTGACTCAAAGAATGTAGGCCCGGTAAGTTTCAAAACGTGATGTAAGTGGGACCCACAAGTCTCGTGCCAAACGGAATGGCCGTGCCTATCGTGCAAATGGTCGCGACCCATGCCCTGCCACGTTTTCGAAACGGTCCATTAGAAACATTGCACGTGTCCTAGCGGTCTCTGAAAATCCAATCCCTTTCGCTAAAAGCTAAAAAAAAGAGCGCATGATATAATGCCACGTGGCTCACCGGTTTCGATCGAATGAATCTCATCCGTCCGGAGAGAATGCCTCTTTATAAAGACGAGATTAGTGAGCAAGCGGCACGAAGAGTTGAGGATGGCGGAAAATGAAATAGAAGTGGAAGAGCAGTCACAGGAAGTGACACCATCTTCTTCGTCTTCGTTAATGGTGGAAGACGACGCTGAGACGAAGCTCAAGCACTTGGATTTCGTCCAAGTCGCGGCGATTTACTTAGCCGTGTGTTTGTCGAGGCTCTACGAGTTGGCTAAAGACAACGCTGGTCCTCTCAAACTCGGTGTCGACAACATCGAAGCCACCGTTCAAACGGTACTCGCACCGTTATACGACTCATTCCACGACGTTCCTTTCAAGCTTCTCCTCTTCGTCGATCGTAAGGTTGAAATCATTTTCAACTTTAATTTTTTTTCCTCCTAAACCCCTATTTCCCTTCCTATTAATCCCATTGGTTTTCCTTGCTTGCAGGTGGACGACGTGTTCTTCGATGTGGAAACGTACGTTCCCTCTTTGGTGAAGCAAGCTTCTAGCCAAGCCCTCACGGTGGCCACGGAGGTTCAACGCTCTGGCGTCCTCGACACTACCAAGAGCATCGCCAGGAACGTCCGCGACAAGTACGAACCAGTTGCCGAGTATTACGCAGCGGCGGTGTGGCGGTTGCTGAATCGAGTGCCCTTGTTCCCGGAAGTTGCGCAGCTCCTGATCCCAACCGCGTTTCACTGGTCGGACAAGTACAACGACGCCGTTCGTTACATCGGCGAACGAGACTTCTGGGTGGCAGAGTATCTACCCATGATTCCTGTCGACAAGATATCTTATATATTGTGCCAAGATCAGTGTCGTCGAGCCGACCAGTTCCACTAATGTAATGATGGCTCAGTCAATGATAGCCAATGATTCCTTGTTCAGATCAGTTTACATGTACTCTGGATCTTGTTTCTGTTCTTGTTTCGTTGAAAATTTCCCTTTCAAGACGCGATCTTCTATTTCGATTGTTCCATTTAAAGAATTTCCCTTTTAATAACAAGAGAGGATAAGAGACAACTCAAGGAACCGTTTTGTTCACTGTTGGTTATAATAAAGACACGAGACGCAGAGAACATTGATCGTATTTTTCTTATTTAGTAAGGAGAATGTCTGTTTTTCTTGCGGTTCCTAACGACCAATTCGCTTGAAGTCCAAGACCGATTGATATTCTCATCGGACTTCCAGCAACATAACCGGCCATCTTCACCCCCGGTCCATCCGAATAACCCTGCAACTCCTCCATAGTCACATGGCATTTGCAAAACGCTCCTCACTACTTCCACGTGACCTCCACCAAGAATAGCTTCAGCGGAACCGATTGATCCAGGCCGTTTACACTTGACCGGAAAATAACCGATGGTACCTGCGCAGGTTCCGCCAATCACCCATAAGTCTTCACCTCCTGGACAATGGCAATCAACAAAATAATCAACCTGCAAAAGAGCAACCATGAGAAAGCTCTCCAGACTTTTTAGTTAGTTAGGTTTCTCTCTCTAAGTGTTGTGTGTTTCGTTAGAAGAAATGAGATTTTTACATTATCTTGACTCCAACCATCAGATGCGAGTTCCCGAGCGTTCTCTAGGTTAACTTCACAGCTTCCATCTTGCCAATTCCAAATACTAGAAAGCAAGTCAAAAACAAATTAGGGAATTAATAGACTTAACTAGTGATGAACAGGATAAAGAAAATACCTGACAGTTTCTATATGAGTGAGACACCAGAGTTTTTGATAGCAATCTCCAAGGAAACCTATTTTCCCAATTGAAGTTCCTACGTTGATCACCTAAAAGGTAACAAGAGTTTAGTATTCTCCACGCTATCGATTAAGCGGAAAAGAGAGGTTAAAGATCTTAGATATGGAACTTACAGATTCCAGATGATCATCGTCATTGATATCACCTTCAGTGTTAAACAGACATATTAATCCGTCCACAGAGGCTGAAAGAAGTTTGTTCCGATTGTTAGGAACAAAGTGTACCTGTGGTTCATAAATACAAAGAAAAAGAGCTAAGAATTGACTGACTCCTAGTCCTATTAGCAGCAAACTACAATAGTATGAGACTAGAGAGATGTAAAGGAGTTCCATTACAGTCGAGCAGAGGAAAAAATTACAAAAGCAGCACACCTGAGTGACGTCGTCCATGTGGGATTCCTCCAAACAAGCAACTTGCTTTGAGTTTCTCCAATCCCACAGAAGAACCTGCCACCAGATTAAAAGCAGTTCTAAAAATGGCAGAGCGCTTGAATTCATTTAGAGATAATGTATATAAAACAAGGACCAACCTGCTCTTTGCATCCACCAGCCAATAGATTATCTCCAGCACCTCCATAGGAGAAGCTAAATATCTCCTGATCATTCTCAGCATCAATACACGAAACCTGAAGAAGAATGCATGAACTAAATCAAATCACATAAGCGTTATAAAGGGAAAATGAATCACATTTTACTGCTAGGATCCAAGAAAAAAGCAAAAGGAAAAGACAAAGATTCACCTGCTGGAAACTACGTGTGTCCCAGGATCTGATTGTGCCATCGGAGGAGCAAGAGTGCAGAACGTGAGGAGACGCCGCCGAGTCCGATGAAAACGCAATCTGATTGATGGTATCGGAGTGACCTTTACATTCGCCGTAGTATTGACCTGTCACCGGCGAGTAAAGCTTCACGGTGTTGGTCGATAGCGACACCGCGATTGCTGTCCAATCGATTCTGTCACACACAGAACAAAAAGAAAGAGCTGGGTTCTCTCTCAATAACCCAATTAATTTGGCTTGGTTTCCAAGAATAACTGGAGAGCAGATTCCTTACTTTGGGACAATCTGGAAGACGTAGTCAGTGCCGAAGTTGGTCGGAATAGAGTTCTTGAGGCCAAATTTCTTCACCGAAGAAGAGTCTGAAAGTTGACGATTTTGCACCTCCACTTCCATCTCCGACGCTTCTTCCATGTCTTTTTTTTTTGTTTTTTTTTTCAAAGGGTTTAACAGTTAGGGTTTGTTGATCCAAACGAGGAGGATAAGCTTTCAACTCTCTAAACGTCATTGTTATATGGCCCGTTTTCATTTTTTGGCCCATTTATGACCCAACACTACTTTGCATTACGACAACTTTTACTACAAGCAAGGAATCAGCAAAGAAATCCTATCTTCGCCCATATATAGTATAGCAAATTCCTCCTCTCGATGATAATTTTTTTAGTTTGTCATTTCTTTTACTCTTTCATCATGAACATTAAACATAAATGCATAATGACGAAGGAGGAAGACAACCGAAAAAAAAAAACAAAACACACTATAACATATTTCAAATATATATAAAAAACGTATTTCAAATATTAACATTCAGTTATTTACCATCATTACTACCGAGTCTACTGTCTACTGATAGTTTGAGTGATTGACACACAAAAAAAAAAAAAAAAAAACTTTTATCACATCTAACAATCTAAGAAACTTTTATTTTCTTCTTAACGTCAACACTTAACTACCTTAAATTATCGTTAACTATATATACATATATATATATAACTATATATATATGCCAATATTAATAAATCAGATTCTCTACATATGTATATTAATCTTCTAAGAATATCATACAGTATTTATTTGATCAACAGTTTAAATGGTATTAATAACAAAAATCGGTTGAAATGGTCAATTTTAAATTTGGAGTAAAAGCGTACATTCCAAGCATGAGTCAGATTGATACGAGTAATTATATCTGTACTAACACAGATATCTTTACAGGTTCAAACCAAATACATCTTATAGAACCATAGAGGCTTATTTATATATATGTAGAAGAACTATATATGATGAAAGAAGCTGGTCGTCGGGACAAATATATAATCATCAACCACCGATCAATTAATAATCCGGTGAGGATTTAGCTCCTCCTTTGCCGTGATGACTGGCTCTCTCAAGTTCAAAAACTCGGTAAAGATTTAAATACTTCCTGAGCTGCTCGGCGTAATCATCAAACCCTAGATTTGCCATAGCCCAACATATATCGTCTCCATTAACGGTCTTTCTCTTCTCCTTGTGGCATTTATCGGAGGCTTCTCCGGTGACGAAGCTTATGAACTCGGAGACACATTCTTGCATAGTCTCTTTTGCTTCTTTGGAGATCTTTGCATTTGGTGGCAGAATGTTCTTCATGATCCTTCCTACGTTTGCTATCGGAAGTAGCCTGTCTTGTTCTTTTATCATCATGTTGTCTTCTTGTTGTTGATCCTCCACCACTAAGCCATGGTGTTGATTAGATGAGCTGCTCGCAAAGTTGTAATTTTGGAATCTAGGGTTTGGATTTTGGAACCAAGGATAATTATTCCCCGCCATCAAAATAAATCTAATAAATCAGTGGAGAAATCTTGGGGAGGGGTCAATCTGAAATATATATATATAATAAGAACAATACGATTTACTAATGAACTCTCCAAACGAAATTATGTAGTTCGCCAAATGATGCGGCAGAGAAGAATTAAAAGAAAAAGGTTTATATGTATAAATCTGATAAATATTCATTTGGACAGAGATTTGTGTAGTTTAATTAGCTTTATATATAAGTAGACAATTAATGGCGCTGAAGGAGGAGGTATCTATCTATGGTCGTAGATGGTGATGACGTGTCATACAACCAATGAGAGAGGTCTATGTCACTAAGCCTCTCTAGTCACTAGGGAGACAATGTGGCAGGTCAAGCTCATTTCTCTTAATTTCTCGTTAACTCATTACGGTTAAACATTTATCTTAATTTCTCTTAATTTCTCCTTAACTCAGTACGGTTTCCTATAGCAAACTAATAGATGATATAGTTGGTAAAAGTGGCCAAGTGGTTCTAGTAGTCTCTTGTTGACCATTCTATTACCTAACGGTTTTTCAGTCCATTCGTTGTTAAGTTTTGTTTTTGCCCTGCGCACCATATCATGTATAATTGTATATGTCGTATAATAGTCATTAATAAGTAATTGAATAACTGGATTTTTGTTGAGAAAGATAGAATGTATAGTTGGGTTGTTGGAAGTGTTTTCTACGATTATATTATAAATCGAATCGTATGTACTTTTGGTGTGGACAACTGGTAATGGTACTTTTTGCGGAGCGAGCTAATATAAGGAGTGAAATATACAATGATGTCACAGTAAGTATCTATAATTAGTACCCCATCGATAAATATAAATAAGAACTACGAGTTCCCTTAATTTAATAGGCAATAATATCTAACTGTGGCCCTCATAAGAGCACGTCTAGTGGTCTATAATTAGTAGTCTGATAGCTTGCCAAGATTGAAGAGCCTATAAATAGTTTGTTACTTCTTTTAAAAGCATAATGAAATTAATTTTGTCACTCCTCAGTACTCTCTTAGTGTTCTTCATTTGAATTTAAAGATACGATCCTCTATTTCTACTTATACGTGTTTTATTTCTCTCGGGTTATTGGTAAATAAATGTACAGATTGAGTTTCGATTGATATCTAAGAATTGGAATTAGTCCTTTAGTTGTATTACGACAGATATAATACTATCAATGAAAAAAACTTATAATTATTTCCGTGTCTATCAAAAGAAGAAAAAAACCAATCCCTTCCATATAGATATTGTTTAACTAATAGTTAATTTGATCAATCTTCCTAACTTCTATTAGAACTTCATAGTTAAAAGCATCATATCTACTTTTGAATATTTATCAGATCCTGGTCATCTGTCGCCGGAGATATCGGTGACATCTTCTTAATACTAACTTGATCTTCTCTATTTGTTAGTTTGACTCTTTTGTTATTTTTTCTTATTTTTTGTTGTGATGCTCATTTATCTGACGATCTACTAAGCCAGTCTCCATAAAAAGATAATTTGACAATAAATTCTTTGACAAAGGCTAAGTTTAGAAAGATATTTGTTATTTTCAGAGAATGTCAAGTTTTTTTGGATCCGAGTTATTTAAAAAAATCCATTCTCATCAAATTGTAGGTTTGAAAAAATCATTGTGTTGTTTTGTGGTTTATTTGTTGTTTCTTTTCTATATTATAATAATTTTTGAATCAATATAGTTTTAGCAAACAATATTTTTATGCAATCCTTAATTCTCATTAATGTAAACCGTTTGAATACATAGATAAATAGAATGGAATTATCATCAAAACTGAAAGCTCTTTGATATTAGCGAAAAAAACCTTATATTAGGACTTTCAGTCGGTATATAGTATATTATGTATCGAGACGAAACGAAAACATTTATGATCTTTGTCGTCTTCTTATAGACGAGCACTCGAGCTGTTTAAAAAAAAACATTCCCTTAAAAAAAAAATGTCACTGAATGCATTATGTACTAAAAAAGTAATGTCAAGAAAAGGATTTTAGATGGTTTTAGTGAGCCTGATGTTCTAGAAGTATATGATACTTGTGGATTAGTATTTTATTCTATTTGTTTTCCCCAAAAACCTAAGTCAGGTGGTTAAATATTTACAGCTATATATGTAAATAACTATTAAACCGAGGACAAGTGTCGGCCAGTGGTGGATAGGACCACGTTGTAACAGCTAAACAAATTATGTACGCCTTTATTTATACAATTAATTAAACGATGCAAGATGACGTTCAAAGCATTAGTATATTATAATGTAGTTTAAGATAATGTGCAAAAAAAATGGTCGTTTTAAATTCATAGAGTATTATGATAAAGTAACTATTTTTACTTGGTCAATAACATTGGTTTTAACCATCTCAACCTCTTAATCAAATGGTTAAATTGATTCCTCGAGAGGGGTTTTAAACGGGTTAAGAACTAATTATCGAAACATGGTCATGATTATCTGAAAAATATTTTTCAAAGCATATAAATGTAATACCATATTTGTGTTTCGTAAAACGTCCTTATGTGCTATATTATTTATTAACCAAAAATTGGTTCGAAAAAGTATATATTAATTCATGTAGAGTAAAGAAAGCATATATGGTCATGCATCAGCATCACTATTCGATTAATTGAATCGTAAGTAATTTTCATTGCGTTTCTATTTCCTACTTGTCAAGAACGGGTTTAGTATCTTAACATTTAACCAAAAAAAAATCGAGTTTAGTGAATATAGTCATAGACAAAGTACAGTTAAGCGTGCGATTAGTTCTGTGGGTGGGACAATGCGTTAAACATTATGTCAGTATGTTAAAATACGAAGTTACTTTGTCTTTTACTTCTTTTATATTAATTACTAGTAATAATAGTTTTTCGCTATTTTTTCGGCAGTCGATAAAAATCCAGATACGGGCAACGGTAAAGCCGACGTGGGGATTATAAGGCTTTCGCTCAGCTTAGGCCTACCATGAGAACCATAATGGGCTTAGCCTCAGCTTTGGGTTTATGTTAAACGACTTAATGGCCGATTCTTATATATCAATAACACTATGTTTTTTTTTTCTTTCTTTTCTTTCAAACTACATACGTACATATTTTCCCACGTCATACGCGAGATAGATGATCAGTAAAGCAATATTCATTTATGTTTAATTAGTTCTCTTTTGTACAAATTTCTAAAAAGAGATAATTTTGTCTAGGTTATTTTAGGATTTCAACTGATGGAGTTTTTGAGTATATATTTATAAGAGACTAAATAAAATATGAAAGTGAATTAGAGTTTTACCAAAAAAAAAAAGGTTTAAATGAGGTTAAAAAAAAGTTTCACATGCCAGGAAAGCATGTTAAATTGCGAAAATAGGCCAAAGGACACGAAGAAACACTCGTCAGTGTAAGGGTAATGTAGTATTTTGAGACCATTTATTAGAGGCCCATCTAGTAGAAGAACGCGTGGTCTCACGCTCTTGATAAATTCTAAAGAGAAAAAAAAAAGAGCGTAAGATCCATTTTATATATAGATATATATACATGTACATATGCAAAAACATATTACATATACATACATACATAAAATAATATACAGATGGATTTAGCAATTTCCGTATTTATTTCCTAGATTTTTATTTTGGTTGAGAAAGTCTGCCAGAGAATTTGTAAGTTTTGGTGTGGATGCCAAAGCTGAGTTGTGTTTGGGTACGAGAGGTAATCTGAAAGCTCTTTCCTTTCCTTTAGACCACGTCTTCTTCTTCTTCTTCTTCTTCTTCTTCCTCCTCCTCGTCTCCGTCTTTTCACGCGACTTGTCTTTTTCTTTTTTCATTTTGGGTTCCTCTAATATATAAATATAATAATACACTATCTTTTTTCTTTTTTTTTTCTTTTCATTGCTCTGTCTGTTTCGCCGTTTGTTGTTCGTATCGTAAGCTCTTTGGGTTATGCTAATCACACGCGAAGTTGACATCTAGATTCAAAACATAGAGATTCATAAACTTTTTGGGTACCCATTTCTGTTGCTCTGGTTTTAATTTTATTGCTCGACGTTGGCTTTTTTCTTAATGTTGGCCGGACTTCTTCCATGGAGGTTAGCAACCAAAGTTTCTTTCTTTATTCCTTCTCATGTGTGAATATGTATATACATACGAGGGTCTAATGTAGTAGCGTTAAAAATGGTTTCTTTCCTAGTTTGGTTTATAACAAGTTCTTAGCGAAACAAATCAGGTATCTAGCGTTTTTCGGTTTAGGGTCATTTGTGGGTTTGAATTTGTTTCTTCTCTTTAGCTGGTTTCGTGATGGTACCTAAAAACGGCAGCTTTGGGTTTTCGAAATCCTTTCATTCAGTATTGGTTTGTGATGGATTCTGAACCTGTTCTTCGTGTCGAAATGTATCTGCATCCTCTTTCAATGTTAGGGATTTAAGGTATTTGAGGCCCAAGAAGTCTAACTAACTTGTCTTTAGAGAGTTGCTTTGGATGTGCGTATCATTATTGTCTGTGGCTTAGAACAGTTAACAAGATTGAGTTTTTTTTTTTTTATGCTGTGGATTTATTGGTGATTTGCTCAGATGGAGCCAATGCATTCAGATGATGACATGGAAGGTTTTGTCGATGAAGCCTCCAAGCAACTGAATTCCCCATATCTACGTGGAATCAATGGAGAGCCTGAGGTTCTTCCGCGTGTTGGAGATCAATACCAGGCAGATATCCCTGTTCTAGTCCCAGAATTTGATCGTTTCAAGCTCATTAGATGCTTTGGATCAGAGCCTCACCCGCAGAGCCTGGTTACATTTTGTTTGCCTATCCCACTTATGTGGACAAGAAGTGAGAAATTCAAAAGTTTCCGTGAGGCCGAGAGCGAACAAGAGAACGATGTTTCCTTGGTAAAATCTGAACCGGCTGCCAGGATGAAACCAAGGAGTGTTGTGCTTGCATTGCCATGCCAAAGAAATGCTAAGTTCAAATTCGTGTGGCTCGATGAGACCCTCTATCCATTCCCTGGGACTATGGGTGAATCTTGGGAAGACGCTGAGCAGCAGAGGTTTCTTCTTGGCCTCTACTGTCTTGGGAAAAACCTTGTCTTGGTGCAGAGAATTGTTGGGAGCAAAAAGATGGGAGATATGCTCTCATACTATTACGGCAGATTTTACAGGTCTAATGAATACCGGAGATGGGTAGATGGGCGCAAGTTGAGAAGTAGACGCTCTGTTCAGGGCCACAAGTTATTGACTGGTTGGAGGCAACAAGAATTGCTATCTCGGATCTCGTCTCATGTATCTGAGGAATGCAAGAGTATGTTGCTCCAGGTACGTATAACGTATGCTTCTCTGGTTTTCTGAAAAACTGAAATGCAGAATGTTGAGAGTTGTATCTGTTGTTGTTGTTTTGTAGGTATCTAAAGCATTTAGAGAAGATAAGATTGCACTGGAGGAGTATGTGTTCACTTTAAAGAATACTGTTGGTATCGACATGCTTACAGAAGCTATTGGTATAGGTAAAGGAAAGAAAGATCTGAGCAACTGCGCGTTAGAGCCAACCAAGTTGAATCATGGCAACTCTGAAGTACGAATACGAAATGATCTTCCGATTGCAGATATTGTCAAATTCTTAACCGGAGAATATAGGATGAGCAAAACCCGGTCCAGTGACCTCTTCTGGGAAGCTGTTTGGCCACGTTTGCTGGCAAGGGGGTGGCACTCTGAGCAGCCGAAAGATGGTCCAAGGAATTCTCTTGTTTTTCTCATACCGGAAGCCAATAAGTTTTCCAGGAGGAAGATGTCAAAGGGGAATCACTACTTTGATTCTCTCACTGATGTCTTGAACAAAGTTGCTTTAGATCCCACGCTTCTTGAGCTCACAACTGATGAGGATGGAGAGAAGAAAGAAGAGGTAATCAAGAATGACCCGCCCATAAATTTAGAGGAGTTTGATGATTCTTCACATGACAGCAAGAAGAAGAAGAACAACAAGAAAAGGTACCTACAGCCACGTAGCAAAACAAGTAAAAGTCAGGAGGTCACGATGTTTACGATTGTGGACACCAGTGAGGCGAATGGATGTACATTGAAAGAGCTAAGATCTCTGCCTGTCGAGACCGGCAATTCAGTAGCAAACTCCCCAAGTTACTTGAGTGAATCTGAGGATAACCTGTCAGAAGAATCTGAAAACAAGGCAGAGACGACGACTGCTAAATCAATGGCTTCAAGAGTGTGCGGTGGGGGCAGTATTAGTTCTGGTAAGAGCAGCTCTGTGAACATGGACAATTCCACGAGTCGAAGCACCATTTCGCTCTGTGAGAACCGTAGATGCGGGAGACCAAGAAATCCAAAGTTGTTACCCGTCTGCGCCAAAAGGAGTAGCTTGGCAGATTGTACCGTGAGAGAATCAGGTTGTTTTGGTAAAACTCAGTATAGGAAAAAGAAACCAGTGAAAAACGGGACACAGATGAGACCAAACCCATCAGAAGCTGATCAAAACGTAGTGTTGATGAGGGAGGAGCATATCGATCAAGATCAAACTCTGAAACTGTCCTCAACCGATTCCTTTGTAGATGATAGCTCCTGTGGAAGAAATGAAGATGGCCATATATCACCAGAAAGAACCAGAGAAGATTTCGACTTGAACGTTTCGCAAATCTCACTAGAACGCGAAGATAATGGTACTGATACTGTCATCACAGACATGGTGCACAACAGTGAGAGTTCTTGTGCCGAACAGTCATCTGTGCCAATGGATGTGGAAATGCAGTGTAAGCCACAGGAGCTGCAGGTAACCGGTGATCTGCTTCCTGGGCGGAGGCAGAGTACAAGGACCCGACCGTTGACTACAAAGGCACTGGAAGCTTTTGCTTTCGGGTACCTTGGTAACTCGAAAAAGAAGAGAAAGGCTAAGGAGGAGTCAAGAAGCAAGTCAAGCAGAACAAAGTCTACAAAGCGCATCCATCGACACTCACTTGTGTCCTCTGGCTTCAGAAACGGAACTGTGGAGGATGGTTCGAACACTGACGAGTATGAATAGTCTTGGCTTTGATCTGACCTTTACAGTCTAATTTCATTTTACAGTTTATATATCTCAAAAATGCGTTTTAGCTTCTTCTTTTTGCTAAAATTTATGGGAATGCATGTTAACTAATAGTGTTAGTATTATTTTACCTTCTTTTCCATAGATAAATGGTGTGATGATTATCATTTCCAAAAGTAAGGGTTGTTATTCAAAACTAAATGACTTTTAAAATCTTTGTATATTAAGTCATTTCAAATCAATTCCAATAAAGTGTTATAGTAAACTAGGTGAATACCTGCACATAACGTGTGGGTTTTTCTTTTTAACAATTTTCAAATCTTATATAAAAAAAATATAATTTTTTTTTGTTATGTATGTTAGTATGTTATTACAAACAATTTTAAAAATTTTATATATAAAAGAAACAATCTTAAAAATTAATTTAAAATACAATATCATAAATATAAAAAAAATATAATCATTATTTGCGATATGTATTAGTATGTTATTATAAATAATTTTAAAAATTTTATCCAAAAGAATTAAAAATCAATTTAAAATATAATATCTTTAAAAAAAAGTTAAGAATTATATAAAATTACAATAAATATCAATTATTATCAATCAATTAATAAAAAACTGTTTATATTCTAGTGTTTTAAAACTTGATATTAAAATTTTTTTTTAATAAATGATAACTTTAAATTATAAAAGTGACACATGTCATCTCCATATCAATTTAAAATGATGATGTGTCACTCATATGGAGAGAATTGATCATCTTTTATATATAAGATTATTAGAATCAAAATCCAATGTATATTGCAGAGATTTTAGAATCTAAATAAATGAATCCATAAAACTGATATCAAATTTTAAATCTAGAAGATTATAAAACCTAGAAAATTCATTTTTAAATTCATTATTGAATAACATCCCTAACACATGAAATCCCACATGCATTTGAAAGAACCGGATAGTCTTGTCATTTACCTATTCCACGATAAATCTTTCAAATAAACTGAAATCTCATGTGTTGGTTTTCTAACGATTTTCTCATTAATGACGATAGAGAGATGAAGCTAATGGTGACCAATAACCTGAGTATTTGAGACATCTTTTGCTTGATTGTGTGTTTGTTTTGAGAACGTTGAATTTGAATACGTACAAGTTCAAGTATTGGCTCAGGTTCAAGTTCAACTATGTTCACAACAAGTATTTGAACTACGATATAGTTGTAAAACAGAATTGGTTCATTGTGTATTTTTTTCAAAGCTGTACTTGTTGCAGCTATTGCTGAGCAGTTTTCACTTGTCATTTCTTTCAAACACCAGAGCTAATTACTGAGGCAAGGAGTTCTTAAGACTAAGCTGAATGCTGACACGAGCCACATTAGGAGCTGCCTTCAGAATCTCCTTCTCTGCATCTTCAGCAGCTCTCATGGCGTCCCTGCAGATAAGCCAAATACTTGTCAGATGGTTACAAGAGTAACCAAATAAATGGCGTACAAGTGCAGAGATGGAAGAGCTTTACTGAATTGTCATGGTCGATGGCATTGCGACTTCGATTTGGAGCAAGATCTTGCTGTGCGACAAGTGGGGTGTAACTCGTTTGATCGTCATTTTCTGCAGATATGTGGAAGATTCAATTGGCTTTAAAATTAATAAACAGAAATAGCTGGAGGTTGAGTTAGGTCTGAATTATAGAAACAATAAACAGAGCACCTCAGAAAACTGTGACGAAAAAATGTCTGAGACAGTGGCTTCGACATGTTTAATCTCTACGCAGATGTTACTTTCTTGATTACTTTCCATATTTGTATTATCGTGATCCATCATGCTACATGAAAAATGTAAAAAGGCTGGATCTGCAAGGACAAGTTGAGATTATAGCTAAGACCAACAAGCAATGGATACCTATATTTTCACAGTGCAGCATGCTGCATACCTATATGAATGAAAACTTCAGAGACTTCAGGATGGTTCTCATTGATCTGTCTCCGTACATATTCTCCTACCTCATGTGCAACACTCACACTGGAAAAGGGATCTACCTGTAAGGAAAAGGCGGTAATTAATTATTTTTCAGAGAGAATTTTTTCTAGTCGATACAGAAGGAAGCAGCGCTCGCCGCTCACCACAATGTGTACATCAAGATACAACGATGAGCCAGCTCTCCTACCCCTTAGCCGATGACATCCCTATGGATAAGAAAAATATTGACATTCATTAGCAATCACTTACAAAAAAAAAAAAAAAAAAGCTTTCTGATTAAAGAGAGACTGCATCTAGAAAAGAAAATACTATATATCAATGTTTATTTATTCGAATGCCTATCATCGTGATATGTACAGGGATCCATAATCCATACCTTGACTCCTTCAACCTGTAATATGGTTTGCCTTACTGGCTCTAATTGCTGAGCTGGTATAGCAGCATCCACCAGTTCCAAGACACTAAACAAATGAAATGAAATTTCACCAATGAAAATGGTGTAACCATTATTCCATGTTCAAGCTAATACACCCTTTATATATATACACCCTCAGAGAAAGGCGTGAGTACCTTTGGTGTCCCGTTTCCAGTCCAGCTTTGAAAATCATTGCCGAGACAACAAGACCGGCTAGGGGATCTAAAAAGTGAACTCCGAGAATAGAACCTCCTGCAGAGAAGTAATTTTTCATGATTTTTCCAAAACTTCACGTCTCCCTTTATTAACAGCCATATGCTTTAAGCATTTACTCGTTGGATATAAATGCTTACCAACTCCAACCAGTGCAACTACAGAAGAAATTGCATCTGATCGGTGATGCCATGCATTTGCCATCATCAATCCACTCCCTCGTTTTTCTCCTGCTCGTTTTGTGATCCAGTAAAGCCTGAGAAGCATAAGGTTCAGGCAGAATGATCAAAATAAGCGAACAGATATGGATGAAGGAATAGCACCAAAAAAATATATTTCCAAATCTCTTCCTGTTTCAGTGATAACTACACAAATCGGGAGAAGCAAATCTAACCAAAGTAAATCAAAACAAGTTAATATTGTCTACTTTGAGCCGAGGTTAAGCTATGAGCTATCACAAACTTGTTGAATATAAAGAGTGATAATAAACTATCTTTTGTACCCTTCCTTGATAGAAATGGAAGCAATAGTCACACTCAAAGCGAGAATGGGATGACTCATATCAATTCCGTGATGATGTCCACCATGAATCTGCTGAACCACCTCAGGAGCTGCGGACAGTGCACTCTACATATGCGAAAGGAAGAGAGAAAAAGATATCTCAGCGCCAACTCACATTAGCATAGATAATGTGCACATTATAGTAAACCAAACATCTAAAAATGTTTTTTTCCCTTCTTTTCTGTAGAGCGACCAATGCAGGATCGTTACAGTGAAAGTTGAGCTGGAGAAACCTTAGTCTTTATTTATAGTAGATATCAATATCTCATCAGTCAAATCCAATGGGACATGCTAAAACCAACGATTTGGAGATGAAGATGAGCATAATACTAGTGAAAAATGAAAGAGCGAAAAAAAGAGAGAGTCATCTGTAAAAGCTCATACAAGTAAAAGGTGGAAAGCATGCCACGCAATACCACAGCCAGTTGCCAAAAGCATGCCAGAGATTCCGAGGGCTCCGAGAGTTTCAAATTTACCGTGACCTGCGGGAAGGAGAAATTCGTGTGGAAAACGTAAAGCTCCTAAAAAAAATAACAATCCAAGCTAGTGATGGGGAACCAACCAACCATAGGGATGTTCTTTGTCCTTAGGAACATTTGCAGCTCTGTAAGAGAAGAGAGCAACACCACTTAGAACCTGAGAGAGAGAGAGAGAGAGAAAGAAAGGATCGTTTCACAATTTGTGTGTATGCATGAATCGAGAGAATCATTGAAAGGGATTATTACCACATCGGAAACGGAATGAGCAGCGTCCGCGATAATCGCTGTGCTGCCGCAGAGATAACCGGTGAGAGCTTTTCCGACAGATAAACCGATATCTGCGGTGAGACCAAGCCGGAAAATCTTCTCCCCTTCTTCTTTAGACCTTTGATGTTGGTGATCAGATTCAGGGGGGTGAGAGTGCCCAAAATGCCACCTTCTGGGGAGATCGAAACTAGGGTTTTCCGAGGAAGATTGCCGGAGTGGTGACTGTAGAAGATGATGACGGTGAAGGGATAATCGAGAAAGGGACGACCTACAAATGGTTTTCAGCACGATACCCATTCAGCTAATCGAATCAATCAGAAGAAACCAACATCGGATCTATCTCTGTCTCTAGGATTTCAAGATCAAAATCGATATCCACAATCTGATCAAAGACTGACTCACTCCAAAGACAATTCCTTTTCTTTTCTTTTCTCTCTCTCTCTCTTTTTTTTTTTTTGGCCGTCTTGAGTTTTTAATTTAGAAAAACAGAGTATTTCAAAACCACAATGGCAGTTTCCATCCTTCCCAAGCTTGAGTTTTGATTGTATCCTTTTACCTATCCCATTGTTTATTGATGATAAGTAGTGAAAAGCAGTTCATCGATTAGAAAATGCTGAGTGTTTTTAAGGGACGATCGGATTTCAGGTCACACGTTAGCTCTGTAGACTTTCCTGATGTTCGAGTCCACAGATCCAAAGCTTATTTCCCAGCCTAACTCAGCAGTTTTCTATCAAAGGCTTTTAGATTTGAAAGCCTTTGTTAGAGCATTGCATATGGTAAAACCAAAGAGCTTGTTCTGCCTTGTTTTTCAACTCCACATGTTCTTGATGATTGAGGCTTGACTACTGTATAATGAATTCAACTTTGTTAATCAACTCTCCCTTTATTACCAAAAATGGAATACACTAAAAAGTCTTCTCTAAACAGGCAAACAAAGAAAAGCTCAGAGATTGGTGTATCCTCTATACACATCCATCAACTCAGGCAACTCCTCCTCGTACTTGATCACGAGCTTCTCCAAGAACACTTTCTCCACAGGGACCAACAATGACGTCAAGCTCCAGTCTTGCTTCACCATCCCCTTGGATGCCAAAACCTTAATCACGGAACATCTTGGGATAATCCTCTTGTCTAGGCTGAAGAAGAGAACGACGGGACACTTTGCGATCGATCTAGGCGCCAGATTCATCTCCTTGACAAGAAACTCCATCGTCGTGTTGATCTTCCTCTCCGAGAGCATCATACAGTGCGGGTGCTTATTGAATGCGCACATGATGTCGTCTGCGGACCAGCCCCATCTCTGGTAGACCTCGAAACACTTGTCCCATATGGACTTGTTGCATTTCCCAGAGAGAGCGTGAATGGCCAGCACAAAGGTTGATTTTTGGGGATTGAATCCCATGGCTTTGGCCTGCGTCGTGATTGCGCGGAAGTCGTGGTTCTTTTGCATCACAGCCTCGGGGAAATGGGTGAGGAGGAGCTGGATGCATTTATCGGGGACGCCCATCTCGGACATGTAGTTGATGTTGGGGACGAGGTTCTTGGTGTGGTCCTCGAGGAAAACCCAGGTGGTCCGGCGAAGCGCAGCGACGATCTTGGTGTCGGAGTCGAGAACGCTCTTGAGGAAATTGTAGGAAGGGATAAGCTGGTTGGCGAGGCTCCTGGTCAAGATGGTGGGATCAGAGGCAAGGGTTCGGGCGAGTAAGGATTTGGAGACGCCGATGGAGAGGAAGAATCGGAGTTTTGGGAGGAGAACGGATTGAGCATTGGCGAGCAGCAAAACGGGGCGTTTCTTGACGAGGCTGGAGATCTGGGCGGTGGAGAATCCATGGTCGCGAAGGAGGCTCAGGACGGTGTTGGGGCGTTCGGGAGAATCAAGCAGGAGCTTACGAGCGGCTACGATGGCGTAATCCGGAGATAACCCACAAGAGTCGACAAGATAATCAATGGTGAAGGAGAGTCTCTTGTGCTCATCATCTTTAGGGTTTTTGGTAGAAGAAAACTGAGCGTGAAGAGAGAAGACGCAGAGTGGTCTCCGATTACAAGGCAGTAAGGAGAAGGTTGTTGTTGTTGTTGTAATCCGAAAGGGAAAGGGAAAGGAAAGGAAGTGCCTTGTCCTTTGAAGAGCCATATGTGGGAGAGACTCAGAGAGAAGAGACACTCTTTAACTCTGCTGAATGCTATACACTATTCGTCTTCTTAGGGTGGGCCGATCTATCCTTAAATGGGCTTATTTATGGTCTTAATGGGCTAAACAAAAAAAGGTGACCACTTGTCTCTCTCTCTCTCGCTGAGAGAGAGGGTTAGTAAGTGCAATGAAACTGCCCTCTTTTTTTTTCACATGTTGGCCACTCGCGCGCTATCCTCGCCCAAGGACCTTACCGTCATTCTCACAAAAATAACAATTAATTAATAATTACTAATTAGTTTACTGCAGGAAAAAAAGACAAAATTTATTTGTTTTCTCTCAAGAAGTAGTAGTATTTTCTCTTGGAAATATCTTCCCGTCTCTGGGATTCTTTTACTTGACGACCCAAGGACCAAGAGAGAACAAAAAAGAAGAAATACTACATAAAAAAAATGTGAAATTAATCGAACTACAAAAACATAAAATAAAAAAGAAAAGAGAGAGAGAGAGAGAAATTGAAAGCTAAAAAAAGAAACACTGCAGAGGGCAGACCGTACGGTATTTCCTGAAGGGCGAAAGAGGAGAGAGAGAGAGAGAGAGAGGAAGAAGAAGAAAGAAGCTCAATCAATCACTGTCGAAGAAGCATCTCCTCTCAGCTTTCGTTGTAATCTCGCCCTCGAAATCGGCTTCTCCGGTAAATCTCCGACTTTTTTGACATTTCTCCATTACTCTCTCTCTCTCTCTCTCGCTAGAGGGGGTGTGTAGGTGTGTAGGTGAGTTTTACTAACTTTACTGTACAACACGAAATCCCTAAAAAAAAAAGGGCTTTCGATGGACATGTATGGACGCAATCCGCCGATGAATGCCTCTCAACCCGCTGAATGGACCCCCGGAGATGCCGACACCGGCCTCGATGGTCTCTTCTTCCTTTCCTCCTTTTTGATTCGCATGCGCCTTGATTCTCAGCTGCAGCATGTCCTTTTTAGGGTTTCCGCGACTGAATTTGTTCTGCTCTTAATCTGCAGAATCGATGTGGCAATTAAGGCTGGGCAGTGAGACGTACCCAGAGAGACCAGGTGCCCCTGACTGTGCCTACTACATGCGAACTGGTGTCTGTGGTTACGGCAATAGATGTCGTTACAACCATCCTCGCGATCGTGCCACCGTACTTTCTCCTCTTTCTTTCTCTGCAACCATTCTAGGAATTAACTCCTTTTTTTGTATCCGTAATGTGGAAAGTCATAAGCTTTAGTCTTGGAACAACTTGTTACTCTCTGCATTTCCCTAGCCTGTTTTCTTCTTACTAGTGCTCCGAGAATGTAGCTTCTATGATGCTCTATGGCCAGACATTTGCTTTAATAAACAGCTTGCAAAGCTCTTTTGCATCTATGTAGGTTGAAGCAGCTGTTAGAGCTACCGGTCAGTATCCTGAACGCATAGGTGAACCCCCTTGTCAGGTAACCCCCGACGAGTCATCTTGAATCTTCTATTGATAAAACATCTCTTTTTTCTTTCTTTCTTTTCTAGTGATTATCGAGCCTGTATATTTCTCGGCTTATTTATTTTATTTTTTTGCAGTTTTATTTGAAAACTGGAACCTGTAAATTTGGGGCTTCATGCAAATTCCACCATCCAAAGAATGCAGGTGGATCCATGAGCCACGTTCCTTTAAATATTTATGGATACCCAGTACGAGAGGTTAGCTTTGTTTCCTTGTTTATGTACATTACCATGTACAACAAATCTAATACAGGTCTGTTTTTGGGTTTCATGCTCTGTTAATAAAAATATATTGAAAAAAACTCTTTGTAGGGTGAGAAAGATTGTTCCTACTATTTGAAAACGGGGCAATGCAAATTTGGTATAACCTGTAAATTTCATCATCCTCAGCCTGCTGGTACAACAGTTCCTCCACCACCAGCATCTGCACCTCAGTTTTATCCATCGGTGCAGTCACTAATGCCTGACCAGTATGGAGGTCCATCCTCTAGCTTGAGAGTTGCAAGAACTCTTCTTCCCGGTTCCTATATGCAAGGCGCCTATGGTCCCATGCTATTAACCCCAGGGGTCGTTCCTATTCCAGGCTGGAGTCCTTACTCGGTACCCCTTTTACATCCTTGTATCATCAATACAATTTTCTTCTTCTTTTTGTCGACCAATTCAATACAACTGCCACTTTTTTTTTTGTCTACTCTCTCTCTCTCTCATACTTTTGCTTTTGATCCAGGCACCTGTGAGCCCTGCTCTATCTCCTGGTGCGCAGCACGCTGTTGGGGCAACTTCTTTATACGGAGTTACACAGCTCTCTTCCACCACTGCTTCGCTTCCCCCCGGGGTTTATCCATCTCTGTCTTCCCCGACAGGTATTCTTCAGAAAGAACAGACCTTTCCAGAGAGACCCGGTGAACCAGAGTGCCAATACTACCTAAAGACAGGAGATTGTAAGTTTGGAACATCTTGCAAGTTCCATCATCCTCGAGATCGGATCCCGCCAAGAGCTAATTGCGTCCTCAGCCCCATTGGCCTTCCTCTACGCCCGGTATGCTCCTTATTAAAAAAGCCATGCACGTTTGACAGTTACAATCTCTGGGCTCAGATCATAATCTCTTAACTTGGGTTGAAAACAGGGTGTGCAACGCTGCACCTTCTACGTACAAAACGGCTTCTGTAAGTTTGGATCAACATGTAAATTTGATCATCCAATGGGAACCATCAGATACAATCCTTCTGCGTCCTCTCTCGCTGATGCACCGGTGGCTCCTTACCCAGTGAGCTCTCTCTTGGGTGCTCTTGCAGCCGCCCCTTCTTCTTCATCGACTGAGCTCATATCTGGCGCTGCAAAAGATCCCTACTTGTCCGGTCTGCCTACTTCAAGAAGCACATCTAACATCTCTGCAGGTTTGATATTCTCCCAAAGCACCGGCGGCTCAGTTCCATTCTCTGACCTGCAACTCTCGAGCCAGACCTCTCTTCCTCTTACCGGTAGCAGAATCACAAGACAAGGCCGCGAAATTCGTCGATCCTTTTGAATTGGTACGGGCTCTGGATCACCTTTTGCAATTCTTAATCTATATGATTATTATTATTAATATATATAGAAGCATGTGATGTGAATTTATATATATAATCCCCGTCCCTAAACCCAAGAAAGAAAAAAAAAAAAGCTTTTTGGGTAGAAACTGAGTGAGAATCATATATATATAAGAGCAAATGTATATGTGCATATATCAGAAGCCAAAGACAACAAAACCAAAAAAAAAAACAAGAAAAAGGCTTCATTTTTTTTTTCCTGTGTATAATGTTTGTATAGAGACGGACAAGGTTTCTTTGTTTTGTCCGTACTTCTACTTCAGATCCATTGTGGCTGAAAAAAAAAAAAACAAAAACTCAAATTCTCTTCTTCGTTTAGATTTTTTGTAATTGTTTTTTTTCCTTTGCGAATCGGTGACGTACGAACTTCTCTTTGTGTTAAGATATGTTCTTAATTTGCAGTTGAAACATGTGTGTAGTTACTGTTTTACTTCTTCGCACGTCAGATATGTTATGGTGAGGAAAAACCGTTGTACATGTTACTACATACTAGTCGTTTCCCCCGCAAGAGTTAACTTGTAGACATAAAACAAAAATTAGAAGCAGCCCAAATAAAAAGAAAATATAGAGTTATGAAAGGGCTTTTATACGAACTAAGCCCAGTAATTACCGGTTAGCCTTATCGGCCCACCAAAAATCTTACGGATCGAAATACAGGTGTAAGAAAAAAAGTAGTAAGAGATTTTTCTTACAGGTAAAGACTTGTTTGCATCATCATGTTGTCAACGCGTTGTACTGATTCTGATCAAAAGGGAGAAAGAATCTTAAGACCTCTCTAAATCTATGGACGGTCGAGATGCTAACTCAATTAATAATTTCTATTTTATATAACCGGTTCTGCGTCTTGTCACGTCCTCGCTTCCCCGACAAGGCATTTATTTATCTTTCTTACCAGAATTTAGATGAGGATATTTACAAGGGAATAATGAATTAAGAAGGAACATAAAGCTATATCAATGACAAAATTCTCTTACCATACTATTATTATTTTTCTAAGTAGTTTTATTTTTTCTTCTAAACAACTTTATATACCAGAAGAAAAACAAAGAAACTATCTAGTCATAACAAAATATCGCATTATATAAACATACACAAAGAGCTCGTGTTGCATGTGTCATAGCATCAAGACTCTCTTCTACGAGCTCGACAAGGACCCATATGGCCGAGACATGGAACGAGCTCTCTTCAAGACCTTCGGTTCAAACCAGTCTATCCCGGCGGTTTTTATAGGCGGGAGATACGTCGGCTCAGCTAAAGACGTCATCTCATTCCACGTGGATGGCTCGCTTAAGCAGATGCTAAAGGACTCCAAAGCCATTTGGTTGTGATTACTATTAATTCGCGTACATATATATATACGATCTACACTTGTTTATTAAGGCTATACATAATACATATATGCGGATGTGTCTTAAATGTGTTGACACCATGAATTATAGTATAAGATTATGCATTTCTTGCTCCCCCTCCGTGTCAACTAATATTGACCTAATCTCCAAGACAAAGAGCATAAATCTTCTATAGGTGCTATACCGTTTTTTAGTTAAGAATAAAAGAGATACGCAAATGCTTAGCTAAGCCTACAAAATAATCGGAAAAGTAAACAAATTAAGAATAGAGCAGCTGATAACTCATGCGTGTGATCCACACGTGCGTCCGGAAGAGAAACATTAGGAAAGCAAAGAATAATATATAAGAAGAAAGAAAGAACATTTATTTTATTTTTTTAAAAGAAAGAATATTTGTCTTTGGCAAGTTGATGTTGGCGGAATCACCATGTACTATGCATATATATGTTTTTTTTTTTTTTTTTAGTCTATTTTATTTTATTTCATTCCAACCCTTCAAAAGGAACATCGTTTTGATTACAGGAGTGAATAAAAAAGACCCAAGAAAAAGAAGTAGAAAATATATAGGAAACACATGTGAAACGGGAAATGAGTAGTCAAGGCTGTCACAGCTGGATGTATTTGAACCAAGTGTATATGAAGCTTTCGTGATCAGGAGAAATGGAAGAAGTCTGACGGGAAAGGCTTTGAATTTCCTTGCGATCCATACTAGCAAGCTTAGCTCTGATGATTAGTTGAATTTCCCTGATAATAATAGAGGTTGACTTAAAAATTGCATTGTGCAACCGTGAGTTTCGTTCTCTCCATAAGGAATAGACCACCGCTTGTAGAACGATCTTGAAAATAGTATTAAGCTTTGCATTCCGAGAAGGATTACGAACCCAGGAGACTATATCAAGAAGGAGAGTAGGAGGCGAGAGAGTCCGGTGAGTGAAGAATGAGGTCCAAACTTCCTTGGAATAAGAGCAATCGAACAGAATATGAGCTTTGCATTCCGGATAAGAGTTACACAAAAGACACTCTTCTGGGACATTCAAACCCCAACTACGCAAACGGTCCCTTGTTGGTAATCTGTCACGCATAAGGATCCAAAAAACAAAAGCTTGTTTTGGAATGCAATCTCTAAACCAAGTAGATCCGTACTAAGGGACAGCTGGGGCTGGCGGATGAAGGAGTTTCCAAGTTTTAGAAGTTGAAAACATACCCGGAGGTTCATTTGCAGAGTTTCTCCAAAGGAAGAAATCCTCTTGTTCAGAAGAAGTATCAGGTGGAATTTGGGGAAGACAGCCCCGCAGCAAAACCAGAATCGGATGTCTTCCGTTTGAAATAGCCCATAAACCATTTGTGCATGCTTGAGAGACCGTTGCAGATGAAGATATTCCAGTAACCGTTGGACCAGGAGGTCCAGTTAAATCAATTAGGGGTCCCAGAGAAGTCCAATCACCATGCCAGAACAGAGCTTTCCTTCCATTTTTGACCTGACAGGCCATAAAGGAACGCGCCATGACTCGAAGCTTCAACAGTTTCCGCCAAATCCAGCTCCCGGACCGATTGAAATCTGCGGACCAAAGAGTTTCTCCTTAATAATATTCTTCTTGATCCAGGCAACCCATAGAGACCCGTTTTCAGCAAATATCAGCCAAATCAATTTTAGACTGTAGACTTGGTTGGAGTCTTTAATCTTCCTCAAACCCAAACCTCCTTCTTTCTTAGGAATACAAACATAGTTCCAAGCAATTTTGGCCCCGCGGGCAGAATCAGACGCACCACTCCATAAGAATGCATTGCACACCTTCTCAAGGAGGTCGATGCAACCTTTTGGCAAAGGAAAAACTGATGCCCAAAAGTTTATGATGCTGAAGAGAACCGATTGGATAAGTTGAAGCCTTCCTGCAAAGGAGAGATGACGGACAGTCCATGATGAAATCCTTGCTTTGACTTTATCAATTAAAGGTTGATAATCTTGAGGTTTCATCTTATGAGGTAACAAAGGAAGGCCAAGAAATCTGACCGGAAGAGACCCCTGCTGTAACCCAAACGAGTCCGCTAATTCTCGAGAAGCCACCAGATTATTTCCATCAACAAACAGACAAGACTTACTCAGATTTAGAGCTAAACCGGAAACCCCTTCAAAATCACGCAAAACACGTAATATACCGTCCAAAGACCTCTGAGATCCATCAAAGAAAATGAGAACATCATCTGCAAAACTCAAATGGGTAATGAGAGGCTCATGACAAAGAGGATGAAGGTTAAAAACACCTTCACGAGCTGCCCTATCCAAATCTCTGGATAGAATATCCATTGCCAAAACAAAAAGAGATGAGGAAATGGGGTCACCTTGCCTTAACCCTTTTTTTCGGGGAAAGAACCCTACTAATTCTCCATTAAGAGCCACCGAGTAGTGAGGAGTGCTGATACACTGATTAATCCATTCAATAAAACCATCAGGAAGATCATAAGCTTTTAGAATATTTAACACAAAATTCCATTCCACACTATCATAAGCCTTTGAAATATCGATCTGTAGACAGCCCCGAGAAGTATCACCAGGTTTATTGAAATCGACTACAAGTTCGGATGCAAGAAGAACGTTCTCGCACAGTAATCTGCCTTGAACAAACCCTGCCTGATTTCTTTGCACTGAGTCAGCTGTAAAAAGCTTGAGCCGAGAAGCCAAAATACGGGAAATAACCTTGTAGACTGTGTTACATAAGGATATCGGTCTAAATTGTCTAAGCTTAGAAGCTCCAGGAACCTTTGGAATTAGAGCAATGACTGTGGAATTCACTTGCCTGTGCATTGAGGATGTCAAGAAAAACTCCTTAACTGCCTTAATTAAATCGGCTCCAACTAAAGACCAAGAAGAGATGAAGAACTCGACAGTAAACCCGTCAGGCCCAGGGGCTTTACTCTTGGGTAAGGAAATAACAGAAGCTATGATCTCTTCATCGGAAGGAATAACACACAGCTGGGCTGAAATGGCGCTTGAACATCGAAAAGGATGAAGACTCTTTAAGTGATCAACAGAGTAGGGGTGGACGCCTGGATTTGCAGATCCTAAAAGGTCCATATAATACTGTGTAACCATATTTTTAAGCTGAGGAGGATCCGAAATTCTGACATTTGCATTGTCGAAGAGAAAGTGGATTATATTCCTGGAAAGATTGGCAACAACAGACTTGTGGAAGAACCTGGTATTAGAATCTCCCTCCGACATCCAGCGAATTCGGGACTTGAATCTGAAGAAGTTTTCCTCAGCAGACGCGAGAAATAACCACTTATCTTTAGCTATTTTCTCATCTTCGAATAAAGCTGGAATTGGGTTGGATAACAGCCTTTTTTGAATAGACTCCAAATTCTCAAAATCCTCCTTGGTCCTAGACTGAATGTTACTGAAACTGCGTTGATTCAAAGACTTGCAGCAAAGTTTCGCGGACCTCAAACGCTGATATAAGGTAACCATATGACCCGCTGGGTTGACCAAACAGTTCCAAGCACATGCCATAAGACCTGAATACTCCGGGTGAGAAGAATAAAAAGAGAAGAAGGTAAAGCGAGTCTTCCTCCTTACAGATTCGTTTGACAAGGAGACAATGCAAGGGGAATGATCAGAGCTTCCCGGGGCATCAAAATAAGCGCTTGAGGAGGGAAAACTGTCCTGCCAGCTTTCATTAATGAGAGCTCGGTCAAGCTTCCTGGACTTGGGGTTTGAGGGGCTCTTGTTGCTCCAGGTAAAGAAGCATCCCCGATGGGAAAGATCGAATAAGCGAGAAGAAGACAGACAGTCCTGGAGATCGTTCATACCTTGAAGAGAGACGATGCTCGGATGGAGGGAGTAAGCTTCCGACAAGGATAAAACTTGGTTGAAATCGCCCATGACTAACCAAGGATGATTGCCTAGAAGAGTTGAATTAGACAAATGGTCAATCGTTTCCCACAGAGAACGCCGTTCAGAGTATGTGTTCCGAGCATAGATGAGGGCTACAGTAAATGATTGAGTGGAGACTGGATTAAAAATTCCGCAGAGCATAATCTGGTCTGTCTTCATATAGGTAACAACTGATAGAAGGGGATTCCAAATGACCAGAATTCTTCCGTTTACTGCTTCCTCCGAATGGTTTGAATCAAAATTCCATCTAGGGAACACTTGCCGCATGAACTGATCTAAATTTTCTTGTTTCACATGTGTTTCCAAAAAGCCGCCAAATAAAGGACGGTTGGTGGAGAGCCACCTCTTAACTGATAACTGCCGAGAGTCGCCACAAAGGCCTCGTATATTCCAACAAAAACACTTCATAAGAAGTCAAAAGGGGAGTGCAGAGCACTAGGCTTTTAAAACTAAGGACAAATTGCAAGGGCAATTTTCCTTAGAGCCAGAATCAGGAATAGAACGAGGAGATCGAGACGATGACGGGCCAGATGCAGAAGCAGATAATAAAAGGAGGGTTTGACGTTGTTTCCTTCTAGCATTACGCCGAGCTGATGCGGTAACAAAATGGGGAGCTTCAGCTTCAAAAGCAGCTATGCGCTGCCTCATTATACGCTGAGCTGTCTGAATCAGTTCCTCTTCCTCTGCGAACTGAGAAGACGTAACGGGACGAACAACGAGATTCCGAGCCAATTCAGACGAGGAAGGGGAGGGAGGCTTAGACTTTTTCGCAACTCGAGTCCAGCCTCCAGAGTCGCTACCTTCACTTTCCAGAATAGGAGAAGAAGAGCAAGAGGGAAGACTTCTAGAACGAGATAGAGCCGATGGAGGCACATCTGCTGCTGGAGCAATAGTAGGGACTTTAATAATTTGGACACACTGAACCACCAGAGGAACAGGGTTTGCCTTCCCCACAGAATCCGATTTAATACCAGAACTAGATATAATTCCTTCAGGACACCTGAGCTCCAAGTGCCCAAATTCCTTAAATCGCCTACATCGTGGAGGAAGACTAGGATAAGATGCAAAAACAACCACTGAATTTCCCAATTTGTCTGTGACACACACGGACGAAGATCTCTGCTTTGCAAGCTCGACAACAACCTTCAATTTTGCAATGCTGTTTGAGTAAGGAGGAAGCTTCGAAGATTCTGAATGAACAGGAATCCCAATTCCGGAAGCGATGGTACTGAAACCTTGAAACGACCAAAGCTCCTGAGGAAGATTTTTGAAGAGAACCCAAATTGGTGTGTGAACAAGTTTCATCGGTGCCAAATTCGCCAAAGGGGACCAGAGAGAGACGGTGAAAGAGCAATTTCCGGAGTGCCAAAAGCCTACATCTAAAACCCAGTTTCTGGTAACCTCACAAGGTATGTAGATGAGGCAAACTCCAGAAGAGAGACTTTTCACAGAGATTCTCCCTTGCTTACCCTGAATTGGATTTAAATCCGAAAATATTTTCGTTGGGGAAGGAGGATTTCCATGAAAATAAGCAATAAGGTGGTCTTTCCAAACTTGAGAGGATCCAAGGGTGATGGAATCTGGAGCCCTGACAACTGGAGTGCCATCGGAGCCAAATGAAGGAGAAGCCACCTTAGAGAGCTTCTGGTAGAAAGATCTGACTTTCGAAACCCAAGGAGAAGGAAAAGAGTCCTTAAATCCAGAAGCAACAACATCAACTTCTGCAGGAGACGAACCTCCAGAGATAGCCGAAGAGATAACACAGGCCTCCGAAGAGGGAAAGAGGATCTTAGGACAAGCCCCCGCCGGAGCACCCAACTCAGAAATGGGATGGAGGAAAAGTAGATCGGGGGGAACAGGGGGGAGGGAGAAGAGGAGAAGAGAGAGATTCAGTCATAGAGAGAGAGACGAAACAAGAGAAGCGAAGAAAGGGGAGAGGATTATCACCGTCGGCGAGAGGCAAGACGGCGGCGGCGAAGGGTGAAAACCCTAATCGCCTAAGAGCATTTTAAAGAGGAGAGATTTTTTATTCTTAACTTCTTGATTTTTTTCTTTGTCAGGTGCATATATATGTTTTTCTCACCGAAAGCTCGAATCTTTTCTCATTGTTCCTCTCTTTGGCTTAGAGATTCAATCATCGAAGGAGATTTGCTAGGAGAATCCATTAGATTATAAATTGACAGCCTTCTTCTTCTTCGTTTTTTCTTAGTTTATTAAATTTAGGGGCCAATAATATTTTGATAAAATATCCAACATCTCTGTGATGGTTGTTCTAGAGTTTGAGAATGTGGAGCGTTCGATTCCTCGTTATAATTATTTTTGATATATGTTTATATATAAATTTAGACCAATTTTTTTCTTTCCTTTGATCTATAAAAAAAATAATACATGAGTTTTGCTTTAAGACAAAGAGCTTCTATGGCTGAAAGAAAAGAGCTTGCAAAGCCAGAATGAAACTAACTAAGAGCATGTTTATGGGAGAACCCATATTTGTTTTTCTAATTGATATTATATTAATAAATTAATTTGTTCAGACATTTCTTTTTTCTTGAGACCAATACCGTCGCACTACCTGTCACAAATATCATAAGAGTCGATGTTTGTTGGTCTGAAATAAGAGCTGGCTTCAGCAAGATTTAGGTTTTTTTATTTTATTTTTGGTTTAAAAGCAACAAAAAACCCACATAGAACCCTCCTATAAGACCATCATTATCGGGGTATTTAGGGGGTATTTAGATGAGTCTCTAATGTTATTTTAATATTAAAGTTAACAAAAGAGTGAAAATTTTGTGAAAACGTTTCTTATCTGGCGACGATAAGAAACGGTATATTTTGCTACGTGTTACTCGATGAGAGGCTAAAAATTTTTGGGCCAAAAACCCATTTTCTGTTTTGTTTCGACATTTCTTCGAACAGCTTACATGCGCTTCTTCATTGGACAAAACTAACATATCACTCTGGAAGAACAGCAATCTCTGGTGACCCAATTCCTCTCTCACTGTCTTTAATACTACCAAGAAAAATCCGCCCTCGTTTCCGTTGCCGGCGACGTGTTCACTTTCTTCTGTCCACCGTGGTTCAGCTCCTACGCTAAACTCATTCTCTGGGTCAGTGATTTCAAACCTTCCCTCGTCTTCAAACTCACCGAGGCCTCCGTCGACGACCTGACGCGCCACCAGCAAAAACTGATTTCGAGTCTCCGATGAGCGGGAATGGTGGACGGAGAAGAATCAGATGTGGAGGAGAAGAGTCGGTAAGTTTCCAGATGAAAGAAAAACGTTTTTTAAAAGAACCCCCCATTGGACGCTACTAGATTAAGAGTTTCTAATCAAAATTTTTAAACCCAATTTAATATTAAAAAATAGATAAAAAACCCATAAGTGTCTCTCTAAACATGCTCTAAGAATTACAAATGATCTGAGACTTGAGACTTTGATCTTTGCGACGCATACAAGTATCATGGTAATTGTTTTACCAAATTAGTTTGAATATCGGCATATTCGACATACAGTATAAGCTAGTATATAATACCACCGATGAAAATATTAAATAATTTAGGAAATATTTTACGATTTTTTTATCGATGTTTACATGTAAATAAATATTAACACGACTAAAGCCCCAAAAATGCAATGATGTTTATATATCAAACCAAAAAGTAGTGTGCATGTGGGCCATGCCATGCAGAATCACGCACACACGCATCAATTTGTCACTCACTGGCGATCGATGTCAATAAAATTCACGATTAAACTCACAAAAAAGTGAAATTAGTAACAATGTTTCGAATCGTATTCGATCACAATTAATCAACTGCTGAATGGCGATCCAAACAACTGCAGCATTACAGCAGAAATTAAATGAAATTGATTAATAAAGATTTAAAAGTCATAGTAATCAAGTCAAACAGAATACAAATACTGTAATACGAAGAAAAATACTCAAATAGCCTTTTCCGTTGGGCATCTGATATTTATCGTTCTTTTTTTATATTTTCGTATAATAATAATAATAATAATAATAATAATAATAATAATAATAATAATAATTAAAAATTAAATGTTGTTTCTAACAAAAAAGGAAAAATGAAAGAGTAGGAAAAACTCAGTGACTCACGCCCTTCCTATAAATAGGCAAGGGGGTTTCAAGCATTTTTCCATCACTCAAAACCAAAACAAAACACACAACAAGAAGGCCAAATATTAAAAAGCTAAAGATCTCTGATATGGACAAGGTGATGAGAATGTCGTCAGAGAAAGGAGTGGTGATCTTCACGAAGAGCTCATGTTGTCTCTGCTACGCCGTTCAGATCCTGTTCCGTGACCTTAGGGTTCAACCAACGATCCACGAGATCGACAACGACCCTGACTGCCGTGAGATCGAGAAGGCTCTTCTCCGTATCGGCTGCTCTACGGCCGTGCCAGCTGTCTTCGTCGGAGGCAAACTCGTTGGTTCCACCAATGAAGTCATGTCCCTTCACCTTAGTGGCTCTCTCGTCCCCTTGATCAAACCCTATCAGTCACTCCTCTACTAGCTGACTACTGAACCAGCTCATGACTATTCATATATATATATATATATATATATATAATCTTATTAATCAATTAGCTAGCTAGTGAGAATAAAAAATACACTAGCTACTAGCTAGATATTCAGACGAGGTTTTCTTCTGAAATGTGTATGTGTTTAGCTTCTTTTCGTGTTTCAGTCTACTTAATCAACTGGTCTTTGTTGATATACGTATAAGTCTCTCTTAATTTAATTTGTGTTAATGAAAAGAGTATTCAACATGCTTTATTTTCTTTTTGTTAACATTAATTTGGATCTTTAAGTTTCAAAAGAGCTTCCATACGATCTTAACTACGTGAAATACCCAACTGAACCGACGACAACATGTTCTGATAATACTAGGCTAGTCATGGCTTCTCATCATGAAGGTGAAACGGACTATTATTCGGGAAATCTTACTGCTTTATTAATTATGTTAATTGAGTCGGCGGCTTCGGAGATTCGTTTTGTAGTCAAATGCAAACTTGTGATAATTAAATAACATTTTATAAAATATCAAAAACTGCACTTTATTAACTTCTGTACTCTCTAAGGAATAAAAACGTGACGTTAAGTTTTAACTTTGAAGTAACTTGACCACATGAACTCTCCTGATCTGGTTGTTAAAATAAATCTAAATAGCTTATTGAGACCCATTGATCTACCCAATACTAGTCTAAGCGTCGATATTGAGATTTAGTCTTTAGGATTAGTGTTTAGAGTGTACTTTTATTCGCACAAATAAAAAGGAGTGTACTTATTCATGGATGTTTTTTCTTAGCTAGTGCCCATTAATGGAGCAGATATAATTCCAATGGTTAAAATATTAGCATAAACTGATGTGTTTCTACCCTGAAAATTGGGTAAAAAAAAAATGCAATGCTAAGATATTGATGGCCTACTGCGAATAGAAGATCTTTCGCGGTCCAAAGTATACATATCATGGCTAGACGAAATCATTTCTTTATTTTTTTTTTTCATGAGAATCTCTCGTTTTGTTAGTGTGTTCTATTTTGGATACTAACAAAAGATTTTTTTTTAATTTTTTTAAATGACTAAAGCACTAGTTTCTCATAAAAAATTCTTTTGTTTATTCTTTGATAGACAATTTTTCTGTCTTTATTTCGTTGGCTGCTGATTTAATAGAGATTTCCACATAATCAATAAAAAGATGCATATTGTTGAAAGAAGAAAAATTTACTAAGGAATCATTGAATAATAGTTATACACAGAACATAAATTGTCCTCTCAGCTTTGCATCACGATAACGAAGCATATATTTCTTTTCTCATTTCGACTTTTTGCTACTTGAGATCGACTGTAACTGGTTTTTAAATATGATATACATATATCTAACTTTACGGACACTTTTGAACCAAGTAAGATACTAAAATGGAATTTGAGCCTGGCATGCATATATCTATATCAACTATCATTCAATTATTTCCTTTTTTTTTTTAACTTCAAATTTACCAGAATCAAATACACTTTCATTCTTTCTAAAAAAAAATGCTAAAAAATTTTCCAGTCAAAAGCGTTTAAAAGCCTTCAATATAGACCTTTGAGTTTTTATGAAAATATGATTCTCTTCTTGAAATAAAAAGGGTCAGAAGGGAAATAATAAAAGTAGAAGGGGCTTTACAAGATGTACATGGAACAACTTTTCTTGACCTCCAACTTCTTGGGATCTTGGGAGTTGGGAGAATCTAAATCGGAAGTTGTGTATATATAGGACGTGTAAGAACTAAGAATCATATTCTGTTGATGTCCCTCTCGCTGTTACAAGATCCAAGATTCTTTGACCGGCGCGTGAGAAAAGCATACCCCTATCGGCAACAGATTCGTATCCCCACAAAAATATATATGTATAGAGAATCTCTATGATTACTTAGAAAATGGTCCATTTTTTTCTTTTTTGAAAAGCTCATACGAATATTAGAAATTCACTAAATAAGGGAATGGTACAACATTCGGTTTCAATTTAATGTAACAAAAAATTACGTTTTAAGTATACGTTTCGATTTGACTCGGTTAATTCATTTAAATTGATTCTTAGCTGAATTGTTTTTTTTATTTATAAAAGTTTCAATTATGTAAGAAAAAACGAAGAAGCAATATATACAGTAGTGTTTTTTGCAAAATGCCCAAACTAAATAAGTAGCTAATAAAAATCATAGTATAGGAAAGCCACTTTGAACCGATTAAGCAAATTTGAAGGGAAAGAGTGTTGAAGTAGCTAGAGCGCTTGCGAAATCCTGATGCTATACATGACGTCAAAGAGGAGGCTCAGTTTCTGATTGTTGCTTCTTCTAACGTACACGTACGCTTTTAGCTAGGATTATTTGGCTACTTGCGTCTTTGTCCAATTCTTTTACAAATATGTATATGTCCAAATGATATATACTTGTTTGGCTGACAATAAACTTGATTCACCACTCTACGGTCGATATATCCTAGTTATAGATCCATATATATATATATATATATATATATATATATATATAAACTAGGGTTTAAAAGCAGTAATTAGTTTTGGGCCATGTTTTGACAAGTATGCAAAAGCAACCCTAGATTATGGATCGTGCCAGATGTGCAAGTGTTCAAGAGCAGATGGATCTAATTTGAGATGAAGTAGACAGAGATCATGTATGGTGATATTTCGCTGGTGTATAATATATATATATATATATGTTGGAAACAGATGGAGCAGCTCTTATGTGTTTACTACCCATATTGTCATAATTAATGAATTAAGTAGATTATGGTTTTAGTTATATTTCTTCATCTTCAATCGGTTTAATTAAATTAGTACGGTTGGAGATAACTCTAATAATTAATTTTATCGGAGCTACTTGACAAGTAACTTTATGAACTAATGTATATAGAGTATTATCACTAGCTACTAAGTACTAATTATATATATATATATATTAATAGTTTTTATTGAGGAATGATAAGGATTTAGTGGAGTTAATCAAATTTGGATTGATTTATCTTTTAATTGTGGGATCCATTTCCTTTTGTCTAGTAGTAGCAAAACGAAACGAAACGAAACCAAACCAAAAAGAGAGCTCACTTTCGAGCTATGTCGGTAACGTGACAAAGATTTTTTTTGAAAAAAAAATAAAAGACTACACAGACAGATCTCGTGTAGTGTGTATCGCCCGTATTTGGCCACGTCTGCTCTTCCTGGGGAATTTTCTAATTTTGTTTTCTTGAGGACTAATACCGGCAGGGTTTTTCCATATATTTCTTAATTAGAGCTTATTTTGTTCTTGGATAAATATATTTGTCTTGTAAAAATTTTCAACCAAGTAATTTATTGTAGCGAAAATGTATAAATTAATTATATATTCCCGACAGGCTAAGAGCAGATTAATTAAGAAAAGTTGTCTTAGATATTTTCTCAATTCCAAAAAAAAGAAAAGAAAATAAAAACAAAGGGGAGGAATTCACGAGAAGCTGGAGTGTGTTGTTGTTACGCCGTCTGCAGCTTCTTCCGCAAGAAAAGAAACGTTGACTTTGTCAAACAAAAAAACAAATAGTGACGTCACTGAACACGTCACTGAAATCACACACCAGAATGATCCATCCAACAAAAAAGTAAGTAAGAAGAGTAGTAGTAGTTGCAGAGGGGAACCAGAAAATATCATATCATATCATATCAGAGGCCCAAAAAACAAAAACAAAACAGATATTCCTTTCTTCTTCTTATTCTTCTTCAATTGATCTCATCTCATCTCCTCTCCAAAATTGGAAATGGCAGAAGAACTCTTGGGATCGCATCGGGTCTGCGACTATTGCGACTCATCGGTGGCTCTGGTCTACTGCAAAGCTGACTCAGCAAAGCTCTGTCTCGCCTGCGACAAGCATGTCCACGTCACCAACCAGCTCTTCTCCAAACACTTCAGGTCACTTCTCTGCGACTCCTGCGACGACTCTCCCTCTTCCGTTTTCTGCGATTCCGAGCGCTCCCTTCTTTGCCAGAACTGCGACTGGCAACACCACCACTCCTCCTCCTCCCCTCCTCATAGCCTCCGTAGACCAGTCGAAGGATTCTCCGGCTGTCCCTCTGTCTCCGATTTTCTCGCACTCGTTGGCCTCCATGATCTCACCGACAAGTCTCTCTTGCTCTGGGACACTCCTCCTGAAGAGGAGGAGACCGTTGCCCTCCACGATCTGACGACTGCTTCGAGCCACCACAATTTCAGGGCCATGGATGTTCCTCCTCTTCCCAAGAATCGCCACGCCACCTGCGGGAGACACCGAGACGAGATGATCCGACAGCTCCGCGAGTTATCGAGATCCGAGCCCAACTGTCTGAAATACGAAACCCCACTAGATGCCGGATTCCAGTTCCTCAACGATGACGATTTGTTTTCTACTTGTGATGAGGTAAACACCACACTTTCTACTACTACTACTTACTATTTTAATTTTATTTTGTCAATTACGCACTTTCTCTCAAATCTCTCCAAAATAAAATAAACAAGGCGAGTGGACTGAAATGGTTCGAGGATCAACAAGATGAGCAATTTCCATATTCTTCTCTGCATAACAAGTTTCCGTCTGAGTCTGATGATTATGTCTCCCGGAGAGGCTGCCCTCCACCAGAGTCATCATCGGTCATGGTGGTTCCGGTTTCCACTAGTTCAGCTTCAAGGTCCGCACTGCCTTGCCATGAGATCAACAGTCTTGAGAGAAACTCTGCTCTCTCTCGCTACAAGGCTAAGAAGAAATCTCGAAGGTAATCAATATACATTATACTACAATCTATATTCTACTTGTATAAATTAGAAGGAGGACACGTGATCTGATCAGATCAGTGTGTGATACAACACAGGTACGAGAAGCACATCAGATATGAATCACGCAAGGTTCGTGCAGAAAGCAGGACAAGAGTCAGGGGACGTTTCGCCAAGGCTGATCCCTAATGATGATTATGATAGAGTTTGTGGGTTCCCTTCCTTTCTTTGGTTCCCTCTTTTGATTGCATTGTACTATTCCAAAATCTTTTGTTGTATAATCGAATCATTATTGATAAATAAGATTTCCCTCAGATGAGTTTTTTTTTTTTTTTTTGTATTCAAAGAGCTCCGACACATGTATATATGTATGTTGAAGGAAGGAAGGAGTCTTAATTGAAACCACCATCACTACGGAAGACAAATGTTTCCAGCAAGGCTGCTTGTTGAGCTTATGAGTTTTTCTTCTTTCCATGACAAAGAGGCCGTTGAATATATATATATATATATATATATGTTGGCATGTTCGGTTCGGCCCAGATGCTTTTCACTTCGCTTAAGTTGACGCATCTCTGTGGGCTGCTTGACAAAATCCATCTTTGTGTCTTCTTTAACGACTTACATCTTCGTATTTGAACATTTGGTGGAGAGGAAGAGTAGTTGCAGCTCTCGTGCTTCCACCATCTGGTTTCGATTTGCCTTGAAAAAAGCTTTGTTGCATCTCTCCTTCTTCCTCAACTGTTTGTTTTCGTTTCCCTTTTTTTACCCCAAAAGAAAAACATTCCGACCACCTGCTATATAAGAACCCCCTCCTCTGTTTTTTCATCTCATGTCTTCACACAAGACAAGACTGCTGCATTAGAGAGATTTCTTTCACATCTTTGACCAGACTGTTGAAGATCTGCCATGGGACCAGGCGGACCAGGAGGACCCGGACCAGGAGGACCAGGAGGACCAGGCGGACCAGGAGGACCCGGACCTAGTCTTGGATGGGGACCCGGACCTGGTCCTGGATGGGGACCAGGACCTGGAGGGCCAGGGCTCTTGCCACCCATTGGAGGTTTCTTTTCTGGATTTTCAGACATGATATGTTCCTGGTAAAGACATTCCCTGGTTCTATTGTTTTTTGTCATGTATTTCGAGTTAAGATATGTATGTTGAGTCTTGCAGTCTATCTTGTCTCTGCTGCTGCTGGCTGCTACGGGATTGCTTTGGCGGGCCACCACCTGGTCCACAAGCACCACCACTTCTTCCTTCGTATTATTGATCGCCCGAGTGATCACAAGATTACACATGTTTGTTAAAATATTTCAAAATAATAATATGGTTTCAGATACTTCTTCTATCTGAATTTCTGCTTGGCCTGTATACATTTAAAAAAAAAAAAAAAAAAAAAAAAGAATACTAGAAAAAAAACGCGATCAGATCAATTATCAAAGAAATGAAATCATAGTCTGGAACTACAATCACTAGAGGACAAAACAGAACAACAACAACAACAACAAACAGTTTCTACTGACTGTCTTCGATTTTGAGTCTCTCTTAGTATGGACTTTGCCAAGACTTGGTTGAAACTATGTACACACACTTCTTAAATAACGAGGCCAAAGCAATTCTTTCTATCCAACATGATGATACAACTAAATAAACCCGCCGTGTGGGTTGTTGGAATCATTCACAAGCTATCTTGGTGTCGAAGCTGCTAAGGCAAATGGTAAAGGCCTGGAAGGCAGAGATAGGGTACTGGTAATCCATTGTGAAGACATCTTTGCCCACTTTCCCAAACTGGAGAATCACGTTTTCGTGCTCAGGTCCAGCTGGTCCGTTCTCAGGAGCAGCTACGAGCTGAAAGTTTTTGACGGAGGCAACAGTGACTCTCCCATTGAAGTTGAGGCACCAGCACTGGAGTTGTTCGTGCCATCTGGGCGCTTTGTTCTTCAGGACAAGGAGCCCTTCCTTTTGAGCAGTCGAAGGGAGACTCTCTGATCGAATTGATTTCGACCTGAAGAAGGAGAAGGACGGGAAATTATCGAGACTGCTGTGGAGAAGTTCCGTCTGAGTTGGAGCTGTTCCTCCAGGTTCTACTGCTGATGCAGGGATGGCATCCATTACACACTGCATCCTCCTCGGTCCTCTGGTTTGGATACAAGAATCATTAAGAAAAGCCGTTAGAACTAACCATCTGTTTTTTTTTTCATGGAGTATATTTGTAAGAAGCACCAAATCACCTGGAACCCAAGACGTTAAGCTCATATGAGATATGTGCAACAGGATAGTTGCCAGATGGAATTCTCGGGCTCACTTGTTTCAGACTGAGAAGTCTGCTTGAACGGGTTCTGGTAACCTGAGCTCCAGGATTCGTCTGCTGGGCATCATAGACAGTGAACTTGGTCCCCAGAAAATTGGACCTGAAAAGTAATGTCAGATGAAAGAAAGGGGTTGTGGGCTTAAAACAGTGAAAAATAAACGAGGCAGCTAAACAGTCAGCAAGTAAACGGACCTTAGCTTTCCGATATAGGTATTGCTTCCTCTCGAGACATCATCAGAGTTTAAGGAGATAATGTAGTCAGTGCAAGTTGGCCTCCGAAACCTCTTTGCAGCAAGAAGGAACTTTCCATCATCATTTGAAGCTGCTGCTGAAGCAGAAAAAGAAAGGGGCAAACTTTCCAGTGTTATCGACAAACACATTAGGTATGCTCGAAGATGAGAAAAAACAAACATGTGTTTTCACCTTGGTTTAGCCCGAGGTATAGATAGTAAGTTTGATTGCTGCGGTTCCTCATGATATAGCATTGAACAAGTGATCCTCTTGGGCCAGGCTAAATAATCAATCAATCAAATTAGCTGGGGAAGCTCAGGAAAAAGTCAAAGAAAAGTAAAGAGAGAGAAAGTGAAGAACCTGCTTGAGGGAGATTGGGAAAGTCAATTTGCTGGAAAGCTCAGGAACCTTGACGATCTCTTTGACGATATCACGCCAGTTCCTGCAAACACCAGCGCAAGAAACAACGTTCTTCCGAGAAGGCCAAGTGTCTTCGGATTCCTCAATCCTCATGAGAACATCCCTGAGGAGCTCCGGAGGCATACTTGCCCAACAGCTCTGCTTGAAAGCATCCACGGGAACACAAGTATCCTGAACCACACGTTGAGACCTCGATCTACCATACCCGAATCTCACATCAAATCCTTTCCTCGATATACTCCCCAGCTCTCCTCGCATCTCCTGAATCAGACTCTTGAACGACATCTTTTCTACCTATTATACCTTACTACTGTCAAATGATAAACCCACCATTCTCAAAAGAAAAGAAAGAGAAAACACCCAAAAAGACGCCTAATCTCCCACGAATTCAACACAACAGCGCAAGATCCAATTGCACAAAGATCCCAGATTTAATCCCCAACCACCACATCGACTTCACATCAATGGCAGGAGCACCAAAAGCAGTACCCAGATTCGAGCATAAAAAACTCGAAAGCTAATGCCTTTTTACAGCCAACAGAAGCGGTCAGAGGAAACAGAACTAGGGTTTGGGTCATCCACGGGTGAGTGAATAAGTCCTATGTCTATGTCTATGTCTATGTCTATGTCTATGTCTATGTCTATGTCTATGTCTATGTATGTGAGTGTGTGTTATCCAATCGATTCATTTGTCTCTTTTTTTTAATATGTAATACTAATAATTATAGTCAAATTTAAGTTTTAACTAAATTTGGCAACAAATAAATACATTTACATAACATGGACGAAGAACGTGTGTATTTATTATGTTTGTTCTACGGATTCATCTTATCTAGATTACTACTCCATATTTATCTGGTGGAAATGTTGAAACTCGTCCACAATGGTAAATGACTTGCAAAATCTAAGATTTGGGAAATATATACTGGTACAATTCAAACACCTAAGATTTTGAGAGATAAAAGAAACTTTCCGTTTTCCCCGTTTTTACGCAATGTAAAACAAATAATTATTTTGTCGAATCAGATAAGTAGTAAGCTTTTGATTGCCGTGATCACCGTACTTTGGCCGTTTTGAAGGTCCAAAAGGTATTTTAACGTCTTACTTTTATGTTTTTAATTACGATGAATTGTGTGATTAAAAGAAAAAGAACAAAAAAAGAAAGTCATTTGGACCAAACCAAATATTGATTTGGTCAGTCGATAATCGTGTAAAGTATTATTTTATTAGTTACTAGTTAATTCGCATAATTAGGAGCATATTATTAAAACATGTTGGGCCAAAAAGGATCATGTGACCGTAGATATGGGCTAGAGTGAAGCAAATAAGTGGGCCATTATTATTGGAGGGCTTTTATGTTGGATCCATTTCCTTATGAAAGTGGCAGGTTGGATTGATACATTTCATGTATGTATGGTGTAATGTATTGATCATTTGGATCGATCAGTGCATCCTACGCCAAGACAAAGATGATGAAGATTGAAGAAGAAGAAGAGAGTTCCTTAGCTTGACGCCATGAGACCATAGACCATAGTGTACACAGAGTGGAGGCTTCTAACTTAAATAAGCCTGGAAGAAATGTATTCGAAATTAAAAAACCCGTTTTTGAAAATTTTGTGCGGTGAAGGAGAAACAAAGGAGGATAAAGTAGAAAGAAAAGGCCAAAAGGGAAGCAGATAAAAAGGGAGACCACACACAAATGTGTATGTGTATGTGTATAATTTAGACAAAACGCAGAGAGAGAGAGATCCTTGCTAAATTAACCGGTCGTCTATGGCGGCGGGAAAGGCAGCTCTTCTAGCGTGGCGTATACCATCGGCGAGGCATGCCTCTACGTCGCCGTTTCCAGTTCTTCAGCTGCCGGCGGCGGTTGAGAATGGGCAGAGCGCCGTATGGGGTGTGAGAAAGAGGAAAACAGAGGATGTCTCTGTCTCAGTCTCCTTCAATCCTTCTGGCAATTTCGACATCTCTGCCTTCGAATCTCACGACGGTACGTACTAGTAGTACTACCTTAATTAATTTTGGTCATTAAGATTTTGAAATACCAAAAAAAAAAGAGAGAGAGAATGAGCAGATACGGAGAAAGTGGAACCTCCGATGCCTCCGACGAGCGGCCGGTACGAAGTAGTGATCGACAACGAGAGTATAAGGCGGCTTGATTTATCTCCGTTTCAGACAGGCACAGGGATAACCTCACCTTCAAGGGGTAAGGAAGAGCCAGTATAAAATAATCATACCAAAATCATGATATATGAAGAATGAGTAGTAATGATGTTTTTTTGCGTAGCTGAGCCAAGAGAGTATTTGGAAAGAACGATCGGATTCACGATAAACTACAAAAGAGAGGAGGCAGGGGACCCGCGTGAGCTGTCGGAGTACCCGGACATAAGGCTGTGGTTCGTGAGGCTGGATGCGATGTACCCTTGGCTTCCTCTTCTTCTTGACTGGCGAGCCGGAGAGCTTGCTCGTTACGCCGCCATGCTTGTCCCTCACCAGATGAGCTTGAGGATGGGTGTCGTTTTCAACCCCGAGGCTCTTGAGCTCTTCGTCATGAACAAAGTCTTCGTCGTTTATCCATGGCTCAAACTCCACGGTGTCCCCAAGCCCAGGCTGAAGACCTCCCACATGGCCAGGATGCTCGGCTTCGGTCTCGGCGATGAGCTCTTTGACTTGATCGATCATCCTCCTCCTCTCCAATAATATTAACTAACTTATATATTTTTGTTATTCTCTATCTACATTTGTATCTATGTGCCATGATGGCTAACATAAATCGTTTCTGTGCTCATCTACCTCACCGCCTAGCCTCACTCAAATTTATGTCTAACATTATTTCGTGCACGCACCGTAATTATCCTCTACTTAATGCATGTTTTTATTTTTGTTCAATCACAAGAAACCACAGACTGCGACATGTCACATTGGATCTATCAAGTTGACTCTTTTGAACCCATATCACTGTTACAAGTACAACAACAACTGCACCAGCCTGATGGCAGACCGCTTTATGAGCAAATCTCGCACCAACAATCAATGCTATATCCCAAAACATTACATTACATTACAGGGTTTAAAAATATTCAGAAGAAGCAGCAGAGTAAGATTACATTCCGAAATCACAAGATGTCAAAGAGAGTTATTCTCACCCTCTCTCTCTCTCTCTAAAATGATTAACTAGAAACGTAGCAGCAACATGAGGAAGACAAGAAGCAGAGAGTGTGGTGACGAGACCAAACAAATTGAGGAAGACGCAGGAAGAGGGGACCCAGCCGGAGAAGAGTCTAGCAGATGATCAGGAGAGACCGCATCTGGGTTTGGTGGACTAAGGCTTGAGGGGATTGTCGGCATGACTGAAGACTCTGACGGAGAAGGAGACATTTCCCTGGAACCTGGAGTAGGGAACAGAGGCGATATATCTGGAGACATAGCCGGAGGAGAAGCTGAGAAACTCCATGGAGCTTCAGGCAAAAACGAAGGTGCAGCTGATATGCTGGAGAGCTGAAACTCAGATGTTGAAGTGTGTGAACAGAGTGAGAGAACGGCCAAGGCCGTTAACAGAGAGACGCTCATCGTTTCCGTGAATGATTCTCTCTGTTTCTGTTTGCGAGAGACCTTACTTAAAAGATGAGAAAAACTGTGAAGATGAAAAGGTATACAGCTATTGAGGAGGTAAAAGACAAGATTGGTGGGTTTTGGTTGTGGACCTTTCTTGCCAAGGGCAGAGCACATGAAATGTGGATTTGTCGGGTTTTGATTTGTGTCCGAGTGTTTGTATGTTTTGTTATCCTTAATAAAGAAAAGTAAAAGTAATAAACAAACAAGTTTGAAGAGCCCCGTGAAGCTCCTCCCTTCTTGATATTGAAGTGAGTGCCAGCTTTGGCTTGTTATGCTTTCCTGTTTCTGCAATTATCTTAGGTTAAAGGAAGCAGAGATTCCCTGGTAAATGCAAGGCCAGGCTTTACTGCATTTCATTTCATTCCTCATCAAAATTAGACATATATGTTGGCTTTGCTCAAGATTCTTGGTATGCTTTTCCGCACTACACTCACTCATCTGAACACAGGGTACAGCATTATTATGGCAAATTATCTATCCCTAGAGAGATCTGACGAAAGAAGAAAGAATGAACTGAACTTGGAACAGGCCACAAGGCCTTATGAATGAGTATGAAGCTGAAAGTTTCCCCACATGATGTTCTGGGAAGCTTTTATCTGCGAATTCAATACGTCTGTTTTTGCTGAACCCTCATGCCCAGACCAGTCCATCGAAGCCGATTTCTAGATTTGACACAGGGCTGTCTCCAAAACCTTGGTCAAGTGCTCGGGTGTCATCTATTGGATCTATATATGGCTCACGCAGATCAGCGGATCTTTCTGAGGGAATTCCATAATCTTTGAGGATGCACAAGGATGCCGAATCCGAAGCTTCTCTCTCCAACACGGCGACATAGTTGTCTTCAAACTCAAAAACTAGATACTTATCTTTGCACATGTCAATGAGGTGTGCCAAGTGATGGATGTTTCTTATAGGAGTTCCATTGAACTTCAGGACCTGCTGGTTGTTCATGTCTTCGTAGCCGATGTTTACTTCATTTGCTAAGACCTACAAATATCCTCGTCCAATTAGTAAAATGGGAGATTATTGTTGCACTCACCAAAATGCACATGGAAACAATAACTCCTTATCCTCTCAGAGCTTGCCTGTGATAGGATGACGATTTGTTCTCCTCTGAACCTTGCCACGGAGTAGCGTGCCTTTGTTAACAATTTCAACTACAAATTGGAAGGATCAAAAACTCAGGATTAGAATCCAAAAACAGTTATACTTGAGATCAGAACACAAGGTTTATTAGAGTGAGCTTACGCCTATGGTGTCCTCGCATTCCTCTCTGTTCATACAGAAACAGAAAGAAAAACAAATAATAATCAAATTAGGCGTTTGCGAAATAATGAAGAAAGTTCCTATTTCCTTTTGCGTATTAGCAAGCTGAGGAGAACGTACTCTATCAAGGGTTCTGAGAGCGGCGTAAACACCAAACCAGCGATTATAATGTATGATGGCTGACCTCCATCAATATGGAACGGGACCTATTTAAAAGCACGAAAGGCAAATGAAGCTTTAGTAATTAGCTTACTGGGCATGGAACACGGAAAGCTTACAATGGTAGATGCAGACAGTCGTACCAGGTGCACTCTAGGCCGTAGAACTACTTGAACTTTCTTATGTTCACCTGCTCTAATGATACCAAGCTCTGCAATATCACCTGAAAATCTATTAAGTAAAATAAAAAAGCCACATATGAGGAAAAGCAAAGTAAATCATTATACTTGTGGACAAGGAAAAGAGGTCTTTACTTTTGACTGATGAGATAACGGAATGCAATGCGTTCACTCGATCGAAAGGGTACAGTTCCTTCACATCCCACGTGTAGATCATCAAAACTTACAATCACATCTCCCTGATTCAAAACTTGCTCAGGTATATCACACAAATCAAGGATGAGAAGATATGATTGTAGAAATTTGTTAGAGCAAAAAAAATACTATGATCCATGCTCTTTACCTCCTTCAGGACTTTACTTGCATCAGATGTAGGTTCGACTCTTCGCACCAGCACACCCTACAAAATTAAGGTTACATCACCTTGAGTAGACTCAAATTGCTAGGTAGGAAGATTCAATGTCCTCAACCATTATGTGGGGAAAATCTTTATACGACACAAGACAGGCCACCTAGCAAAGCAAATCTACCTCATTTGTAGGTACTTTTAGGCATTCCCGCAAAGCTGGATTTTCCAATTTCTGCAGCAATACTCCAAGGCAAGGGTAACCTGCAAGAGAAATAGCTTTACATATTAACAAATAACGAAGAAAGGCTCAACCATTGCAGTGGAACATATGAACATCAAGAGAGAAAACTCTTACCAGTGTACTTTCCGTTCCTCTCATAATCAGTCAAAAAGTGAGAAACAACCGTTGTCGGAATCACGTATCCAATATTTTCAGTCTCTTCGGATCTGTAAACCTAGAGGAAGTCTCCCGTGAGGCATTCATTTGGAACAAAAACAGAAACAAATATTATTTTCCTGAAATCCCAAAGCGATTACCTGAAATGCTACTCCGATGCATTCCCCCTGGTCGTTGAATGCAGGGCCACCACTATTCCCTACAATCTAACAAGTATAAGAAGTGGCTATCACAATAATACAGATGAATGTCCTCGGAAACACTTTTAGTGAAAAGAACAGGTCATATTCAATTTTTAGAACAAAGTGCAAGACACTAGGAGCAAAATGAAGACAATTAATTTAAAATGATCCACGGACCTGGATTTATTGCAGCATCGATCTGAATTCCAAGCAAGTCAGATGATCCATGAGCATATGATGTTACCTGCATTCCCAAAGTTCCAACGAGGAAGGGTTCTTAAAACCTACACAACAATAAAGTGGCATAAAAGCAAAGCCAAAGATATGGGCAAACCTCTATTCGTGATACGACCCCTTTTGTCACAGAGATAGTATCTCCTCCAAGAGGATATCCCACGACAGTTACTGAATCCTGCAAATCAAAGCCATCATGGAAACTGTATGAACAACTGGTATATCCAGATAGATAAGGCAGGGAAGAACATTAAAAGCTTTTTTATGCTAATAATGCAGGCAAAAAGAGTGCTATATGCATATCATTTTTATATCTACACCTCAATAAGACCACTTACAGACTTTAATTCATATAAAGACATAAACACCACAAAAAAGGACACCATCCCCTATTCTACAATATTATGATCCGACCAAAAGAAAAAAAAAATAATAATTTGGTTGTTTGTGTTCATGCCTCAATTAGACCGTCAAAAGTGTTATTTAAATATTTTACAGGAGACTGCACTTGAGGATAACTGAAAAGAGCAAGAAATACATCATTCTGAAACCTGAAGGCGGGGTAAATGTCCAAGCCGCAGTGGTTCAGCTCCTTTCCAGAAATCCTCGCTTTCTACTGAAAGCAAAGCTATGTCACAGTCCACACCTCTTACTAAAACCTGTACAGTATAGAATGAGAGGGACGTTATCTGGGATTGTATAAGAATGAGGTAGAAGATATTGGAGATATAAACAAAATCTATTTTTAGAGTTTTAATTAGCATATTGATGGGTTCCATGCACATGCTACTAAATAAAAGCAGAAGATCAACCCCAGCGTGCGGGTGCAAGTATGCAATACTAACCTTAGCGACATACTTTCTATCATCTCCTCTTCTCTTAACTTTAACCTGATAAAGAAAAGGTGAAGAGGAAAAAAAAAGATGATAAGAAAAAGGCGAATACAGAAGAAGGGAGGTAAACCTGTGTATCATGCTCCACACAATGGGCATTTGTCAAGAGCTTGCCATCTCCTATCATAAAAGCACTGCAATAGAAACACACAATAAAGTCACGGAACAACCTCTTTAGGGACATGAATAATCTAAATGAAGACTTGCCTTCCAGTGCTGGTGAATTGTCTTTGCTTCTGCCATGGGAGGGAGTAATCAGGCGCTGTATGAGTGCAGTAAACCTGAGAAACAAGCACGCACGGAAGGATTCAAAGGATTATCAGTCGAATGAAGAAAGTAACTGGATAGGATACCTTTACGACGGCGTTGAGAAAGGATGCATCGTGAATCTTGCCAGGATCAGTCTGCTATCGAAATGGCATTAGACCAATTTTATTGCATTGATAAGGAAAAAAAGATGAAAGGGACAAGTTATTCCATACCTGCTGGTCTCTAAAATCAGATTGAGCCTCTTTTTTATCTTTTTTGGGAGACCCAAACGCCTTGAAGGCCATTGTTTGAGGACCAGCACCGTCCCCTTTGCCGTGTGAATTACAACTTTCATCTATCGACCTGACTGGGTATTTCTGTAGGGAGGAAAGATACATTGATACGGATTTCGGACAACAGGAATTCAAACGGAAAATTGAATTTAAGTGTACCTCTGGGTTCAATTTGGGAGATGAATCAGACCTCGAAGCTTTCCTCTTCTGATTCGAAGCTCGGGGAGTGAGCGGCTTGGGCGATGCGGCTACGAAACACGGAGGTGGAGACACGGAAGATTGAAGTCTAACGGATGGGTTAAGGAGGGAGAAGCAGCAGCTTGCTAAGGAGATGGCCATTTCTAACGACCGGAGGGGCCGGCGAGTATCGGCGAGTATCGGCGAGAGAAGTGACGAGAGAGAGAGAGAGAGAGAGAGAGAGAGAGAGACCTTTCTTACACTACTTCTTATCCACCCACACTCATTATATTCCCTAATCAAAATCACTACTACACATCTATTCTTTGGCGCCTCCCCTGGTTATCTCGTAAATTTGGACAATTCTCTTGAGGATATTTTGTATTTTTAACACTTCTTCTCCTTTTTTTTTTTCCTTCATTACTGGATCATAAATTCATAATAGACAGTCGTCTTATCATTAATGGGCCTCTTTTGATTTTCGTTTTAAGGTGTGCTATATATTATTTATCATGTACACTATTTGACAAACATAAACGCACAATATTGTTTTTTTCTCTATCTCTTGTTTTACTTCTTTTTTTTTTCCTGTTTTTATGTTCAACTTTTTTACACATACTTGAATATTATAATTTTGTTTTATTCTTAGAAAAACATTTTATAAAGACACACAAAATAAGTTTTTTAGACGTTTAAACATCATATCCTATCTCGATCTGATGATATGGCGCTGTAACCCTGAGGAGATCTATTGTAATTGTCGTTTTTAATAAAAAATTAAATTAAAAATACAGGTTTGTAAAGTATACACAAAATAGGGATTTTTTTTCTTCACACAAAATAGGAGTTTTTAGAAGTCTAGACATAAAAGTCTATTTCGATCATATATTTTAACTAGAAAAAACAAAGAGAGAAAACGATCCAACTCGGATATATTTTGGCCATTTCCGTCTAGTTCTCATTTTTTTTTTTGCTAAAAAACTTTCTATAGTTCTCCTCTTTATTTATGCCAGTGGTGGAGATAACTTATTAGGAGGTGGGTTAATTGACCAATGTGAAATCCAAAAAATATATATATTTGTATTTTTTAAAGAAAAATATGTAAAATATTGAAAATTTAGCTGAATGACCCTTGTAAAATTTACTCATAAAACATTGTAAATTAAAATTGACTCCCATAAAAATACAATTAAAATTGACTCCCATAAAAGTTTTGGCCACTGATATACAATCGACGATATGAATAAAAGAAACAAAAAATATATATAAAAGAGACTGACTAGAATCGATCACTGTACATTATATTGTATCTGGTTGAATCGATCACTGTATATATATATATATATATATATGTTTTTTTATAAAAGAAAATTGAAATTTAATACTTTCATCTATGATAGGTGTTACAACTTATAAGTACGTCTTTATGTATATGCAATGATCGTCACGTTCCAAACCTTAATGATTATCTCTCTGTTTTTTTTTTTTTTACAAAATGATTATCTCTTTGTTCGTAAAAACTATATCATTATTTTTTGTTTTGTTAACCTCGGCAACTTGTTCATGTGGGTCTAAGTTGTTAGGTGATTAATTCTGAGTGATCATGTTTAATTGCGTAACGGGATAAGTACGTAATTGATTTATTGATTGAATGGAAAAAAAAATAAAGATCATATGTGAGATTTAAATAATCACCCTTAATCTTTCATCTAACCTTTGTCTCCTGCTTTTGATTAAAGGAGGAGGGCGGGCATCCCCAAAGTCAACAATTTAAATCAAGATTTTAATTATTCGGTACATTTTTGGTTTAATCCACGCGTTGTCTAATGCCCCATCCTTCTCCAACAAACATAAACGATTTTCATATCGAAGCGACGCCGTTTATTTTGTCACCAAAACTATCATGACCACTGATTGCCATATAGTATATACTTATGTTTTCTTTTGCTTTTTTTTTCTTTTTATTTATAACATTGTAGCTATGTTTTCTATTTACAAGTAGGTTTTATACATCAGTACACATGTATGATTTAAGCACTGTAATACAAAGATGAAACACGAAAGTATAAATATGCGATTATATATGATTTGGATCTAAGATCTAATAAAGTATTGTGATAATATTATGAAACCGATTCATGAGACTATGTTGAGGAGTAAATGTAAATTGTGTAGCCTAAGACAAGAAAGGTTTAACAGCACTTGGACCTGTGTCTGAAATCTGGAATAAATGCTTGGTCTTTCTAGAAGACTCGAAACCGGGTGCAAACAGAAAAAATGCAGAAAATACGCTCGGATTTCAAATTTGGCAAATTGCTTTCTGTGTATATTCCTTATTATTACTAGTGTTTTTGTTAAAGCACGCACGTTGTTGTATACTTTAAATATATAATGTTCGTCCTTCTAGAAGCACAACCCCACATACTCGCACGTCATTAGTTTGCATACGAACTCCCGTCTTCTCAAACCAATGAATCACGCGATCACAAAAGTGCTCCAAACAAATATTATTAAAATAAATACATCGAGAGTCGTCAATAATAATGGCCACATTCTGACTGCAATATATATATATATATATATATAGTACCTATAATACGTAGCTGTTGATGTCTCTCTTGTCATAATCCTCTGTTGGGAACAGAACAAGAACAAAGAGAAACAAATAATATGAACACAGCCAAGAAGGTGTTTGATGTGTCACCGTTCTTGCTCTTAGAAGCATCTGCAGATTCCGAGACCTATGGAGATGGAGGAGGCGCCGCTCAGATCGAGGGTGGCCACGACCGCGAAAGCATTATTAACGATGATAATTATGTAGACGATGGCGATGAGACTGATGATGAGTCTTGTAGTGCCAGTTCGTACGAGACGTCTTGTGTGACGTGGACGAGTCAAAGACCGAGTGGGTCAGGTTTTGACCCGGAGGGTACGGTGAATGATCAAGAAAGAGTACTCGCCGCCGGGGAGGAAGAAGACGACGACGGAGAAGGAGAGGTGAATAGCTACAGAAGATGTGGGAGAATCCAACGTGAAAATCTGGCCGTCGATTCTGATGCTGATGCGGCTGTGAGTGAGATGGATAAAAGTCGATTGTTCTGGGAAGCTTGTCTCGCTTCTTGATCTGTCTTCTTCTTGTCTCAACGGAAGAGATAACCTTGGTTTTTCCTTCTAATTTGATTTATATCCACCCATCAATTATGTCCATATATATATATATATATATATATATATCATCATCATCAAATTGTAGAATAAACCAATTTGATAGTTGTTCAGCACCTAGCTAAAAAATAGACATTAAAAAAAACAACAAAGTTTTGATTTATCAAAAGTATTTTAGTGGGAGTATATTACTAGTGATGAGAAGTAATTAAGTATATTTTGGCTTCTTCGATATTAAAGATGTTCACTAACGCAATTGTTCATCAATAGATTGTTAGTTTCAAAGATTCTGCAGCTCAAGAAAAGTAAAGACTGGTGGTTGTTCTACTATATACGTATATGTTCGTCTTTATTGACCGATAAAGTAATTTAATTATTTATTTTGCTAGTGGTATACTTTAGTTGTTGTTTTAATTACCTGTGTACATTTATATTGGACTCACCAACAAGAATATGCTTGTCATTTTGTATAGTTTTTTTTTTGGTGATTTTAACAGTAAGGGTATGATTGTATGAAGTTAGAGTAAATGAGTGGAATTGAGATGAGAAAAATAGAGGGAACTAATCTAAAATTTTGCAGAAATTAAGGCAGCCGAATAACTTTTCTTTCTCTTCACACCCCTCCAAAGCCATCAACCAGTCAGACCCTAATATATAATCAAAGAATGATGCTACTAGCTAGTCGAATCTACTGGTTAAGTGGTAATGAGTTAAGTCTGATATATTCTATTAATTCGATGAATCGTCGACAATCACAATAACATTCAGACACAATGAGACCTTCTTCATAGATACCAGACCCAATAAAAAAATCTAAAACAGACCCACATTATTAGATTCTAATAAACAAATACGCATAATCTTCTCTCTTAGTTAAAGTTAAAACCAAAAAAAAAAAAAATTTTGAAGGAAATATCTTGTATCTAAATCAGCAATGATCCGGCGACAAAAAAAAAAAAAAAAAAAAAAATCAATCAGCAATGATCCAAAAAAAAAAAAAGGAAAAAAAATCAGCAATGATCCGACCCGACCACGTAGCGGGTCTTAGTTATGAAGTGGGCGAGAAGTGGAAAACCCAATTTCTATAACAGTGTTGGTGCTCCTTGGATTCGATTCCCAAATCCGATTTGCGTGAGAATTCGGGGAGACATCTCAATCTATTTTCCGGAGAAAGACGACGAAGATGATGATGCTCAGAATCCGAAGCAGAGATGGACTGGAGCGAGTCACAGCCGATGGAGCTCATATCACTGTTTCCCAGCTCAAAACCTTAATCGAGGATCAGCTCCAGATCCCTCTCCATAGCCAGACCTTATCCACCAATCGTGATCTTCTCCTCGCCAAAACTCCCTCTGATCTACTCGCCTTCACCGACCTCTCCGACCCCAACCTCCGCCTCTCCTCGCTGAACCTCGGCCATGGCTCCATGCTCTACCTCGCGTACGAGGGTGAGCGTACCATTCGCGGAGGTCCTGCGGTCACGCCTGCCGGATCCTTCGGGAGGAAGATGACCGTCGATGACTTGATCGCTCGCCAGATGCGCGTCACTCGTCAGGACAAGTCTCACTGCGACTCCGTCTCCTTCGATCGCGATTGCGCCAACGCCTTCCAGCATCACGTCAACGAGTCGCTTGCCTTTGCGGTCAAACGCGGTGGGTTTATGTACGGCACCGTGACGGAGGAAGGCCAGGTGGAAGTTGATTTCATCTACGAGCCTCCGCAGCAAGGGACCGAGTCCAATCTTATTCTGATGAGAGATGCCGAGGAAGAGAAGCGCGTGGACGCAATCGCCTTGGGCTTGGGGATGAGGAGGGTCGGTTTTATATTTAACCAGACTGTGATGCAGGACAAGACTGAGTACACACTCTCGAATCTTGAGGTTTTGCAGGCGGCGGAGCTTCACGCCGAGAGCGAGTTGCAGGAGTGGGTCACCGCAGTCGTTAAACTCGAGGTCAATGAGGACGGTGGCGCCGATGTCCATTTCGAGGCGTTTCAGATGAGTGATATGTGCATCAGGCTGTTCAAGGAAGGGTGGTTCGAGACGGAGGTTGGGCCGGACGATGATCCCAAGCTCTCTAAGATGAAGAAGGAGGTGGTTGTCGGCGTGAAGGATGTTAAGGAGGTAGATAACGATTTCTTCCTCGTGGTCATCAAGATCTTGGATCATCAGGTTGTTTTTTATTTGCTCTTGAGCTTCCATCTCAATATTTTGTTATGAATAGATGCTTTTGTTTCTCGTCTTTAGGACTGGGTTGAAAGATTAGAGCTTTGAAACTGCTTTCCATTAATGCTCTGCTTGCGCAAGTATTGAGAGATGGAAGGAAGCACTTGATAACCATTGTGGTTCTTTTGGGTATAATGAAATCTGGAGCGAAGTCGTCGTCATAGGTTTAGAACGTTCTGAAGATAGAAGCTCGTGATCCCAGTGTTTGCTTTCTTTTGTTTTTCTTCTTCTTTTATAATAATAATAGTACTAATAGACAGTTGAATTTGTAGACTGCACTAGACATTTAGTCTGCAATAGTAGCTCTCCGTAAGAACTAAGAAGTCAGCTTTGCCGATATGATCTGCTCAAAAGGCTAAAGGAAGTAGTTTTACGTAAGCTGAGCATTTCGATTTCTCGGTATCTTCTTGAAGCGAATAGTAGGACAGTAGGACTTGTTGCTGCCGAGAAATCTTTGTTTACAGTGTGTGAAGTTGTGGCTTTGTCATTGGTCCATGTTTTTAACAGTAGCTGCTTTTGTCAGGGGCCTCTATCATCAACATTCCCAATAGAGAACAGAAGCATTCGAGCAACGATGCGGGCTCTGAAAACCCATCTAGACCGTGCAAAGAGCTTGGCGTTGGTGAAGAGGATATCAGATTTTCATCTGCTTCTCTATGTGGCGCAGTTTCTGGATGTGTCATCGGACGTGCCTGCCTTAGCGGAGTGTGTGCGTCTGCAGTCGCCTATTCCTGAGGGATATGCGTTGCTCATCGAGTCAATGGCCAACACTTGTTAAAACTAGTTTTTTTTTTTTTTTGCATTTTCGTTTCTTCATATCAGACTTGTTTCAGGTCAAGTTCGTTTCAATAGGGCAAAAAGATGGCCGGAAAAGATTAGAAAAAAGTGTTTTATCACGTGCTGATAGTGTGTTATTTGATACGTTCGGTGGTTTGATAGAAAGAATGCAATATCTATACTCTTTCCCCTCAAAATTTATGTGGTAGTAAATTACGAGAATCTAAAACATTTGACCTACAATACAATATATGATAATATTCAGTAGCAAATGGCAATTTATTTACTGTAAATCTAAAGATATCCACTTGATAAGAGGGAAAAAAAAAAAAAAAAGAATCGCAATGTTGTGGGTTTAATGGCTGTAATGCTACAAATTGAAAAAAAAAAATCTGTTGTGCCATAAACAAATCTACATACCATAATATATATAGAATTCCCAATTTACCCTTAATAAAAGTTTTTGTGGCATTTTTGAATTTGGTGAAAAAATAATTGATTTTATTAAAATTAATAATTTAAAAGGAATATTAAGAAAAAAAAAAAATTTCATGTTCTTCTTCTTCGTCGGTGGATTCTGAAAACAAGCAAATCTCATTTTCGCCGTTGAATCCTCGCCTCTTCCTTTTTTTCTTCATCTTTTACAATCAGTTTCTTATTTTATCTCCTTTCTCCACCACCATTGTTGAAGTTTTAAAATCCAGTTAGGTTTTTATTTACAGATTTGGGGATTTCAAAATTTAGGGATTTGATTTGCCAAAATTGTTTGTTCTAGATGCAAATCGGGTTGGTATGTGACGATTATGTCTTTGCATAGATAGTTTTTTGAATTCAGTTGTTAAATCATGGTGATTCTTAGGTAGATTATAATTAGAACCCGAGTTCATCACCAAATCTGCAGAAAAAGGACAACTGGTACAAATGGTACAACTAAGAGATAAGAGGACAATTAGTACAACAGGTACAACTATGAGATAGAGGACAACTGGTACAATAGGTATAACTAAGACAACTTAAATAATTGTTGATTGAAAATTCTTTTATTATAATTGTGAATCGGGTTGGTAACCCCGTTTTATCTGATGATTAGAATGGATAATTTTTTTAATATAGTTGTTGAATCATAGTGGTTCTTAGGTAAATTATAATTATATATGAATTCATCAGCAAATCTGCAGAGAGGGACAACTAGTACAATTATGTACAATTTATGTACAACTATGTACAAAAATTGACAATGCACATAGGTGCACATGTTACCTTGACGGATAACTAGACACTTAGGAAAGTTAATCTAGTCTAGAGGATTTCATTTTTGGCCGAAAATGCTTTCCGGATGGAAATAAACAAGGTATAACTGGACACATATATACAACTATATGTAATTCTTTCATTAGAAAATAATAATGATAAAACTATAAATATAAAAAGCAAACATCCACTTAAAAAATGTAGAAAAGTCGTAAAGTATAAGGAATAAAATTAAAAAGATGGATAACATAAAATTATCATTTTTCTAATATATATTATTGGTTTCACATCAAACATCCCTTCTGATACAAATAAGACTTTGATAATGTTAACAATCTTATGATGGAAAAGAGTCAAAATTATGATTTTGCATAAATTGTAGTATGAAAATGTTATAAATGGACTACAATAATCCAAAATTATGTGGACAACTATAATAATTTATATTTCAGGACAACTGGAAAAATGCTAAAATCGTCAAAGGACAACTATGAAGCATTTTGGACAACCGGACAATTGGATACAACTATGTATAAAATTGACGGCGCACGTGGTATTTTGACTGCGCACATGTCTATTTTTGTCGGGGCACGTGTTCTCTAGCTTCGTGGATGTGAATAAGCAAAAGACAACTGGACAAGTAAGGACAACTTTATACAACTTCGTGGATGTGAATAGTTATACTTAGTTGTCCATAGTTGTACTTAGTTGTACCATAGAAGTTAGATCATGAAACTTCTATATTTGTACTTAATTATGATTTTGCATAAATTTTAGTATGAAAATATTGTAAATAGACTTCAGTAGTCGAAAGTAATGTGGACAACTACAAAAAAATAATTTATATTACGGAACAACTGGAAAAAATGTATTAACACTACAATTAAA